AGCTGTAATTTGAAACATCGGCTTATTATCGACTCCCCCCTGTTTCACACAGGTATACAGATACACTGTGTGCAGGTCGCTGAACAATTATATGCATATACGCATAAATCTTATAGAAGACATTCACAAAGTGATAATCAAAATCCTTTGTTCTCGTAGCTTTAGAGGAAACAGAAACAAATAGAGGAAAACAACCTCTTTGTATCATACTATTTACATACATACAGAGCTATTTGCTCAGACAGGATTTTTGAAAGTTCTCATACGCATAGGAATTAATTGCATACTTTTGTTAACTGGCTAATGTAACCAATGAATTTGGTGTAATTAATAACCAAGCGTCTATTTCTGAAGCCAATTGAATGTTTTCTAATCAAGTGTTTCCAAGAAACACTTTAGTAGAGTTACACTTTATCCTCTGTAAAACAATGAGTCAACATGCTGAAAGAGATATCATTAATGAAGACTAATACAAAGAATCATTAATGTATACTTACCATGTAGGTGTGCATTAATGACATTGTCTATATTATGAATATCCTTTTATATATGATGGGGTTAATGTAGAACAACACGTGGGAGCATTTATTGATATTGATACTAGGAATTAATAATGTAACACTAACGTCGGGGCCCATTAATGTAGACAGACTGTAGGAATAATCAATATATAGAGACTAACTCAGACTACTGTCACTGTAGACACATAGGGGACTATCAAAGTTGACTACATGTTAGTCTACATTGATAGTCCCCTATGTGTCTACATTAGTGTATATATATAATATAGATTAACACGGGGATTATTAATATTTATTAATGTAGTCTGAAACGGAGGACCATTATTAAGTATACTAAAGAATTAGAAAAAAAATATAGACCAACATAAGAGAATCATTAATGATAGTGTACATAAACGATACGAGAAATCATTAAGATAGACTAAGACAAGGGATGGTCGAGGGAGGTAATGTGACTAAACTAAAAGGACAATGTACATAATACATTTTAACAGAAGGATACCACGGCGCAAGGCCTTATTTAGTAATCGACCAGCATGACAATAACGATGCTCACAACCTGCCATTTATTCACACACATTTAGTTTAGAGCCCCGCCTGTCGTAGCCGATAGTACATATCATAAAAGCTGAAAGAAGATAAATCATTATAAATTTCGCAGACAGCAAATAAAAGTATTCAGTACATCACCCTACGTGAGCCCGATGAAAATTACAAATATCATGTGTCGTCTCAACCGAAACACTTGAGTGAAAAAGCGTCAGCTCATTCAAAAATATAATTCATTAATTATTGTGTGTATTATTTTTAAATACCTCAATAAATAGAACAACGCTTTTGTTTACTTTAATTATAACTGGGCGGCCATATTGCTCAAAATAATCTTTTCAAGGCAGCGTTTGTGTAACGGACATGATAATGAAATGAGTTTGTATGACGAATTTGATAAAGTAGTGATAGTATTGTAACTATGTAAATGTACATAAATATATTATATGTACACGGCATAGAAACTATAACTAAAGTAATATTATACACAACTAATATTATTCAAGAATTGCTTTCACATTTGTAATATTCGTAAGTATAAGTGCATATTAATCGAAGCGCCACTTATTTATACATATACTATTATTTAATCTCAGAGATATCGAAATCTCTAATCTAAGAATCTAAATTGGCATATGTAAATGTTAAAGTGTTTAAATAAAAAAATATATCTTGAATAAACACCTACACATTATTTGGATAAATAATATAAAAATAATTAAATAATATTAATTTTTGTTAATGATACAATGCTATTTACGAATCTGGCAATATATGTAGGTAATGTCAACTTTTGCTTCATATATAAAATATAGGCTATACAATATATTTATACTTAAGCATATTTTATTAATTCATACTAATTCTTCGTCTGTATTTGTAAAAACCTTTGTCCTGAATTATTACATCGATCGATCGGAGGGAATTTACTTTTATTTAAATCCCTCCGATCGATCCCCCGTCCAATTCAAACGGGGATCGAAATTACGATGGCCTGAGCCGAGGTTAGAGGCCCTTACACTAAAGCCGTATCCGTCAGACAGGAATTGGCTTTCAACCGCTCCATAAGTCCTTCCGCGGGATTGGAATACCATCTGCACTCACCCTCTATCGTGCGGTGAAGCTGTAAAGTCTAGCTGCGGCCAACAACATTAGAGTAGTCAGAAAACAAAAAGAAAAAGTTTAGAAAGCTAGGATTGGGAATATAAGTTTTTTCATACGTAAGTTAGCTGGGAAAGAGTTTTGACGTAATTTGTCACCGAGCGTGCAACAGCAAGTTTTAGATATTCTATATAATTTCTCATCGACTGTACAGAACTCGATATATTTCTCTCACCGCGCCTTGCAATAACGCACCGATAGTATCTATTAATTTCTAATCGTAAAGGCCAACTTGCACTGACACAATAGTATTAAACTAAATTATTGATTCACATGCTTTTAACCCAGCTCACATGTTTTTCAAAAAAGGGCGTGTCATAACATTTACTTGTCTGTGTGTCTGTCTGTGCCATCGTAACTCCTAAACGTATGAACCTATTTTGATGATGGTTTTTTGTTTGAAAACAGACTTAACGAAGATGATTCTTAGCTCCTAGCTTACATTCTTATAATTGGTAGGTTTTTTTTTATTAGGAAATACTTACAATTTTTAATTATAATCTATTGATTCTTATATTTTTCTATCGTTTCCGTCCTTGTGACAATCAATCTCCACGTTTATAATATATCCACTCAGCGGTTTGCAGTTTGATCATAAAAAGTTAACAACCAGACAGATTTTATATTTATAATATTAGTATAGAGAAATATTATATAAAAATCATTAATATATACTATCTATATATACATACATACAATATAATATATAAATAAAATAACAGCTAATAAAACAGAAGGGAAATCGTGTAAGGCTGACGCGGTGTTCTTTTTCACGAGCTACGCAAAACACCTGTCCCGTAAATTATTCAATTTATAGCTCAGTAGCCGATGAGCCTTGGCCACTCAGTTTCACCGCAGGATAGTCCAGTCCGACCATTGGCATAAAAGCCTCAACACGGCACGGATCGAAAACAAAAAAAAGTGTAATTTTATTATCTGTGGAACTGAAGACAAGGCAGGTTTTACATTATTTCGAAACTCACATAATTCTTTATTTAAAATCTGACGTTGCCTTGGCTATTTTAAAATAAAAAAAAAGCAATATCGTAATTAAAATATTTCACTTAATACCTGTGTGAAAATAATTGCCAGTCCCCGACTGTTTTAAAGTAATGGAATTGGAATTAAAATTAATAACCTGTCTGATTAAAAAGAATAGAGTTCGCGGTTTGCAATTTGTATATGGTAAATCATAATTAAAATGAATTCATTTGCCGTAAAATCCGTTAATTACTTACTAATCTGACAAAAAATTATATAAATACCATTTAAGTAATGAGGTGCCAAATAACTAATCAACCATTATTATATTATTAGTTTCTACTCGTTGCAGAGTAATTTACGATAATTTATAGTACATTATTAATTAAGTTACTTTTTTTATTGTTTCGTTGTAAGAATATATAACAGAACATTACCTACTCATACTTAGTTGTAAATCTTAGTATTAAAACTTTGTTCTCACAGAAAACTATAAAATTGTAAGGACCAATTCTAATTTGAAATAGTTTAAAATCTACACTTTTGCAATTCTATTCGGATACTTACAATTGTGAATAATCAAACTTATGCATGGATGCATTGTTGCATCATCTTGCATTTTTATGATTCCATCTACTACTCTCAAATATTGCATGGAAATTCAATATTAATCTATAACATTTGAGAACTTAATTAAAAGTCCGGTCAATTGTGTTTGTACATGTTTATGATTCAAAATCATAAGTACCTAACAACAACTAGTAGTCACTTTAAATAAACGTCGACCCCCTCTTTGTTTTTTTTTTAATTCATAAACGGCGAAGTCACAAAAAAATTACAGTCCAATTAACATTGCAGTCCAATTAGTACGTTCATTCAGTAGAAGAGAATCTCTAAATGAAACGACGCCGACGGTTGACTTGTCTCGCTAATTACATTAGATTCCAATTTTAGAGAAATAACATCGAGAGGAAACGTTGACTACCAACAATAAAACGTTATGGAAAAAAAATAGCAAGCAGATATACCTTCTCTAGACTAGAATATTTGTTGCATCATTAGTTCAAAGATGTTTTCGCGTAGGTAGTAAGACTCCTATTGACTACCTACAATAAGACGTCTTGAAAAACGGCGAGTAGATTTACCTTACGTAGACGTGATTTTTTGCTGTATTTATATTTCAAATTGCAGCAAATAATTCGTTATAAAATAAATTAGATCAGATTAAGTTCTTAAATACATACCATCAGTCTGGAATTGGTCTTCAACCGCTCCATAAGATTTCGAATGTCATCTGCACTGGCCCCTCTATAGTTTGGAGTCATTGTAGAAATCAGCTACAGTTAATAACGAAGATAGTTTTAAAAAAGGAAATTAATAAGGTTCCAGTAATTTTATTTCTGCACATATGATCTACGAATAGTTTTTATACTATAGTTTGAAGTGAGACACTCCGTCTTGATCTTGATGTTTAACTATGATTTCAGTAAATTTATCAATGTAATCGGCCATTTAAATTCAGAACACCTAAAAGTGATGAAAATGACAATTTATCAATAATTTCATAGGGATCATCAAGAATGAAATTCTGCTGAGAATCGTGATAAGTATGAATGAAGTAATTAATTACAAGAATAGACACATGAATGTAATAATGTATAGATATGAGTATAATTCATTATTAATAAGTAATAATTTTGGTATTAATAGGGCTCCAGTGAACAAGCACCCGCCTCTCCACAGCCTTCAGTGGACCGTCTTTCTGTGACGTGGGCAGACCCTGGGAGCATGGCATCATCGGGAGTCAACCTGTGCCATCTGCCTTCTGAAACTGCTATCAGCAACGAAGTCAAGTTTTCACCTTCCGCGGGTGGTAAGTTCAATTCTTTTAACAATTGTAGTTATTACTATATATATACATATTAAATGCGAGAAGTCATAAACGCGCGAAGTTAAAGTTTTTTCAAACATATTGAGCAATTTTTTGTTCCTCAAGAACATAGGTACTAGAAATTATTAGAAAACAATAAGATAATGAAATAAGTTTAGTCGTTGTCTAAACAATTTTCATTATATATATATTTATCACGGTATCCTTGTCGTGTCTGGACGTATTCTCGTAATATCGTTAAAATTTCTGCTGTCAAGCGTCTCCACAATGCACATTGCTGTCTATAAATTAAAATCATTCTGCTTTGCGAAATTTGCGAAATCTAAAATGCGTTTATTTATTATTTTATTCGAAATCATACAAACCGCTATCTTATCGTAATTTCATTATTAATAATTTAAATGTATAATTTTGTGTGATGCATATAAAAACTAATTTTGATAATCATGACTCCTAAATTAACTGCTTTCGACACATATGAGTCATGTATAAATACTTATTATTTGCTATTACGAGCATTTTGTTATAAGAAGAGTAATTATTTATTGATGATTATACTTAGTTTACTTCTCGAATATTAACGTTGTTTATAATTTCGTAATTCTGGTTTGTTTATTTATCTATGTTTTATTATGTAATATTATGTTATCTGTGGTTTTATAAACTGATTAAATTCAAAATATCTACCGCATAACTGTTTTTCAATAAATGCCAAACGAACTCTTTTCTTAACCAATCGAATTATCTTAAAATATTATTTACTTTTATTTACTTACGTATTATTTTTTTCACAGTTAACTAGTATTCGTATTTTCCATGTTTATTCTACCGTCCTACTGTTGTCATTGTATGTAGCGATTTTGCTATAGTTAATGAATTAATTAAGATTAGTTTTTTACTAATTAGATGTGTATCTTTGCAATTACACAGAATTAAAATTAGCGCTACCTACTTGTACATATACACCTATAAAGATGCAGACAAGCCAAATCATAATAGTTGGTACTCTCTGATTAGTTTGTCATTATTTAACATAAAATATCTGAAAAATTCAAAACATAGTTTACTATTTTTAAATTATGTGTTAAGAAAATAGTTCATATTAAGACGAAAATTAAATATTAATGAGCATCAACTCTGAACATTTTTACTTTCAATTCTGTTAGACAAAAAAAAACATTAGTTAGTTACTTAATTTTCGTCATTCACTACAATAAAAAATATTTTACTACGATCCGTCTGAGAATCTTATCTATGAGATAGTTGAACTTCAAGTTATAAGGTAAAACTACGATTATGATATTACATACCTATACTTTGCAAATCACAAAGGGGTCGATATTCAGAGTTTGAAAATCTCTTCTCTGTAATATCTTGTTATCTAAAAATCTATTTTTATATTTTCCAACATTATTTCATCATTTAACAACATTTCTTCTAACTAATTTAAATCGATCATAATTATGGGTTATAGGACACTATTAAAGTTTGCGTGAGATACAAACTTATTTTGTCAGTCGTTCTAAAATAACCACTTAAAAACTGCCGACGGCAGTAAAAAATAATTGATGCGTTTTCGGTAACTACTTTGAGTAGGTAGCGAATAAGATAAAAATGCGCATAACAATTTCTAAAATTATTATGCTCAATATTATTTTACATGATTCCACATCATACAATCATATAGAAGGTAGAGATTAATGGCCGCTGCAATACAGTGCTTAGTATAACATTAATTTATTGAAGTAGGCTTTACAAAAAGCCTTCTGTGTGGATATCTCAAACCTTTAGTTTACTTTATACAGACTGTTTATAGAGATTCGGCAGTGAATTTACAGAACAGAATGCATAACATATAAATGAGGGTTATCGCTTACTATCAGGTGAAGGTATTGTGTTTGTCATTCGAATTGTATTATATAAAAGAATTAAATAAAATTGGTTTTTAATTTTGTCCCCTACGTTTTGTTCAGTGTTGAGTGCTCAGCCATGGAACCATTAACGTTCCATGCTGATGCTCTGTGATATAAATACACATAGACACATTTAGAGAAACTATAATAGCAACCGTAAATAAATTGTACCTTGTAATTCATAGACTAACTCTATGGTATTTAATTTACTGTAGACGTTACAATATGAAATTTAATATTTTTCCAGTAATAAGAAAATTCTATTAGTAGAAATCAGTTTTCTTGTTAATCTTTAATGGGTAGTTATATATAGATATCAATTAATTTAAGTTTCCAATAGACTCAACACTGAGTTAAAAATGGATAAAATAATCTGGAACCAAATGTACATACCTCATGTTGGTTCTAAATATTGATTTAGATAACACTTGTTACCCTCGATTATTTTTTAAAATTTCCAATGGCAAATACTCTTATTTTCCTAAGAATTATAGTATATAAATATTGTTTGCTATTTTCTATCTAAAATCACAATATTTGAAAAATACTTTGAGTGGCGAATGTGTAGATATACGTGCCGAAATTTGAAATGTCATTCAACTGAATTCAATAATTTATCCATGTAATATTCTAATATTATATAATATTCTTAAAATAATATTATATTTTATAAAAATATATATTTACTATCTCAATTCTATGAATATATATATTGTACTAATTATCAATTAAAGCGAACTTCTTCTGGAACAACAACAGCTGGACGGATTCGAATTATTTTTAAATAAACTATATTTTAGATATTAAATTATGATAATAACTGTATCACGTAGACAAAATGTCATAGATAAAAGCTTGTTTCTATATTATAATTGTATATCCCCAGACGGTTCTGAAGACGAGGACTATTCAGCCAGTCTTAGTGCTGTTCTGCGGCAACGAAGGGCGAGCGTGCGCCGATCACGGAAGGGGCGAGTGAGGCGTCCATCCTCGCCGTTCTTAACTGACGAAAGTCGTTCCAGAAGACGTTCCTCTGTCTTTACTACCAGCTCTGGAGAGTAAGTATATTCTCCAAAAAATATTACGTTTATACACCACAGTGTTGTAAACATTAGTATCAATATGATCATTAATAAGGGGACGCATAAGCATTAGGCATTTTATTGTGTCTGTCTATCCTAATGGGAGACGTGCATGTATATGTATGTCGAAAAACTTGTACCGCAACTTACATTTTCCTTTCTGCATTACTGTAGGAATCTTTCAACTTTTTTCTTGACAAAGTTAGCATTAGATATTAAATCAATATTAGTGATATTGCATATCAGACAAAGAGACCAAATATAAAAAAAAATATATATTAGCCACGGCAATATAATCATATGTAGTTTACTTAATTTTGTATTGAAAATATGGTCAATGTACAGGTCTCGTTTACGAATTTATTATAGATATGATTTAAATTGAAATGTATGTAATTCATACATCTCAATTCAAATTATATCTATTCCTATATGCATACAGCACAGCTATATCTATGGAGGATGGACAATCAGCCGTGGTGACTCAAGAGCAAATCTTCCAGAACATTCACCTGCACAAAGAGGTGCTAGGTTCCGTGAAGCAGCAGCCCCTTGGTATGAGGAGAAAGCTCAAAATTGTTCATCAAGTAAGTACTGTAATCAATTCTTAGTGGTCTTCCATATTTTTTTTCCGTACTGGATCGTTCGTATTTCACAGAAAGCAAAAGGTCGGTTAGAAATATTAAAGACTATTTTTTATTCGAAAGTTTCTATAAGTCATTCAGGGTTTGCAGTTGCAGTTTGATTAGTAGAATCAAATTAAATTAGTAAAGAATTTTTTAATTATCTTTGGTTGTTATGATTGGAATGGATATCACTAATGGAATTGAAAAAAACATACAAATTTCCCTCTTGGATTATCGGGTAGCTACCACGACCCTACTACTAATCTACTCCGATTTAGATTGTTCATTTTTGTCGACTAATTGATTGAATTTTCAGATTTATGTCATATTAATTTAGGCACCTATAAAATTCTTCGCTACTGAAAAAAATATTCCGTTCTTGTTTACAACTTCTTATACAATAAGAGTAAAAATCAAGAAATTGGTGCACTTTATACGAAATTGTCGTTTAGTTTTAGCGAATATTAGAAGAAGATCTGGTTATAACAGTCGACCTATATAAATAAGACAATGGAATTAAAATTTCTTGATTCTATGCTGTCAATTTTATTTAACCAATTTATATTATAGGCTAAAACCTACATCAAGAGGCATGAAGGTCAGCTGCAGGAACGACTGGCACAATCAAAAAGCACCAGGGATATCTATGCACGATTCAATATATTGTTGGCGACAGTAAGCCATTTTGTTTATTTAAAGTATCTATAAAAAAATGTGTAAAACTCTACAACACTGTATAGAAAACTTGGGATTCAGAGATAAAGAAAATGGTGTTATATCGCCAATTTTTTAAAATTAAACCTTGTTTAAATTTTTAATTAAACATTGTAAGTATGGAGATATATTCTATTCTAGATTTAGTCATAGTTATACGAAACTGTTAAAATGATCAATTAACAAAATAGAACATAACAGATTTCCAAGTAAACTAACAAAAAGTATCAACTATCACCTACATTAACGGTCATTACGTCGTCTTGCCAGTGACAACCCTCATGTATTGCTATTTCTGAGAAAATATTAAGTAGCAGACAGAAAATCCTTCAAACGAAACTCGAGTCCGTCTTGTTAAAATCATTAGCTTGTTACGGAACGTTCTCTACGTAGTCTTTGGTTGTGTCATTCTTTCAGTACCTAATTACGTTCAAAGTTGGCTTCATTAAGACTACCTAGCACGTGATTTTTCTTGATAAGTACCTTATGTTCCTAATAAACTACTATCGTATTACACATACCATAACTTTATCCAAGATGGTCCAGTATTGATAAGTGTCGATGTTGCGGGGAAGGGGGTTGTAGTAATGTGAGCTGTTGACCTCATTGCTAGCAATGTCAGGTTGATCTCCACGCGGTTCCCCCTAGAAATAATCTTGATAAACTCCTAGTAAATTCGTCACGATGTGCTAACTGACCTAACCTCATCTTCATCTTATCATCCCCGCCAGCGTAAACCATTAGCGCAGTCGGGTGACCCATTAAAAAAACTTTCGATATGGTGATGAACGCAATACTGGATATCCACTTCACAGGGTACATTTCGGTCAGGACAGGGCTATACCGCCGTCTCTTGGATTTTTTTTTATTCGCTTCATTGAACACTCGTCAATATAAATTTACTCATAAAGCATTTTTCGGATTTTAGATGTCGAGATTTGAACTCACGTCTTGGGTGTAAATCGAGGTAGTAACATACTAGGATACGATGCTTTAACACAATTGTATTTCATTTTCTGTAGAAATGGCAACAACTAAAACGTGAAGCTGCCAACACGTCAAACCTTCTTATTCCCTGGGAGCTGCGTATCAAGGAAATTGAATCCCACTTTGGTTCAGTCGTCGCATCCTACTTCACATTCCTTCGATGGCTGTTCTGGGTCAACTTGGTCATCGGTTTCATACTGCTGGTGTTTGTTATAATTCCTGAGGTACTGATACCTACCTATATAATTAGTTATTAAACCGCATATAATGCATAAATTTCACATAAACTAATCATTATTCTATTATTATTTCATATATGCGTTAGTCATTAGTTAGTTAGTGGTATTTATAATATAGGCCACTAAGTAAATAAATCTAATAAAAACTTTGTACCACATTGTACGAAAATTGCCCAAACGGAGTATGAAATTTCACGCACACATAGTTTATATTATATAAGAAGGAATGCAAAATCCTAATACATTAAATCAATAAAAAAATATTATATTACATACGTTGTATTGACATATACAGGCAAGTAAGTATAGTCTTGTGTAATAGATGTTTAATAATGTTTCAACTTATAATTTCAGTTCATTATGGACGAATTTCGATCATTGGGGGACCACTAAAATAATAAAATATATAAATCTAGAATCTCACGGAACGAGAAACTAAGAAAATAAAGCAGGAAATCGGAAAATTTCAGAAAATTTAACGACTATTTCAACTTTGTGCTTTTTGTGACAGTTCGCGCCATTCATTAAAAGATAGTGCAACGTCTGTCGGACAGTTAGCGTGATATAATAATTGTAATATACGTTCACAGGGTTGTCTAACTTGTTCATAAACAAGCACTTTAAAAAATATTCATTAACATACATAATATATAAAATGAATAAATGTATGTTCTACAATTTTAAACTAATAATATAAAACGGTATATCAGATTAAATTCCGAAGGTCACGGCTTCGATCTAATGCAAACATCTGTATTTTGTATAGAAATGATTAATTGTATTAGTGTAGGTGTAACCGTTTTATATTATATACTAGCGAAGTGCCTCGGCTTCACACGTGTTGAGATGATGTATGGATTTTTTAATAGGGTTTAGGTGTAATAATATTTAAAATCGATTATTTATTTTAAGAGTCGTAATATGGAATACTAAACAATGGAAATCTTTTCTCTTTTATACAAATCACTTTTTTTATTTAACTGGAAATAATGGCAAACAAGTTGACGGCTTCTTATAAGTAGTAGCCATCGATTATATACATAAATAAGATCATCGTCAATAGGAGACATCGTCATTATAAGTGAAGAAGTAAGATGTAATAATACCTCGTACCGTTCAACCTAAAAACATCTTACAAAGCAATCTACTTGGCCGCTGACAGAGATGAAAGCTTGGTAAATACTTAAATTCCTTTTTATTTATAGACATCTATTAGTTGCTAAAGATTCAAAGTTTAAATATACGTGAGCGATTGAATAATACGATGCACATTAAAGAATATACATATGGTGACACATGCTATATATAGCATACTGTATGTTAGCATACTTAGCAGTATTGTATTATAAATTACATCACACGTTAAGAGAAGTGCGGGGTAGGGGGGATTCACAAAGTGTGATTTTATAACTTGTAACTTGTATAACTTGTAAGTCACAAACTTCGTAATACTAGAACATAGGACCTTTTCCATCCTGCTAGGGGGTACTAGATTTTATGACATTTATACAATATAACAAACATAATTTTAATTTAGATAACATAATATATTTATTTATATTTAACTATTAAAATGTCAATTACAGAGTAAAAAATAATGGAATTGGTGTGCCATAATTTATTGATAGTCTCAGGATGTAACATTAAAAATGCTTGCAGTACTTAACAGCTGACCCTCAACAAGACGGCTCAAGAAAGATAATTATGGAAGAAGAACGTCGCAACGCCACCAACCTGCTCACACTCTGGGAATTTGAAGGAGTCCTGAAGTGTTCCCCAATATTCTATGGGTATTACAGCAACATCGAAAGGCCTCAGTACTGGATGCCGTTAGCTTATTTCTTAACAGGATTGGGGGTGTATATTTATAGCTTCGTCGCTATATTGAGGAAGTGAGTTTAAATTTAACTTTATGGGGAACATATCCTTTTTATGTTGTAACGGTTAAAGGCGTATATCATTTCATTTAATTGCCATCTTTGTAGTAATACAGATGGATTCTTTGATATTAACTGGACACAGGTTTTTTTTAAAGTACTTTTAAGTACTAATGCGTAGCTAATAATAGAAATTATAAAAATTACTGTACTATACGTAATTTATCAACATATGCTAAATTGTGTTAGAAGGTCTATAAATGTACATGCGTAAGAAGTGCTGCCACAACATTTTTAAATAATATATAATAAAAGTTAAAAACTTTTATTATATATTTGATGCTTTTATTTATATTAAAAGAAGAAAGTAGGTAATGGCTAGATTAAAAGACAAATGCCACTCCATCAAAAAAAATATACATATTTCCCTATTTTATAAAAAATGAGTATGAGATATATAGGATGCTCACTTTAGATTTGTAGATACTTCTTAAAATGCATAAACATAGATGAAGTGCATATTCTATGTGCAATACGATGAACATTAAAATTGGTTGTACTCTTATATTGTGTGTAGATTATAACATTTTAAACTCAACGCTTGTACATTTTCAGGATGGCGGAGAATTCACGAATGTCTAAACTGTCAGAAAAGGAAGACGAGTGTATATTTTCATGGAAACTATTCACCGGGTGGGATTTTATGATTGGGAATACGGAGACTGCACACAACAGAATTGCTTCAGTCATATTGGGCTTTAAAGAAGCACTTCTTGAAGAAGCTGAGAAGAAGAAGGATTTACGGAAGTAATTCATCAGTATAATTATTAATACTAATTAATTAAGATATTTTATGTAATTGTAATAGCAAATAAGTTGACGGCTGACCAGATGGTAAGTGATAAACGTCGCCTGTATACATAAACAACTCTAAGGACATCACATTATCATGGGGTATCGGTGCTATTACGGAGGATTCAGATGTCATATCTATTATCGTTAGAGTACTGCTTTATCTTACCCTTTCACTGAAATACAGCTTACAAAGCAGCGTTTTAGCTGGTGAAATAGGTCCATATAGGTACCTACAACCACGTACCCCCGTAAAAAGTCCTTTTACAAGATCCACTTCTTTCATGTTACAATTTCACGCGATGACATAATGTCTGTACTGTTCACGGATCTATATCCACGAACAGCCGTATCCGTGCCGATGCCCTGTGTATACTTACCATCTGTTGCGCCGTTTGATTGTTTGCCATTCATTAAAGGATAAAGTACCTACCTATAGATAAGTAGCCAGGAATTTCGTGACTAGTTCGTCATATTCATATTTCAGTACAATTAATTGTAACGGAATTAATCAAAGTAATATAGATCCATTGAATAGTGAAATGGACTTCCTCAAAGTAATACAGAATTTGATCAAATATGATTCGTCGTATTTCTGCAACGATAGAAATCTAAATTAAATGACTTTTATTACATAAAGCATTTATTATACATATTGTTCAATCTGGTCAGGTTGAAACACACGGGACATGTTTAAACATTTTTTTATTCGGATTCCCTTCCAGTTGGCGCATCATATCACTACGAGCGTTAGTAAACATATGTGTAGTCATACTGCTAGCAGTGTCGGCATATGCAGTTGTAACCGTTGTTTCGAGATCTGACGATAACCCGAAGTCCCGGAGTTGGTGGAGAGAAAATGAAACGACCATCGTGGTTACCCTAATATCAATAACATTTCCTGTATTCTTCGAACTTTTGGGTTTTTTGGAGCACTATCATCCCAGGAAGCAGTTGAGACTGCAGCTTGCAAGGTTTTTCTAATGATTTTGAACTATTTATCAGACAGTGGCCTCCGAATATGAAATAGCATCCATCTTTTAGAGAATTCAATAGTACCACGGACGTCCCGTGATCACAGGTCCCTGTCTCATGGGTTGCTCTGCCTATGTACTACGGTCCACATACATACCACAGCTACATTCATATCACCACCATTGTACACCTACTCTTTAAAACGGAAACTTACATAGTTTACAAAGCAAACTGGTTTGCGGCAATAGTTGAATTAGAGAAACCCGCGCAAACGATTTTGTACAACGTGAAACTCTGTACAAAACATAATTGAGTTAACAACAACGATAAAACTTCACAGCAGTCTTCTACTGAATCAATCGCCCCTTTTCAACTAAAAAATAGTTTTTCTTTATACAGTATCATAATACATACACCTACTTAAACTAAATAGACATACTTAGGACAACAATTTGGATCTGTCAATGAATACCATTATAAATTTTTAGATTAAATTCTAATGTAATTATACGACTATATGAGTATGAATGTTTCTAAGAATTTTATACGATATACATGTATACAGTCTGACGTAATATTATACAAGTGCAAATAAAGTATGACTCATTTTATGGTTCCGTATGCGAATTGATGTAACAGAACACGTAATTACGGATCTATTATTTAGGATTCATAACAATACTTATATATTTTACTTATATCACTCTTATATCATTTTCTCTAAGTAATGGTGGTCCGACTGACCTATTATAACACACATATAGGAAAGGTTTTAATGTAATCCAAAATGTTCCATGACTTTCAATGGATAGGTATAAGTATTCTAATAGCTGTGTACAATAAGAAAAAAATGCCATTCTATCTACTACTTTTTATTAGATACCGTCCTTATTTATTCCTTATCTTTTCTATAAAGAGGAGAATAACCGAACAGCACAGGCAATTTTTATCTACTTTTATAAGTAGTCTCCTAAGATCCATACATATAAACATATAAACAATACAACTTAATCCGATACCAACGACAAAATTTTAATATGCAAATTACGGAATCCTTTATCGAGCAAATCTCCCATACGCTTTTAGACCAGTTATTATTAGGTAAAATCAATGTAAGCGTAAGATTATATTTTGTTTGTGCTATTTAAAGGATCCGTGTTATTTGCGATAATGTGCTAATCGATTGAAACAGTTTATATTGCGTCGGGTTTATTGTTTTCAGCTGTCATATTCGCATAATGAAAGGTATCAAAATTTAAGAAATTAATATTATTATTATTATACCATTTTTTCTTAAAACAATTTGAATTCAAGTTAATCGTATTTATTTCCTTGTTTCAGGATTATGTTGTTAAATTTGCTCAATTTATATTCTTTAATATTTGCACTATTCAGCAAGATTGAAGGTATGAGTAATGAGTTAGATTTATTAAAACCAATTCTGAAAGTAAATGCAACTCTTATATCTAATAATACGCTAGATATTAGTGAATCTATGGTTATTAATATACCCACGGCCTGCCACGAAGAAAGAGTCTCTTGTGAACCCTGTAATATCATTCATACCATAGATTTAACAAACACAAATAATATTAAATCAACTCTTTCTCATACTCCTTCTAATACTCCAATTTCAATCAAACCCACTTATAAAAATATTACTGGAAACCATTCAAGTGAAGTTAATCAAATAATAACTAGTAAAAATGTAACTATATACCCATCTGCAGAGAATTTAATTGAAAATGAAAGAGATAACGAAGTAGTAGAAACTACAATGATTAATATTATAATGAAAGAACTAGAAAGGTTAAGAAATATTAGTGGTCTGAGTAATTCCGAAGATGATTTAAATGATCCTACCTCATTCATATATGATTATGATTATAACTATAATGATACTTTATCTACTATTGATACGTCGACTATCCATGATTACATAAATAATTTTACTTTAAGTGAGAATAATAGTAATAGTTTTATTGAGGGAGTATCAATAAATACCGAAACCTCAGTTAGTGATTTAAATCTAGACCAAAACATTTCACATAGTTATAATATGTCCGCAACAACGGAGTTTACTGATTATTCGTCAGACACTGATGCAACTGAATCATATACAAGCACATATTATGAAGAAGACAGTAGCTTTCTAAATATTAATAATAATGAATATTCGACTATAAATCCAACGGCCGATGAAAAATCTACTAGCTATGATTCAACGACTACTTTCAATTGGTCAGAATCTACTATTTCATTCACAGATGCTACATTTTTTGATAATACAACTTACAGTTCAGATGTTGTTTCGACTGCTACTTTTGTAGATATGCCTATAATTTGCCCAGAATTTTTTAATTGTACGTCAAATTGTGGTGGACATAATATAACACAAATATTTATTATATCCAAATGTATAATTGTGGAAAGAAAGTGCTTTAAGACAATTTGTGAAAAGTTAGAAGTTCCTTTAAACAGTAATAAAACTAATGAAACTACGGTGGATATTGTATATCTTGACGAAAAAAACAGAAAAATGTATAATTTAACAGTAACGACTAAGAAAAAACTGTTAAAATTATGTTGGGAAACAATGTTTGGACAGGAATTAGTAAAACTGACAATGATGGATTTGGTAAGAAGAATAGAAATGCTAGAAATCAATAAAGTTGAAAATTTTATTAAGAATACTAACCTTGTTTTGTTTTTTCAGGTCTTTGTGTTATTAGGGACTCTGTTTATGGATTTTTTTCGCGCTCTTTTTGTCAGATTCATGAATCGTTGTTGGTGCTGGGATTTGGAGAAAAAATTCCCAGAATACGGAGATTTTAAAATAGCTGAAAATATTTTACATTTAATTAACAATCAAGGAATGGTTTGGATGGGGATGTTTTTCTCACCTGGCTTGGTTGTTTTAAATGTTGCTAAACTAATGATTATGATGTATCTCAGATCTTGGGCAGTTATGACCTGCAATGTTCCCCACGAAGTAGTTTTTAGGGTATCAAAAAGTAACAACTTTTATTTAGCATTATTACTCACAATGTTATTCCTATGCGTGTTACCTGTAGGTTACACTATAGTATGGGTGAAACCCTCCTGGCATTGTGGACCTTTCTCTGAGTATGAGAAGATATATTATATATTGACAAATAATATTTACAAAATACTTCCAAAATCTCTCAATTTTGCTTTAGAATATATCGCTTCACCGGCAATAGTAATTCCTTTATTGGTTTTGCTAATTCTAATTATTTATTACTTAACATCTTTAACGAATTCACTCAGAGAAGCAAATAATGACTTAAAGGTTAGTGAATTTAGTAATACTCTATATCTTTTCTATAATTTATACTGCACTAGCTACTCGCCCCGGCTTCGCACGGTTGTAAGTATTAATATATTAAAGATTTAAGAATACATAGGGACGGACAGACAGCGACAGCGACTTTGTTTTATACTATGTAATAATAATAATGATTAGATAGAAGCTATGAACATATTTTTTAAATTGGAATGATTGAATATTTCAAATATTTCTTCTGTTAAACACGCATTACAGTTGTATGTAGGTTTAAACAAAGGTTAAAAAATATTGCATATCCTTTTAGAATAAGTATGATAATAAAAATATGTTTAATATATGCAATATATGAGATTACTATGTAAATATAAATTTGTGTATACACCAATTTATTAAAATTTTAGATTCAATTACGCCGAGAAAGAACTGAGGAAAGAAGAAAAATGTTCCAGTTGGCTGACACTAGAAGGAGAGTTGGTTCGTCAGCTATGGATAATACACCATTTTCCAGATGGAAAAAAGCCTTACCGTCCCTACCTCTCAGTAAATCTATTGACTCCGATGATCGTAAAACCATAACCGTAGATGAAACCTCAGAACCAGGAAAAATAGTTAAGAAAAAAGGTGCTTATACAATTTTTTGTTACAAATACCGATTATTATATGTATATATATGGATCTATATATTTCGTAACTTTTAGAATTTATTTTACAATAATTATTATTAAGTAGATTTTTTCATTAATAAAATATTAAATAAAATTTAGTTATAATTATTTACATATATTGCGTTTTCTTTTATTTTAGGCAGTATATTTGCAAAAATAGTTGGTATGGCTGTGGATAAAAAACCTGATATAGAAACTGTATCAGACACGCATGATGGTGTTAGCCCATCTTCGAATAACGTAGATGAAGAAACTGATTCTGACTTTCACGAAGCATTACCGAAAGAAGTACTAAAAATAAAAGACATTATTTTTAAAAATACACATATTAAGAAGAGGAGTACTGTTGAATTTAAAGCACAAATGAAAACAAATGAAACTTCAAATTTTCAAATAGAGGAAAAAACCCTAAAGGTAAAGTTAGAAAAAGCTGATGACCGCACTGAAAAGAAAGCAATTTTAGAAAAACAGAAACTAGATCGTATGAAGGGTGAAACTGTAAAGTCAAAAACAGATTCTACGGAAATACCTGAAGTAATATCAAATGTTGATAGAAGATTAAATAAGAAACAAACTTCAGAAACTAGTAACCAGTCAAGACAGTCTGATTCTATTGGATCTGTGATTCCCGTAATAACTATAAGTACAACGGAGAGTGATGAAGAAGTATTGCAATCACGAAATGAAAAAAATAATAAGAAAGAAGATGATCAAGATTATGATGGAAATATAGAAGATTGCATGCAGAAAATCAACAAAAGAAGTTCAGATTTAAAATCTTTACGTAGACAGAGCAGTGTGGATAGTATTAATGAACAACAAAAAACGCCAAAAGAGAAGAAATCCGATGACGGACACAAATATCAGTACTCATTATAATCATAGTTAATAATTTAAATAAACTATTGTCCATTTGTTAAATGATATTATTCCCTTAGCATTTAACTTTAGCCTGAATCTATTCCTAATTAGCTAACTTGTATCAAATCTAGGTTCACTATGTTGAGATCGACTATAACTCTTTCTTTACTTGAATGAAATCAATTCGATATATTTATTCATTTATTTATACCTTACTATATTAGCAAAAAGCCAATAATAACATAAGTGAAAATAATAATACAGATCATAAATGGATATAAATAAGTACATAGTGGTATTAGTATATAAAAATGCAACATTAATTTGCGACTATTTTAGTACGATTTTTCTACCTCAAAACATAATAATAATAATTATATAGCTGACTAGATCACTAGACCCAGCAAAGATTTTGTCGTATAAATTAATATCGCTATTAAAAATACGGGTTGATGGAAGAAGGTAAGAAGGTAAAATTCTAGGGTTGTGTGTATTTTTCAAAGCAGAGCAGAAGCAGACACAAAATTTAAAAATATTGTCTAAAATAAAATATTTACGGATGGGTCATCCTTATCATTAAGTGGTATGAAAAATAGGTGCTGGCCGATTCTCAGACTTACCCGATATGCACAACACACAAAAAAACATAAAAATCGATATAACCATTTTGGAGGAGTTCGGTAACAAATACCTCAACACAAGAATTATATTACAGATGTAGCACCACACAATAATATGACAAATATATGAAATAAAATAATGCAGTTGTATAAATATACATAAAAACGTCATGTAATTATTCCATTATTATAAAAAAATAAATAAATCGATAGAGCTGTTCCCAACGATGTAGACCGTCTGTGAGAACTAATATTACAGTAACGTCCATCACACACACAAACATAATATCTGGCATATAGAGAAATTGCTCGATTAAAAGGTGTTACCGAAGCATGGGGACTGTGTATACAGCCATCATTAACGTTATGCAGTAATAACTCCAATTTTATGAACCTATGTGAAGCGAAACTCTTGCCTTTTATTGGTGGATTTGCTCTGCATCCTCTTTCATTGTATGTTACGCCAACATCAAGAAACCTTTTAAAACATCCCCCCGTGTAATTCGCACCTTCGCATTTCATTTTATATCGCCTCCAGTTTGAACGAGCATGTTGATTGACTGCATCAAACACATCGTAGCAATGAGGAGTACTTAACCCGGTTTCTTCTAGGCCACAGTTGTAACATCTTGCAGAAATTGCACTTTTCATGATTATAGGAAAAGGTTTTCTCATTTTTTTAACAGCGGTGTAATTTGAAACTATGTTCTTATGTACTATAATTATTTTGTTAAATTTCTTTGTCCATATATCCCATTCTTGTAGTGGTTTTGCAACATTAATTTCATTTCCAAATTTTAATGTAGTAGTCGTGGGCATGTATAACAACAAGCTGTTCTTTGGTACAGCTGTTGTTCTATTAGGAAAGTAATGATTAAGGAAATTATTTATCTTTCTACTATAATTATTATATCTATCACGATTTTCTGGATATTCTTTAGTTGAAAAATTACGAATGAAGAAATATGGCTTCCAAGTTTTTGTACTAGATGATACATGCCTTGAAAAGTAATTTGGTAAATCATTTCTATGAAATGGTATAGTTGTTCTATATTCTAAATCTAACGTATCAAAATCCTGTGTTGATTCATCAGATGTAGGTCTATACGAATATTTTATCGGTCTCCAATTATATATATTGCTTACCACATCGATATCCTTTTTGGTAAATGAGTCTTTTAAATCGATAGTAGGTCTAAAATCCGTGTAGTACACCATTTTATTATGAGGAAAAGAAGTCAAAAGTTTCATATCGTCTTCATAGTCTTCTGGAAGGATAAGTACCTCGCTAGTCGGCATATAATGATAGGGATTTTTAAGGCGTGACAATAAGGAACAGTATATTAAACACACGTGTATAAGAAAAATTAAATTTATATGCAGAATAGTAGACATAATAAACAAGAATAATATATTGTCAAAACATTCATATCAAAATTGTCACGTAAACTAATGACAGAAAGAAGGGTTCGGATAGGTTTCGATATCTTTAAATAGAGAAAAGTAATATATATTTTCCTTCTAGTCATAGATGGTAAACAAAAATATCATAAAAAACTATTATTTATTTGAATTGACATGTGATTTTCTAAGATAACATGTCGTTTTATGTTTTAAAGTATTTTTTTATTTAAAGTAAATCGCAGTGTTTAATAAGATATATGAATTTAATGCTTTACACATTAAGTACTTTCGTAGTATACGTTTCAAGGAAATACTATTTAATGAAATCTACATTGCTTTAATACCAAACCATGATATCATAGCCCTATTATAGTTTTCGCTATACCTGCTAAGTTTCAAGTCACTAGCACACTATAAAATTAGTTGCATGACAGTTTTATTAATATTTAATGATAATGAAGCGAACATGAAGCTTACCTGCAGTACCAGTGGAACTAGAAGTTTACACGCGAACTTTGCACATGAAACTCTCGACGAAATGTTCAACTAGCAGGACATTGTAATATAACTGTGAGATTGTAACCTCACAGTTACATTACAATGTTAGTGTTTATTATTTCATTTTAATAATAAATCAATAGTTTACTCATTTTCGCCTATCATTATCCAGTTTTCGTAATATATAAATACTGTCCGTATATTATACTTACAAGACTGTAAAGTCTGTCACATTTTTTTAAGCAGCACAAAAAGTGAAAAGCGGGAAACCTACATCAGTGACACTGTAAAAAAATATATCCGTAGAAAATCAATGAATCAATATAAAATGTTTTTAAATAATAATATTGACTAAACATGTGTAAAATAGTGAAGTAATCGAGTTTTTACTGAGATAGTAAATTAGGTATATCGATTCAAACATTATCTTCATAATAATTTTATTAGTTACATCGTTAGGCATGGATTTATTCATGAGAGAATCTGGATGTTAGACGACTTTCCGTTGTTAAATGTTTTAGTGTAGAGATGCAGACATATATCGAACTTTCCTTCGCTTGCTAGTAACGATCTACCTGTGTGAGCTTTGCCCTAGTTGCCTCTTTACACATCCTGCAAATGAAAGTTTGGTGACAGATAGTATTTCTATTTTGTCGCCACACAAAGTATCAATTGAAAATCGATTGATATAAAACTCAGAACATAGAACACTTAACTACTGTGATTCACAAAATAAACAACTGGTTAATGATTACATCAAAAAAACATTACGTAAGTACACAATAAAGTACACATACTCTTGCCTTGATTTGTTACTAAAGGCGACATCGTATATGTAGTATTCGGAATAATATAAGGTTATAACTTTTCGTTGTTAGCCGATTGGACGAAATTGATTGATTTATTTATTAGAAAACTAACAGCTTCCAATCCAATACATAAAATCAACAGTAGGTACATTTCTAGAGAAATCCAATAACATGTTTTCAACACGAAAAAAACAAGAAAAAAAACGAAACGTGGCAAACAGAATAAAGGTTAATTAAAAGTACAAATCAAATATTATATATTTCACAAAAAATAAAAGTAATAGAACATTTACTATAAGAATTATAAATGCGATAGTTTTCATTACACATTAAATAAAGAAAAATGCACTGAAATTTGTTAATCTCTACTGAATGAAATAAGTCGATAGACATGCAGATAATTCAAAAATTCCTTTTTATACTTCGATACAGTAAAATGTGAGAGTAGAAATTATTTTATGAAATTTACACAGATACTTTTTTTATCTAACTATAATTAGACGTAATAAATAGGTATGTAGTTTATTTATATACCTATATTTTTGTTGATGAATGAATGTCTTGTTTCCAAGCTGAACTAATTTAGTATTTTTTTTAATATTAATTGAAGTGAGAGAAAGTTCTTATAAAGACAAAAATGGACAGAATTCCTGGAAAAAGATAATTCCACTACTTTGCTTTTTCGATTGCAAACTATTCCTACATTTTTATTTTAGAGTAGAAAGGAATAGATATCCTATATACATTTTATAATGTAAATAATTAATAGCATGGATGATGACATTATCGAAGTAATAAACAAACGTTTTAATATATATATATATATTGTGATAACAAAAATAAAAATATTTGAAAGAAACATAATAATTATACTTATCATGTAATCAAAACAAAGAAATATCACAATTATATTACAGGACTTTGTTGTGTTGAGTGTTGAGTTGTGACTCCCTATTATGTAAATAAGCTATGTAGGTAAGCTAAGGAATATAAGGCAGTTTTGAGGCTAAAATAAAATAGCAACTAACAATAAATTTTCCGAGACTAACGTAACGTAATATAGTGTAGTTATGTATAAGAACAATACAAAATTCAAGAATTTATCTCTAGAATGAACCTATTTTTATTTATTTACTTCATATTTCTTCAGAAACTGTTTTGACTGGTTTCGTTTTTACTATACGTTGAACCCTCTACAAGTATGTTATCTTGGCACAGACATCTTAATGATATTTTTACTCTATTTGATCGTAAATACAGACTATGCTTATTTAATTTAAAGGACGATTTGTGTTTGTGTCTCTATTTTAACAATTGACCAGAATCTGAAGTTTGTGAGCTTTGTGACCGGAGACGTGAAGCAGTATTAAGCTACATGGCTAATAATTAATTTTTAGAAACATTTACATAGTAAAAAATATCTTAATTAACGCCTAGTGACCTACTTACAAATTTACCTTAAATACAACGTGTATTTACATATACAACAACCAACTTGGTCATCATCACGTCGTGGTCATCTTCACTTGACATACCTAGCAAGTCTACAGTCTACAGAGTCACAAATATATTGTAACAAAAAGCATCTTGGTTTTGTCGAGATTTGAACTCACGACATTCAGGTCTAAGTCGGGGTAGAAACCATAGGCCACGACGCACTCTAGGATGATCTGATCAAAATAAATCTGAACCCCTAAATATTTGTGCACGTCCAGGCGGCGCGTACGCAACCCCTGGCTGTGTGATCATTTCATTCGGCGACGGGCCGCCGCGCGCTCAACATGGCTCGGTCGGTGACCGCGCTCAGCTTGTTATTCATAAACATAGCGTACGCGGAAATATTAACTCCGCCATACTTCAACTTGGCGCAAGGCAAGAAGATCACCGCGACCGCCACATGCGGCGACGAAGGGCCGGAGCTATACTGCAAGCTAGCTGGCGCGAACACCGACGGCGATGAACACGTGATACAAGGACAGGTAACTTTTTGTTTTTTTTTGCTATTGCCAATAGACACGCATAGGACATTATACAGTGTTGTGTAGGTGTATGTTTGTAAACACTTTAATCCTTATTGTTGTAAACACCGCGGAATATTAAAATCTTGTAATCTTTCGGTCTGAAGGTCCCAGAAGGTCGATGTCCGAACGCCCGGAATGGGGTATCGAAATTTTAAAATAGGACTATGCGATTCCGATAATTGAGATCCTACAAAACGTTTAATTTGTACATATTTGTCAAAACTGGTTTATATAATTTTCAGTGTGATTATCGGATAATGCTTTAAAAAACATATAATTTTTTTTATTATGATATACTCGTAAAATATACATTTACTTGTAGACAGCCACGACGTCACATCCATAAGGATGAAAGTATTAAACGTAAAATCTAACCGATATAATGTCATGTAGTACACTAGTTGCCTGAAAAAAAATACATAAACAATAAAAAAAAATGTTTTCTGTCGTTCCTGGTGTAGTAACACAGCATCACTTCTCGGCGAGCGTTAGATAAAGGGAGGCAGCGATATGTTATCGCGCGTCCTGTTGCGTCCCATCCGACTGATAACGGGTTCGATGGCTCCGTTGTTACGAAAGCTATACAAGAACTTGGCAACCGTAGAGGAATGACAGTAAATTTTTAAATGAATACTCTGGACATTATAAAAATATCCTTGAAAATGAAACATTACACAATAATAACCTTGGACAATTCACACAGCGCCATCTAGTCCCAAGCTAAATAAAGTTTGTATTATAGAGACTAGACAACTGTTACAAAGACTTGCATACATTTTTTTATATGTACATAATATACTACGTTTCATCATGCGAGAAATCAAACTTGCAATCATGGCAAATAATGTAAACCGCTGGACCACCTAGGCCATCAAAGATTACTATATAATACTTAGACTTTTCAAATTTCAAGATGTTTATCCCTTAATATATCTACAAATTTATGTCGTTAAATAGCTAGGCGTTCATATGAATAAAAAAATAAAAAATCAATCTTTTACCATTGTAATCAGTTCAACATTCTAGATAATTACCATACTTATTACAAACTAATAATTAATATAAAAAATACAATGTTCTATATACGAGTAAGTTTTTTAAACAATCAATCATGAGTTTAATAAGCAAAATATCATGTTCCTTTTCTTTTTTACCTACGTAAAAATATATAAAAAATATTAGAAACTACACTGTATTAACTATCAACTCCCGTTGCATTCGATTCCTTTTTTCAGAACAACTTCATATAATAATATATTAACAAATGTTATTGCGATATATATAAGGTAAATAAAACTCTTTTAAAAGAAAAAAGAATTCGAAAAAACTTATCAGTTAGATAGAGTGTACCATGAAATAATTTAATTGAAATTTTCGATGTGCCAAGTATTTCGATAAACCAAGCTCAAACTTGCTGAAAACGGCATCGTGTGACATTGCGGAAATTGCATGACGTGTTCCAAATAAACTCTCACGTATACCTGCTGTATGAACGGCTGCAGTCGTACTATGATGACAACATATTTCCCGTGATTTATGTTACGTGAGGCTTCGACATGTTTTCGTGGTAGGGGGCAAATGTTTCATTCAACTAGCTATTTACCTTAATTATCAAGTGATATATAAATAGACTTATCACTTGCCTAAATACCTAATATAGTTACACATTCATAACCGCTTAGGTCCAACCGATAAAACATTACAGACAGCGTATAATTTCTTGGTGTTTATCGTACCACGACCTCCGAACTGCATATCTAATGAATGACCGAATTCGGTTGTAGCCGAATTAGAAACAGCAATAATAAAATGTCACGATGACGAAACTTGCTCTCCCATCCTTTAAAAAAAATCATATATCCGATTTATTATCATTAATGTGGAACGCTGAGGCAACCGGGCACTGTAAGCCTATATCTACACATTATTTTATTTACGCTCGTTGTTAACTCATCTCTGAAACGACACGTTAGTTTAACAGATTACACTGTCTCTCAGACAACAAATGTTCTACTTTTCTCTACAAGTACTCTACAGCCAGTACCTGTCCCGTTACCTGTATCCTTCCATTTTCCCATAGGAAATCAGTTTTGTCTTGACTGCTATCCACAACGAGAATGATAATAGTATAAAATATATAGTTTAAAACTTACGAGGTATGTTGTAAAAGGCCGTCAAGCAGCTTTCTGTGTAAGCTGTTTTATGATTGTAGTAGAACATATTAGACCTCAGCTAAATTAGTTTAAGATATAAAATTGATTCTTGGAAACTAAATCAACGACTCTATTCAGAACCCCGCAGGGACGCTCCTTGGACTCGCTCCAGAGGAGACCATAAGGGGAAAACCCGACCAACTATATATCATCACTTGTGTCCGGACAGATAGATGAATCCGTTTCCTGCAAAAAACAAAATAAAAAAAATATTTATTTAAACAAACATGTCATCAAAATTTACTAAGTATTTTATTTTATATGTGTTTATCCCCATTACATATATGGTTGTGAAATCTAACAAAATTGAAATATGTTCAGGGAATTCTGAATTTTACTGTTATAGTTCAGTTTTATCATATCAGATTTGAGTAGGTACTCCGAAAAACTCTCTTTTTTACCATTTCACTTTGGTGAAACACGTTATCCTGTCGTTCGCGTGACAATTTCAGGAAATCCTTTCTTAATGAATCCGTATTAATTAATAACTATCATTATTAATTGCATAAATTATTTATCCTAGTAAGGGCTATGAATTAAGTCTAAAGTATTATTATATTGCAATGTCTGTTGTTATCGTAAAAATAGCAATTGTTTATGCACACGTTAATAATGTAATAATATTTAACTATTCCTTTACTTCCGATTAAGATGAATCTAAAAAATATTAATCTTAATTTTTACCAAAAGAAGTGCCGACTTGCAACTCCATTATAGCCACTTTGATATTATTCCTGATAAAGGTTTGAAATTAATTAAGCATCAGTAACCATTGTAAATATATTACTAAATATTTTTTTCTAAAATATAAATAAAAAATAGTATACGGTATTTTTTTGCGGACTATTTTAATGGTGTTTGCCGTATCTGGCTATATACCTATCCAGATGATATATCTAGACATTTCTCTTTATATACATATCCTGTATAAAGTTAAAGAATGTTTATAAGCTGCATAAAATGAAGTTTTTATATTGAATAAGGAAAAATACAATTCACCTCTTCTTTGAGATCATCGTGGGGAGTCTATACAGTGTTCAATTAGTTATCAGTTACTTGAACTACTTGTGTGGCACCTTCAGACATAATAGTTACTATTTCATTGTTCGTTCAACTTCATTATTTTGTCAATATCTTTGTGTTATGTAATTTTATCATTATTTTTATATTTTTCATAGAATTCTACTGGTAATAAGTTTATAACAATAGAGTCAATACTGTTTTATATTTTTGGTAGTCTGTGCATATTTTTTGTATTTAAGCGTAATGGCAAACAAGCCACCTGATGGCTAATGGTAACAGGAGGCTATAGATGTGAACATGACCAGCACTACGGACATCACGTTAATATCATGTGACGGCCATCAATCGTTACCATTCTGTAGGAATACCATTTCTCTTTCTAAGTTGTCATAGCTTATCCTGTAGTTTAACGATCTTATCTCGACAACCGAACTTTTAATAAAACAAGCTCTTGCCGGATGAAATATGTAATGAAATATGTATTAATAAATTCAAATAAAAAATTATTTATTCATGTAGGACATATTCTAGCCGCCAGTGAATGTCAAGTATACAAAGTTTACATCGATAATGTTACTCTTTTCAGAAGAGAATAAAAGTTAAGTAGGTAGTTACTAATAACTGAACAGTTTTGTACAGTTGTTCGATTGCATGTTTTTTTAATGTATTCCTTCTATAAATCTTAACCCGTCACAAGTGTCATCGCGTTGCAATGTGAGGTTCATTTACATAATATCGAAACCCGATCCGAAGACGGGACTTCTGGCAGATTGTAACAAAATCCTGCTGCTATTCGGTGAAGATCGGCTGTCTTCGCCAATATTCGGGTCCCGCTCGTGGCCTTTTTTGCGGACATGTGGCGACCAAATGGGCTTGCGCATCCTGACTCTTTTGTTTCACGAATTCCCGATGTTTGAATACTTTTTTTGGCGATACCCCATAGATAAAATATGAATGGTGGCTTGTTTGGAGATAATAATGAACATTTCCTTATACGAATTCAGAAATGTTTCCATCCGGTTTATATTATTCATTTATGATAATACTATGGGTTATTACATTTTGAAAGAGGCATAGAATTGTAAAGCCAAGTTACTTTGTATATAATATAGCAGCTAAATTCTCAGTATATATTTTGTGGATGGATCTTGGATTCATACTACTGCTTTCTGAAAGTTAATTATTATCGTACGAACATATTACGATAGATATTAATATTATTATTATTTGCTAAGGATTATGTTATATATTGTATAAATAATAATATATTTACTTACTTACTTACTTTCTGTCCACAGTTACATTCTTACTCTACCAAATTTAAAAAGGTGTAAGCTCTAAAATCTACTGTACTTTATATTTGCCAATATTTTGTATGTATTTTGATAGTTCTTTCTAAAAAGGGTAATAATAGAGTTGCCTACCCAGTTTAATAACAAACTAATTATGTCAGAATCCATAGACTTCTTTGTGGCAAGAAACAATTAAATATAGACTATTCGTTATTAAAAAAATATCTTTTTACAGATATGTGACGTGTGCGATTCAACATCGGATTCCAAAAATCACCCGCCAGAATATGCTGTTGACGGAATGGAAACCTGGTGGCAGAGTCCGCCCCTATCCAGGGGGATGAAGTACAATGAAATCAATTTGACCATTGATCTCGGACAGGTAATTTTCATTTGTACAGAATATTTTATTTACTTATTTTTATACAATTTTCATATAAAACCAGAGAGGGAGGTTATGTATGATCTAAGACAAAAGATAAACGGACCGTAATGACTGTTAGGTATCCCAGATGGGGGTAGTCAGAGGTATTGTCAAATATCGACGTTATTGTGAACACAACACCTAACATAGACATATTTGATATACATATTTGATACTAACGTGCCAAGGCGGGAGCTTAGCACTGTTTCTGGGATACATTTTTGATTTGATATGGATCCTTCACCTGAGAATCAGTTTGACAAAAAATAACACTGTACAAAAAATAAAATTTATTGACAAATTATGAATTCGTTATTTAAAAGGCGTGATGAAATAGATATTTAACTAGGATTACGTTATAATTAGTAAATACTAACAAAATATCAAGGTAGGGATTTATATTTAATAGGAACGTTTGTTATAATATTCTATAGATTTACAAAACAATAAGAAAAGCCTCTTACATAGCGCTATAGAGGCTATGTAAGAGGTAGGTGTAAACACCAATAATAGTCACCCTTCGTAACTCATACATCTTTCGTCTTTCATCTACCATATTTTAAGCGTAGATCTCGTATACGTATATGTTAGAAAAATGTTTTCAATTACTCCTAATCTCAGTCCTGTAGAGTATACCTATTGGTTCTACTTTTAATAATGTAATGTAATGTCTATTCGTGATAGTAAAAAGAATTTTAAATTGTAGTTCGTGGACAATTTTCGTTTAATACTTCTAACATTCGTGATAATTTATTCATTTCTTGCTCTCTATGCCGAAGATGTAATGATACAATGAAATAGATTCATTTTCACAAATATGTACATAAAATGTGTTCATCGTGTATCCGGGACATGGCATCCCGAAATAGTGTGCACAGCGACTGAAAGTGCATTGACCCACGTTACCTCACCATGTTAGGGACATCAATTTTATTATAGCCTGGAACTTAATTATAGAGTAACAGACGTATTGTGCAAGACATGGTGCTTCATTTAGAAAACACAATAAGTAGAAACTTTAAACGTTATTTTAGAAACAGCAACACCGACAGTCATTGAATGCACTTCTCCTACATTAGGTCTGTAAGAAATATTACATGTCTATCTAAATTATTTTGTCCCATATAGGCACAATGTAGGCAAGATTGTAGGGACTCGACTCAGAAAAATATGGGTGCTGTTTATAAACAAAATTCCAATCTCACATAATCTGAAAATATATCGCTTTTTTGACTAATTAGGAAATTATATTTTAAAAAATTCTGTTGCCACAGGTTATTTCATAGATTGAAACTTTAACTTGTTTAATATTGTATATTATATTAAACCTTAACTGTAAAAGAGTAGGATCTGTCATAAATGAACTAGTAAACTCTATATTTGTAGTATGAATTACACCATTTATTTCGACCGCCAAAGTATATATGCTATGCGAGCTGTTTCCAATTTTTTTGGTTGTATAATTACAATATAAGACAATGTATTCTACACTACAGAACGTGGTATAGTACTGGCATAGTGTTGGATAAAATTATTCAGTCCCCATAGAATTAAACAATTCACCAGGAAAACCTACAATAAGTTTTAGAGGAACGGCGTGGCTGCCGAGACTAGATACCATTACTAATAAACTTTCTCCTGGTGTACAGAAAAGTTAGCGGTCTGAAAAGTAATATATGGCAGTCAAATGACCGAAAATAAGGCGTAACACCTTAGAGGGAGGTTTCATTTTTGCAGTGCACTTGTAGATAGAGCTGCCGCGAAATATGCATTTACTAAATATTTATTCAACATTGTCATGCTCAGCGATTGTTCCTGTAACTAAACGCTGTCTACTACTTGTGTTATATGAAACCTTATGTTTTTGCTGATATATTGCGAAGCGAACTTTGTGTGTGATATTTACCTTAACCATTCCCTATTGCTAAATATTCTCACAAATCATTCCCGCAATAATTATTGTATTAGTACTAGTTTATCTTCATCCTTTTGTCGTTTTACTACATCAGTAACAGTGTAAAGACAAAATATATCCAAATTGTTTCATATGTCAATTTCTGTTAATTAACTAAATTCCTTGCACGTATTTTACAAACTAGACTATATCACTTCTTTTGCTGCAGTAACTAATTGATAGACACAAGATTTTAGCTGTTGGTTCCGTTACAATAATTTACAATGACCTTCTTTTTTAAGGATTTTATCATGGTGTATAAATATATCAATAGGTCTTTTGCTATATTATAATTTCATCTAAATATCAAATTATATTTAATAAGTGTTAGATTTCGTTCATTTACCGTATACATCAAACGAATTTGGCTGACGTGAAATATTATTTATATTGTTTTAGGACAATACATAATTATACATATTTCGTAACAATGCCATCTAGCATAAAATAACTAAACTAAAACCTCCACAAAACATCAATACCAACTGACATATAGCATCAGAAAGATTGTGTGCTTGAAATGTAATATATTACTAATACCATATAAAAATATAGACCTATTTGTAATGTTATGTATAAACGAACACCAAAAACAAATGTTCTAGCATTTAAAATCCCAGATGCAACTACAAAAAATACTTGATTTTACTTTCCAAGGTCTTTAATTTTTCTTTATTAACTTTTTTTATTATTAGTATTTTGGTAGCATGGCTGATCTTGCGGTATAGCACAGCACTTTAGTTTCGATGGTCGCGGGTTCGATTCCTCGCACGGTTCAAACATTTCTACTCAAGAGTATCATTGTTTGTATCGTCTGGGTGTTTTCTATGTATATTGTTCTAAATACATTAGAAAAAATATCTACGTATTCATATCAGTTCTTTAGTACCCATAACTCAATCTTTGGGTAGCGTTATTTATTGAATGTACCGTTTGCAAAATAAATAATGCATGGACTTTAATATACACCTATCACATAATTATAAAGTAACATTAGAATGACATCATTATTATTAACGTCTGTAACTCAAAGAAACTAGATTTGATACATGACATCATTATCCAAAAAACAAAATACCTTAGCCTTAAACGGCATTAGACATGATACTAAAATCAAAGGCTGCATGAAGATAGTAGACGCAAGATTCTTAGATTGCCTCATGTTTAGCAAAATCGAGAGAGAGAGATATCTTTTCTGATTATACCCTCACAATAACTGTTCCAATATTACCCCTGATTTTATAACATAACGTCTGTAAGTTATTTTATTTGTATTTGCATGACGATGCTTGTTTCCTAAACTAACCTTTTTTATAAGAAATTTGAGTTTCCCTATGTATTTTGCCCAAATATATGACAGATCTTTTTATTGCGAATTTAAGGTTTTTTATAAAGGGGTTGTTTGTATTATTTCGAAAGTATGTAGTAGATGGCGCTGTAATAAATGTATATAACCTGAAAAATGGCGGCAGGAGACAAATCGTTTGCCAGATCAGCTTATTTTGTAAAAAAAAATATTAACATCGAGTAAACGCGTGACGTTAGGCCGCGTGCACACCGGACGCTGTGGGTGTTGATAGTGGTAAACGATAACTTTATACACTACCGAAGGGCAAGGTTGAATGATTAATAGACTATATTATCGCAAATAGATTCCTATTAAAAATATTCTTAGAAACAAATTAGATAGAGCAGTTTTTATAGTAGTTATCTAATACTTTTTCTGAGGACGGAGATAGTAATTGGATCCAATTAAAAGCAATAGATTTTTACAATTTTACAACAATTGTAAATGGGGTTGACCCATTTACAATTGTTGTAAAATTGTAAATTTTAATTTTAAATAAAAACTATATGTCTTAAGTTGTGTATTAGGCAAAAGCCAAAGAGCTATCTAGTAGCAGTAGATAGTGTACGAGTAATATAGTAAGCCTGTCCTGCATGTAAGGACTGGTCTACATTAATCACTACGATTGATTTAATCTTATTGTGTATTTAATATTTTGACTCTAATGAATTAGTGCTCATTGATAGTTTCTATTCGTACATTTCGAATTAAAATGTAAAGTTACAGCAATTATTTATAAGAGCTACACGCAAGTTTCTTGCTCGTTCGTCTTATGATGAGTAAGATTTCCGAATGAGTAGTAGATTAAAAAAATACTATGCTTATTCAAACATGCTTAATTTTATTTAAATAAAGGCTTTTCTTTAAATAAAATTAAGCATTCTATTCTAATAAAGCCATCAAGATCAATAGCACAAGGCTTTACATTCTGCCTTTACAATCCCGTACAATAGAAACTGATTTTAAAAGTATTTATTTTTAAAATATTTGTCGTAAAACTAACTTGCAATAACTATTTGTGTATATTATAAACTTGTGGTGCCAGCGACATTGCATGCGTGTACATTTGTAGATGTGATAGATTTGATTGATTGTGATCACACAGCAATTTTTAATAAAGCATCTATACGACGTCAAATAATATTTGATAGTTCAGGTGGCGAAATGAAATAAAAACAAAATGTTACACCCTTCATTCTTTTAGGGGCTATTACTCCCAACTTTCTTAGCATATATCTAGACCCACATTTAACAACATACTCTATGAATTTTTCCTCCATTTTCTATTTTATTTGGCTTACGAATATTCTCTAAATCCGTAACATTAAAAAATGTTATCCGGCATATGTTTACCATAATCCCTTGTATTCTAGTAAAACAGAGAAATTATATACCAACCATTTTTCCATCCAGGAGTTCCACGTAGCATACGTGTTCGTCAGGATGGGCATTTCACCACGTCCAGGGTTGTGGGCGCTGGAGAAGTCGACAGATTACGGAAAAACCTACAAACCATGGCAGTATTTCTCAGATTCTCAGTAGTGAGTACTTATTATTGTGAATATTAATCTATGTTGTCCCACTATTGAGCAAAGGTCTCCAAGTCAACCAGATCTTTTTGTATACCTTTAGTTCATCGCACCATCGCATTCTAGGCTGTTCACCGCGACGCTGTCCATCTAAAGGTAACGTGGATATTTTGCCCCATTTTAGAGAATTGTTATGGCTGATATACGTTACATTGCATTTTTTATTTTATTAATATAATTATAATAATTAAATTAGTTAATATATTTGTAACTAAATGTTTATATAGGAACATTACTTTAGTTTGGCTTAAACAATATTTCTACGTATGTAACACTAACACAGTGCATACTTTGATATAGCACTGAAATAAACAAACGACAATCAATTCATAATAACATTGCTTTGCTAAAATAGGTATCGCTCAAGACTATTGCAATTAGACTATAATCGATATAGAGAAAAAATAAAGAATATATCAACTGATGAAATGAAGCAATCATTGCTCGCCCTCTTTGATCTATCCCTCCCCTCCGATCGACTCCCCATCCTATTCAAATAGGGTTTAAAATTACGGATGCCTGAGCAGAGGCTCGAACCCCTAGTGATGCTCTCAGTCTAAAATCATATCTGTCAAGGAGTTGGCCTTTAGGCCTAAACGTTCTACCGCTTATTTAGAGCCATCTGCTCTCTTTCCCATATCTTCGATGAAGCTGTAAAGGCCATCTGCAGCCAACTGCATTAGAATATTATATACTAGCTGCGTGCTCCGACCTCGAATAGACATACGTGTACTATAAATATATAGTAAATATATATAACAAAATGTAGTTTAATAATGTAATTTTATAACAAAATGTAATTTTATAACAAGATGTAAACGTACTAACAGCGCGTGCGACTTTCTTTTACACGATGTCAATTATTCAAAAAGAGTCCTTGTGATCCTTTATAATTATTAGTATGGATACCTACCGTATAAATTACAAACAGTCAAAGGAGACAGAAAACAAAGTACAAGCATTATAACTAAGATTATAATGTTTGAAAAGCGACTAACAAAATAATTACTTTCAGCGATTGTCAACTATATTTTGGAGAGGAGAGTCTAAAACCGATAACACGGGACGATTCTGTCATCTGCAGCACTGAATACTCCAGAATTGTTCCCTTAGAAGGTGGAGAGGTGAGTGAGAATATAATGTTTATACTACATACATAGTAAACGAGGTGCAGCTCTAATACATTCAATATTAAGAAAAGGAATCAATTACGGCACGTAATTATAATGTATATTATTATAGTAGGTAATTGTTTTTTTTTTAAATATATTATTATAGTTGTTACACTCGTGTACGCATATCTCAGAAATGTAGCAAATGATTTAATTGGTATTACACTGATACAAGTACTGGTATTGTAGCAATCTTTTTTTTTCAAATCGAATAAAAAATATATTATGTCAACGAATGGCACGTTTATAGAAAAGTGTTCTGTATTTTGAAAATATATAATTGTAATCCTATGACATTAAATTATACCTTTTTATACATTTTAATAGTCTTACAATTAGAATTATTGTAGCCTATAGAATTTATCAACATATAAATTCTATAGGCTACAATAACCATTTACCATCAGTAGCGCCGTATGCTTGTTTGCCACTATCGTAGTATAAAAAAATCGTATGGTCAAAGAAAAAACTAACTGACTATTATCTATTTATACAGTTATCGTCGTATTTATTAAATTTCTATAGAACAGTACTAGAAGTACTTGCAAAATCGATTTGAGATTAGACTGCAGAGTAGACCTATTGTGATTTCGATTGTGCATGTAGTGAGCGTCTAGATGGATGCAGATTTCTTGATATTTGGTTAGGTATTTGACTCAAAACATTCACACCAAATTTTTAAGTTTTAATCATGTGTAATTATTTACAATCATAAAAATAAACAGTCTTAACTGAAAAAAAGTTTGTGAGTTTTAATTTAATGTCATCTTAATTCGAAATTCGAAATCGGTTTTCTAATCTGATTTTTCAAATGTTTGGAACTATTTTAATTATTACGAGTATTAAGTGTGCCTCTTTGTAACTTATTACTAACAATTTTATGAATTTCAGATCCCAATTTCTCTACTCAACTATCGGCCATCAGCAAATAAGTATTTCAACTCATCGGTTCTTCAAGAATGGACAAGAGCTACAAATGTCAGACTTCGATTGCTAAGGACCAAGAACATGTTAGGTCATCTCATGTCGGTTGCTAGGCAGGACCCTACTGTAACCAGGCGGGTACGTAATTTAAATTAACCCCTCAGACAAAGGGAGACAGACGAAGCTCTCTAAATTTATATGTATATAAACTAAACGTGTCACTACTAAATATCGGAGTAGGTATTTGTGCCTTAGGGTTTTTAAGTAGCGTACGAATGCATTTTCAATTTGGATTTTCTGTTTAAATGAACTGCATACTTTGTAAATTCACACTAGAACAAAGGGAAGTCGAGGGCACAGCTAGAAAATAATTTATATGGAAGCTTACGAAGTTTTAAACAACGTAAACTTTAATCGTGACTTGATTATTCTGGGACTTATTTTATATTAAGTCGAATGTTAATACGAATTCCTAGGCAGAGATTGGGGAAGATTGACTACTAGGAGTGCAGATCATGAAAAGTTGTTAGAACCTTCTTAGTTCTAACACTAGCGACATGTAATCCAGAAAATCCAGTTAATGTAAATAAAAAATTTACTTTAAAATGTTTGATTGTCCATTGTTTTCACGTAAAATTAGTATGAACAATGACTATCTGTTAATTACTGTTGTTTTATATCATCAATCATATTATATGCACTCATTGCTAACAAACATTCATAAGTCATATAAACAAGACTTTATCAAGATATTTTGCCATAGAACATTCTCAAAAATAAGATGTAAAAAAGGGCTATTATAGGTGACATATGATTGATTTAATGATTTGTATTAAACCTACTGATCGTCAAAGTTAGAAGTTCGATCCTAATTGATTAAAATTTTTAGTATTACCGATACTAAAGTTTCATTTTTAAAAACTTACACAACTTTTATTTATATTTTAAAAATAATAGTCGGAATCTTGTCTTTCTTCTACATCTCCAGGTATCTGTTCTTATCGAAGGTAATGGCTTTATGAACTGTGATCTACCTTTCCAAGAGAAGGTAAAAAAAATCGTAATTAAGCACAGTACTGTTTGTCAATGCGTTTAAGCGGGCTAATCTCTGAAATTCAATTTGAATGCTTTTTCATTTATATTTGAAAAGAAATATAAATATTTATTATATTAAAAATAATATATATACTATATATAAAAATGTGTAGTCTTATTCCGAATACTACGGATACAATAGCGGCATAAATAATTAGCTGACTAATTATTGATACCTGGTCATTACTTATTCTGTATTTGTTTGTTCCTATAGTACTTCTACAGTATCAAAGATATCAGTATTGGAGGTCGTTGCATGTGTAACGGCCATGCAGACACGTGCGACCCGGCGGATCCGGCCAGTGAAAGCAATATACTAGTCTGCAGATGTCAGCACAACACTTGCGGCCCCCAGTGTGCTGAGTGTTGCCCCGGCTTCGAGCAGAAAAAGTGGAGAATTTCACAGAATTGGGACAGATTCGAGTGTGAACGTTAGTGTAACTGAATATGCAATATAAAATGACTGAGAAAAGTGGAGTATTAGGAATGTGGACTATTAACCCTATTAGTAACGTAGTGCCATAGTACATTGTGCCCGGTTGAGTTCCACACCGTTCCCCCTGGTAACCGTTGTGGTAAATTGCCATTCGCCAATATGGGTTAAGTGGCCTAACATCATGTTCATTTTATCATCCTCTACTGGTCCTCCACTGGTGCGCTAACGGGTTGCGGCGTAACCCGTTAGCGAACACGGGGATCATTCCATTATAATCCCTAAAAAATGCTAATTACTTGTGTAATCGCCACAATGGATTAACATTCAATCATTCATAGCAGCCTTCATTAGTGCCCCGTCTGCGTATACCGTTATGACACCATTCTATAATGATATAAAAATAATATTGGTGGTATACTAACGTACCATATCCACATCTCCCATCGTCTTTCCCTGGCGCCCTGCCAGCTGGACTATTAGGACAGGCGGTTGCATACGAAATTACTAAGCACGAAACATGACAGCTTATTTGTCGTGAATGATAACGCATGCGGGGTGCCACGGACGTCGCGTAATAACGTGGTATTGTCCACTTTATATTAAGTTGACCGTCAGCTTGTTCGCCTTTCCAGTTACATAGTAAAATATAGATTACAATTTAATCAAAATGTATTGTTATTCGATGACTAATATTCTATGTCGGTTACATCTGGCGAATTACTTCATAAAAGTAATTACTTTAAAAGCTCACAAGACAGTGGACAATTATGTCTGTTATAGAAACAATAGTCGCTGTGGTAGACGTGTTCTAGATGGAAGACTGCGTATAAATGTTGTATAGGACGCCCTACAACTAGGTGGAGCGATGCCATACGTAGAGTTGGGAAACAATTGGAAAAAAAAGGTTGGAAGTCGTGTAAAATACCACTCATTCGAAATAGCTTTTCGAATGAGTGATATATTAAAAATATAAGTCTACTATTATTACGAAAAGTGCTTAAATTTAAGTTTATTTGAATAAAATATTTGTAATTCCATTCCACGAAAGTTCAGGAAATAGAGACCTATATCTGAACAAACTTTTAAATACAACGGAAATTGTTATCAATAATATCCAATCTTTTAATTCCACAACACATAAATTAATAAAAAAATATTTTTAGTCTCCAGGTATTTCGAATATTTATATAGTAACGTTACAGATATAACAACTATATATTATTGACAGCATGCAATTGCCATAACCACTCAACCGAATGCAAGTACGACCCTGAGGTGGATGAGAAGCATTTATCTCTGGATATCCACAACAAACTTGAAGGAGGTGGCGTCTGCCAAAACTGCCAGCACAATACAGAGGGTATCAACTGTAATAAATGTAGACCTACCTTCTACAGACCACGTGGAAGCACCTGGGACATGATTGATGTCTGTCAACGTGAGTTACTTTACATACTAATAATAATAACTACCAACTATATGTGGTGAATTGTGGAGTAATAATAATCATTGATAATACACACAACGTCATCTAATCCCAAGCTTAGATAAGATTGTGTTACGGTTTCTAGACAACTGATAAATATTACATATATATTTTAAAATATATATGTACATTAAAAAAAATGCAATTGTTTATATTGTTTAAGGTGTTAGATATACCTATATAACACCTTAAAAAAATCTCTATGCTTTATAATAAATTAATTTGTATTTCTGGTTCATTCTTCTGTGAAAGAAATATAATAACAAATAAAAGTAACATAACAGTAGCCTCGCCACTGTTATTCTAAATTCGAATGTGGGCATAAAACTGTGGTGTTGACCACGACACAAACAATTTTCAATGCCTCTGACTACACTATATGGTCAATAATAATAACAGTCGTGAAAGTATATCACATTATTATATTAAGATTTTACTCTATATCAGTGGACATTTCTACACAGCCTGTCAATGTGACCTGCACTACTCAACCGGAAACTGTGCTGAAGAAACTGGGCAATGCGAATGCCGGAAGGAGTTTTTGCCGCCAAATTGTGACGCATGTGCGTACGGATACTTTGACTATCCAGACTGCAAGCCTTGTACCTGCAATCTGAATGGAACTGAAGGAAATAACTGCACACCTATAGGTGGGCTGGTAAGTTTAAATGAAATATTATTAAATATAACAAAGAAATATTGAGCAATAAAAATTTACAAACTTTTTTGTATATTTCCTCAGTGTCCCTGTAAATTCAACTACGCCGGAGACTCGTGCGAAATTTGTGCGGATAGCTTTTATTCGCCAGAATGTAAAAGTAAGTATTATGAAATAGAATAGATATAACGAACTAAAAACTTATGAATAGTTTATTTATATTCTATATGCTGTAATATTAGTAGGATAACTGATAGAAACACTTAAAACATTTGTTTTTGTAAATACTTACAAAATATACATAATAAGCACCCAGACCAATACAATAAAACATACTAATGAATAGAAATGTTTGTATCGTCTGGGGAAGATAATCATCGACCATCAAAAGGGAGATGGTGTGCTAAACCGAGAACCAAGACCGTCATAGTAGTGTAAGTACATACAACTATAGTAATAATGTACGGTAACTCTATAGTAATGTATATTATGTATGTTTGCAGACTGTGAGTGCAACAAAATCGGGTCCGTAAGCCAAGTGTGCAATAAGGAAACCGGCCAATGCGAATGCAAGGGCAAGTTCAGCGGCCGTACATGCAACCAATGCGAAGCTGGATACTTCAACTACCCTACTTGTAAACGTAAGTATCATTTCATGGCGAACTTTAAACAACCCCGTAGATAATTAGGCTTGCGTATGGGCTATTATACACTGTTATATTTAAAATAGTGATATCAAAAAGTTTATCTATACGACTATTGTAAACAGGACAATTAAGTAAACACATTTCTCATTTTTACCATCAAGTGGGCCAGCATTATTTCATGTTTCATATTTACAAAAAAGAAAATGTAGTGTAGGAAAGGTCGGATCATTTTGACTAGTTATATCAACTTAATAAAGTCATGGCTGCTAAATATTCATAGACTGATTAGCACTGTTTTATACTTTTTTTCACAATTTTGTATAGTACATAAACTGTCCTGAAAGTATACACAATTATTTATATTCAACTAAGCATGCTTTTTTAAGCTGTAACAGTATAAGGAATGAGATGTAACTGTGAAGATACAGAGTACGGAGCCATGACATATTAGTAGGCAGGAATAGTAAACCATGAGTACCACGTGCTTCACATGACGACGTGGTGATGTTCTTGTATATAGGTGAATGTAGGACTCACCATCAGGCCATAAACGTGTCGTTAAAAAAATTAATGTAATTAAAAAAAATGTACCTACAGACTGTAACTGCGACATCAGTGGAACGGAAAAAAGCGTCTGCGATGACATTACGGGTCAGTGCATCTGTAAAACTGGATTCGGGGGAGCGCGGTGCGACCAATGTATTGCTGGGTATGATATCTTTTAAGTTTTTCCTCACATTAAATGTATGATTCTAAATTACATTATATTGATAGATATATTTATGTAGTACTAGTGAAACCAGTGACTTCCATACACTCCACATTTATATTTGTGAAGCCTATCTATGGACGATAATGAACGCCAAAAATATTCGATTCTCATCTATTATTTTATTAAAAAACCTGCAGCTAAAGGCTTACTTAAAAATAATGAAAAAATATATATTTGATAAAAGAAATCTAGTATCCGTCTTTGTCATCTTTGTCTATATTCATATCAAATTTCATTAAGATCCGCACAGCCATCAGAAAATGTAACAAAAAGACTGACATACTTTCGCATCTCTAGCATTAGTATGTATGTGCATTTATGTCCACGCGAGTTTATGTCGATTACACGAACATCTTTTCGATTTTTAGAAATAATTAATTGCATCCTAGTAAATACCGCATCCTATAAGAATTCAACAAAGTTATCATCAATTTAAAAATGTGTTTTTAGAAGACCCCGTGTTCATTTAAAGTTAATAAATATTTTGAAATTGGTTAGTGTTTATATTACAATTTGTGATTTTTTAAGCTACTACATGGAGGTAAGGGGTCGCGATCGGCTTTGCGTACCATGTAACTGTTCTCCAACCGGCTCCACATCCACGAGCTGTTCCGCCGACGGAAAGTGTAACTGCCTCATTAACTTTGGCGGCAAACAGTGTGACCAATGTTCCCCTGGCTACTACAAATTTCCAGATTGTTTGGGTAAGCAACTAAATTCCATTATCATTACCTATATTTTACAAAGTAACTACTACACGTTACACCCAATCGTCAGAAAAAAAATATGGTATAATATCATGTTTTACTAAAACTCAAATTATTAGTTAATTATTAGTAGGTATATATACCTACTTGAAAGTATATATATATATATCATGCATTACCTTTAAAAGGACTTTTATATTTAAAAAAATATTGAAATGAATGTAAACTAAAATTTTGCTTTGTTAAAGAAAAATCGTAGAAAAACATCCTATTTATATATTTTATATTGAAATTTATTGCTAGGTATATTTATGGCTTGGTTATTTATGTGATCCCGCAGGCACACACACTATTACTAAATAAATATGCTTTGAAATTATAATAACTGAAGTATTATAGGTATATTCTGATTATAATCTGTATCCAATTTTTTTCTTCATTCTACTGCTTAATGTATCATCTAATTGTTCATATATTCGCTAGCTTGCAATTGCGACTTGTCGGGATCATTGGGTTCAACATGCGACGATGATGGACTGTGCCACTGCAGACCAAACTTTGACGGGAGCAAGTGTGATCGATGCAAACCACAATTTTACAATTACCCAGCCTGTGAAGAGTGTAATTGCGATCCAAGAGGAGTAGTTGCGTCATTTGCTGGTAAGTATATGATACTAAATGGACCGCCAGACTTTGTCCCGTCTAAGTGAATGCGCGAAATGTAAAACGCTCCAAGATAAAGTAATGACTACATTTAGATTTTTTGCACCATTTAGGTATTCAAAGATAACACTTACTTAATGTACTTTATGGTACATTAAGTAAGTGTTATCTACTTGCTACTTTTTACAAAATATAAAAATAAAAAAGATTAATAAAGTCGTTCTCAAGTAACGTCGAGACAAATAGAAATTTCGATTTATTACTATATAAAGTTAATTTTTTTTAACTATTTAATGCTGTTGGCTGTAGCTAGCCTTTACAGCTTCATGACTTTACTGGGCTTATTTATTGGATGTGATATTGTTTATTTTTTTCTGTAAATCTCCATCCTCCTTAAAAGTACCATATGTTATACTGTTTTCTGTAATTCTAAGTCTATAATGCTTATATTTTTTGTAAAAAAAATATATCTCTATTATATTATATAACTACTTAAAGAAAAATGAAGAAGATTATGCAGAACATTAGAAAATTTAATTTTTTAATTAATTCAATTACGCCCAATCACTCAGTAGCGAAGTCTGTATGGTGACTAATTATTAATTATATTTGTTTTACATTATTCTTGTATTTACGCATTATGCTTATAATTCGCAGGCTGTGGATCAGTACCTGAAGGAGAACTCTGCCTATGTAAAGAAAGAGTGCAAGGCCGTATATGTAATGACTGTATGCCGCTGTTTTGGAATCTCCAAGATTACAACCCGGTTGGATGCGAAAGTATGATTTTTTAGAAGCAAATTACTTAGCTTAGTTTTTTATGCTGTAATTACTAAATAACCCGAGATTTTAGAAATAACAATATATATTTTTCTTATTTATACACCTTTTTGAGTCTGGTTTTCTAATAATTAGTAGAATAAAAATAAATATGTATATTCGAAATGCTTGTATGGAGTTTATATGAATAAAGATTATTTCTGTTACATTCGGTACAGGTTGTATTGATTTTAAAATGTTTTTGTTTATAGAGTGTAGTTGCAATGTGTCGGGTACTCTCGGGGGACTTGGTGTCTGTGAAACCCGCAGTGGTCAATGTACTTGCAAGATGCACGTCGGCGAGAGACAGTGCGATCAGTGCCAGAACGGTTTCTATCAACTCGAATCTAATAATGTATTTGGATGTACGGGTATGTATTTTTTTTATTTATTTATTAAATTTATAGCCTTATTCATAAGTTGTACGCTGTATTATACAGCGTACAACTTATTATTAAGACTTTTGTATTATTGGTAGGTATGTTATAATTCATTTATGTTTAATATATAATGCTGCAGATTATTTAAAATTAGTTTGACATGCAATGAAGTTATATTTTTTTATATATTTACTGTCTAAGAATTATTATACGTTTTTTCTACTGATGTTAATTCATCATCTGTATTTTCTGATGATCAGAAACTGTCGGCATCAGTAATCTTGACAAGAGCCATAGTCGTATTATAACTGAGACTAATACGTTGCAAAAGAATGGAAGACTAGAAATAGATTGTTCGGAAATTTACTAAAAGTGAAGAGAATTTACTAAAATAATAGGAGGTCTGAAGTTGAGAAAGTACGAACATTGAATGTGTTTACACAACCGATAAGCAGAAGTCCCTGTTAAGACGATTCCAGTAACATTAATTACGAGTATATTAATGTTACTGGAATATTGAGCCTTTCCTACTCCCAATAATCTGAGAAATCTCCAGATCTTAGTTGGAACACGATTTTTTACTAGATTTATGACCGCTTTTTATAAATAATGCAGCCTACGGGATATATGGTCTTTTTCAGCATTTTTCATAATAATATGTTATAATGATTTTCATGAAATTCGATTATGTATATCGAAGTTTCCTTAAAGATCCCTGCCGTTAATCAGGTTTAATGTAAAATCCTAAAAGTTTTGAAGCCTATTCAAACAGAGAATCAAATATTTCCTCTTTGTAATATTATCTAGTATATATAGATTGACTGACACTGGTCACCCTCTTAGGGAGGTGATAGCTAGGGCCTCGGGGCGAATCTCTTTGCCCCGGCCGGCATCAATACCGGGGCAACGAGGTTCGCCCGACAACTCCCGGATAACTGAAATACAGGACTCTTATAGCGGGTTACTTAAAAACAAGTCAGCAAGCAATGAAAGTAAATTTAACCTAACTTAAAAAGTAGTGTCATAGTTGGGGATTTTTTTTACGTTTGTATTTTTTTTTTGTTTTTATAATTTATTGCTATTTTTGCGGAATGACAGTATATTAATGACATTAACATTTGACACATGTGTGTCTGACGTTCATTTGTCATTATTGAGTTAACAGCTGACAGAGAAATGAATTTCACAGATTTGTTTGTTTACAAAATAAAGAAGAACTCTTAGTAAATTAAGAATGAATGTTTTAGAAATAAACGTACATAGTGAAAATGATAGTGAAATAGTCCTAATGTTTGAGGTGCCTAGAGCCTATCGTGACCAAGGCAGCGATTTTAATATTTCTTGATATTGAATCAGACTGCACTACTATGGTAGGCAATGAGCTAATCCTGTGATTTCATCAGCGCAATGTAAGCGATGCCTTGTTCCATTATCACCAGCAACCCAACCAACTACGATTAAACTTATATGTGTCCAGCATTTTAATTGCAAATAAACAACCAAACATCCATAAAGACACTGTGCCTTGCTGCAGTCAGAAACTCCAACATGGAGAACATTCTATCACTGAGCTAAAAAAAAGCTTATTCTTGGGCTAAGAGTTTTCAATGCTTATTTCCAAGTTGTGGAATTTGACGAGTATGGAATGAGCATCGTCTTTAATGGAACAGCCAAGGCTAAGATATGAACAGCTGACAAGTCATCAATATGTAGTCTTTCCATGATAGCCTTTTAAATTAACTAACAGAAAAGATTTCTCAGATTCTGTGACAGCATGCAGTAGTAAGTTTGTCCAACGATTATGCATTTCCATCTGATCTTGTTGATCACTGCATCCATATTTCTGAAACATTGAGTTCTGTAGTAGTAAAACTCCTATATGTATCTATGTCCAGTTCCAGTGGAGATATAGTAATTGGGTGTGTTTCTTGTCTTCTCCAATTAATTTTTTAAAATACTCCAACATACTTGCCATTAAAGTGAAAAGTGTGGCATAACATTTTTTTAAATTTGATGAAAAATATGATTAGAAAATTTGCAGATAAACTTACATACTGTCTTGATTAACAATATTACCATTATTAACATAACATATAAATTGAAATCTTATCTTCTGTCTAAGCTTTCTATATATTTTTATTGTAATTAGATGCAGGTACTCAATATTTATAAACAAAAAAATACACTATTGTGGCTCTTATTACAAGAAACTTAAATGAACCAATTTGAATTAAACATTATTATGTTTGTTTCAGAATGTGACTGTGATGTTGGTGGATCAATAGATAACAACTGTGACAAGTTAACTGGACAGTGTCACTGCCATTCGCGTGTGGAAGGTCGCCGGTGTGACCGTCCCATCCAAGCCCACTACTTCCCTACCCTCCATCAATTTCAATATGAGGTTGAAGAAGGTCTCACACAGTCAGGGCCAGTTAGATACAGGAATAATGAGCGGGTGTTCCCAGGATACTCTTGGAAGGGTTATGTGGTGTTCACGCTTCTACAGGTTGGTTGACTATCAACTTACAAATAACCATACTCATGACTGCATATGTTTGCACCATGCAACCATGGGAAATAAACCAGTGTGCTAAATCGCTAGACCACTGAGGCTAACAAGTGTTACAAGTATTACTGACATTCTAAATGCATTTATTATATCGTTTTATTCCAATATTTATACACATTTACACAAATTAGTCATAAAGAGTAAAGTAAGTCTTAAGCCAGTAATAATATTCATAAATCTTTAAAAAATGTAGCAAAGTAGTAGATATTATGTTATCTGTGGTAGTAGTAACTTCAAAATATTTTTAACATACTCATTCAAAATGTGTAGTACTATGAACAATATCCTATGGAAATTACATTTGTTTTATTGTTTTCTGATATTTAACTTAGTTTGTAGGTGAATATGGTTCAGTTGAGTATTCTGGCTGGCTAGCTAAAAAAATTTCAAAATGTATAGTTTTGGATTTTTTTATTCCCTTTGAAAACTGTTGTACTGGTCATGATAGCCAGACTAAGCAACTTTACCAGATGGTGCTTCATAACCCTCCATAATAAAAATTACAGCCTGGGTGTTTTAGCGGTTTAGCACACCTTCTTAGTTCTGATAGTCACGGCTTTGCTTCTTTACATGATTCAAACATTTGTATTCATCAGTATGATGTGATTATTTATATCAGTCTGCGTGTTTTCTATGTATAATATAAACGGTATGTATATTAAATATTTACAATATATATATATTATTATTATAAATAATATATATATTATAAATATATAATATATGTGTTTATGAAAACTGATACAAATATATGTATTTCTATCAGTAATGTGAATTGTCCTGACATTATTGTTTTTATAAATTTATTTATTATTTTAATATAATAAATTTCTTTTTCATAGAACGAGGTAATTAACATCGTGCATATATTATCGAAGTCCTCGCTGTATCGTATGGTTGTAAAATATGCAAACCCGCTCCGTGACCCGGTCATTGCAACCATCATCATCACACCAGAGAGTGTCGTAGATATTACACAACAGCAGTAAGTACAAGGGGCTATTTTTCATCCATCTGCAATATGTAGGAACTTTTTTATATAAGAAAATATTGCGTTTGTGACGCAATATTTTCTTATATATATAACAGAATAAACCGAAATAGCAAAAAGAATAGACATAATCTGTTCACTTTCGAAGAACTTTTGTATGTTCTTCGAAAGTGAACAGATTATGTCTATTCTTTTTGCTATTTGGGTTTATTTTGTTGCTCCCCATTTCTTTCCTTATACAAATTATAATAATGTTCAATCTGGAATATATTTTGTGAGTGTAGTTACTTTGCTATTTTTGGGTTTTTTAGTTATCTATACCTTTTGATTACTTCATTCACACTTGTGTACCATAGTAATTATATTAGAATAAATTACTATCTGAATATTAGTCAAAAATGGAATGTAAGTAACAAGAATATAGAATTGTACTCAATGACTGGTATGTATTTCAGATTTAGCGTGTTACTAAAACCTACCACGGAGCCCCAATTGGTCACTGTTTCTGGTGAAAAAGGTCTAGCTCCAGCTCCATTCATTATGAACCCAGGCAACTGGACAGTCACAATTAAAACCACAAAGGAAGTCATGATTGTAAGTATATAATAAATAATTATAGACTGCAAAGACGACATCAATCTAACTCTGAGACCGTTCTGGAATAGGGTTGCGGAAGACAGAGTTTAATGGAGAGAGAGCTGAAGGAGACCTACGCCAAAAGGCACACCAAGTGTTGGGACATTTTATAAACCACAGTTTAGGGTAGCCTAGTCTATAACTATAAGATTAATAATAAAATAGCCTATATATGTACCCCAACTTTGGGAAAATAGGCAATATTAAAGTTATACACTAGGCTACCCAAAATCTTGGAATCAAATTTCTTAATAATGTATTAATATCTTTATAGATTTATCATATAAACTTCTCTGGAAACCGTTATATAAAGTTGGATGTTTCATTTCAACAAATTTCCTTTTCTATTTATAGGACTACTTCGTATTAGTGCCAGAAGCATACTATGAGGCTACTGTACTTACCAAGCTAGTGGAGAAACCATGCATTATTGAGGACAGGGAATTGTGCCGTCATTATGTCTACCCTAGCATAGCTGGACGTCCGAAGGCAGACATCAACACTCTAACCACCAGTGTAACGGCATTTATTGAAGGAGAACAGGTAAATGTATTAGATTAAATTAGTAGGTACAACAAAGAGTAGAGAAGACACCAGTCTACATTTCTAACATATCGGAGTGATACCACTAAAATGATATCAGGCTAGTATAAATTTATTTATTTTATTTATTTATATAACTTCACTGCACAAAATACCAAGGTAAAAGTACATATGGCGGACTTAACGCCTTACGGCATTTTCTACCATAAATAAACATATTTGAGGCCAAGCCTAAACGAAAACAATATCCTCGTGCTCTGCAGATCTGCAGTCGATACTGTGTTTGTTGTGGTTTTGATTATGATGATATTTATGGTCATAAATAATAAGTTAGTTTCCAGAAGAATTGCATTCCTTTAATATTTTTTTTTTACAAGTACATCAATCTGTATTTGACAGTAAACAATATATTAAATCTGTATTCAATAAGTAGGTCATATATACTCGTAACAATATTATTTATCTACTTTCAATTAACAAGACCCTATTATTTCATTACAGCAACTGAAGGAATTAAACGTGGATCCTAATACCATACCATTATTGAACAATGACCAGGATGAACTGCAGTATGATATAAAGATAGATCCACCAGGAAGGTACCATATTCTAATCGAGTATGTTACTCCAGTGAGCCCTGGAAGCACACCAGAGGGCCGTGAAATGTTCAGTCCAAGGAATACTGCGACGATTCGATTCCAGTCAGGCGACGGGCCCGAGTCCTATGCTATTGTCAATCTAAATAACTGTCCATACACGTCACCGTGTCGACAAGTTGTTGTGAATGATTTGTCGATGATATCAGCCTTCAACGTCATAGCTGCCAATAACGTCATTTATTTAAATGTAAGTATACTATAAAGAAATATATTTTTAATTTGCTGGAAGCAGTTCTGCATTTATTACTTTTAGTTATGCACTCTCTATAACAGATATACCTTGGACACACAAACATAAAAATAATATACCTCTGCAATTCATACAGCACTATCTAGTCCCAAGCTAAACAGATCTTGTGTTATGGGTACTAAACAACTGGGAGATATTTTTTTTTTAATATCTATAAACACCCAGACCATTACAAATGTTTGTGCCGTGCGAGGAATCGAACTCCCGACCATCGGAAGTTAAGTGTGCTGAACTTCTAGAGCACCGGGTGGTCAAATTAAATAATAGATACTGATGATCTAGCTAAGAATAAGTTTATTTATCAGAAACTTAACTATTGTGGGCTATAACCCCCCAGCTGTCTCAGTGCAGTTTAGTGCTATCTCCCAGTGATAAGGCTTCTTCTGTTCTCTTATACAAATATTTCTATGACAGGGTGAGAGGAACACTTTAGCAGGTATCAAGTCGATTATAGCGATACCAGAGTCGGAATGGAACTTGGACTACATCACTCCTCGGCCGTACTGCTTACGACGTAATGGACGCTGTGAACCAGCCGTCTTCTCGGCAGCAGTCGATTCTAAAAAGGTATAGTATAACACTAATAATTTTCTGTTTCATTCTTAACATAAATACACAATGTAATGTAAAATTGCAGTTGGTGTCTTATTAATATTTAAATACAATATAAAAATATCTAAGATTTTTTTAAAATGGATGTTAAGATATGGAATCACCAATGTAGGATGATAAGATAAACATGTGGTCAGGTCAATTGCCAGCCCATCGTGACAATTCGGCAGGAATTTATTATTATGGTTTCCAGGTGGAACCGCGTGGACTATCTGACATGGTAAACATTTTGGCCCATTGCTAGCAATCTAGTAGTAGATTCAATAGTCCAGTAATGTGGACTATTGAATCTACTACTTCCAATAACCGCATTACCCCAATATCTAAGGATTAGATCTTCTAACAAATATACAGATATATATTAGTGTTTACAGAGAATGTAAATCATCATGTTAAACAATAATATTAATATTGTATCAGGTGGAAATTGAATCAGGATCAGGCGGAGATGCCGTCACTCGTCCGCCTATCCTGGACAATTCGACTACAGTCGTCTACCTGTCGTCTAGCACAGAGCCGGTCGTAGTGGAAACAAAAGTTCCGGGTCCAAGCGATTACATGTTCGTGGTGCATTATTACCAACCAGATCATCCCCGTAAGTACTTTAACAGGGCGAGAAGTCCTTTTTATTTAAGGGGTTTTGGACTAGAGAATCTTCAAGGTACTTTTAGGTCTCTCGATATAGAAACAAATGCATCAGAACACTCTATAGAAAGTTCTGAATGCAGACTACGTGACACTATCTCCAAATTAGAAAAAGATTCAGATCTGTTCGCTCAAAAACATTTACATAGTTATTATCAACATATCTTTTAATTAACTATATTGACTGTTTATAAAAGCAGCAGGCGGAGTATCATTAACTATAATCGAAATTTTAATGCCGTTACAGGTAGTAATATTGATGTCAAACTTGCGATCGATGGCCAACTTTATGAGGCGACGCTTCCTGTAGAGCATTGTCCCTCAAATTCCGGTTGCAGATCTTTAATACAACTAGGCGACGACAGAAAACAGTTTCCCGTTAATGAAAATATCAATATCACCTTTTTGGTAAGACAAATTGTGTAGACGACTCAGTTACATGGCGATGTTTGTTTTTTAAGACTAGAAATAGGTTAAATGAAGGTTGTTAAACACAGTAACTTGGTTTAATGTCATTACCCGAAAAATATTTGAATTTAAAATTGAATACAATGGCCAGTCGGATATATAGTGTATAATAATTAATCTATAATATTTTAAATTCAGGGAGATAAGAGCAAAGGTGTCTGGCTGGATTATATACTAGTGGTAGCTTCACCTGACTTCGTGGATGGAGCTCTTAAGGAAATAAACATGGTAGACAACACCCAACAGTTTATTGAGAATTGTGCAGCTAACCATTACTACATTAGTCCCAATGAAACTGGTAAGTTCTTGTTACTGACAACAATTATAGAATAAATTTCAATGTAGAAAATGTACCGTTTCTAATTATTGTATTAGTTGACCTACGCAGCATCGTCTGCGTCACACTTACTTGACATTTATCATTATATTTCGCCCAATGTACATAATATCTTCTTAAATTATATCCTATGTGTTATTCTGATGTATAAACTATATTACTATAAAGTTTCATCAAAGTCCGTCTAGTTTTTGCGTGAAAGCGAAAGAGACATCCACCCTCCCTACTCATCATCTATCAAACTTTCATGTTTATAATATTAGTAAGATAAGATTACTATATTGAAAATAATATGTCTACGCACTGTCAATACTGGTCACTCTTACCGGATTTTAATACTAGGTTTTACAGTCATATAGGTAAAGTAACTCTGATAATCACTAAGCTGAACATACGACCATTATTACAAATACCAAGTATACGAATTCATTCATTAGCCACTATTTAATTATCCGCAATTTTGAAGGCAACCGGCCGTAAGATTCTCTTGTAGTAACAGGTAGATTTATAAAAGGTATACTATCAGAATCACGTTCTGAACGTTTCAGGTTTTTGTCGCGACGCCATGTTCTCGATCACATCGGAGTACAACAGTGGCGCACTTGCCTGCATGTGCGACATCATGGGTTCCACTGAGTTGGAGTGCAATACCTTCGGTGGACAATGCCCATGCAAACCTAACGTAATTGGACGGGCGTGTACCACTTGCAGGACAGGATACTACGGCTTCCCCAACTGCAGACCCTGCCATTGCTCTGATGCGGCAATTTGTGATGATAATGGTAAGTGTCCCATCATCATTGTTCCAACAGATGTTGAACGATCTAGCTGACTGAATAAGACCTCAAGAGAAGTGCAAATATATTAATAATACATATTTTCTACAAAGTGCATATCAAAAAAACTTCTACTTAAAGGAAACCACATATCACAACATGAAATCGTAAGCGTGCGAAATGATTGATACCATCTACTGACGATTATCACTACACAAATTAATAAAGCGAGTGCTGATGCAATGAAACAATACATTTAATTTTTTCATACCCTTGTACCGATCAAGGGTATGACATAATGTAATGAATTGAATTGCAAATTTAATGAATTGAAAGCTAATGGATACACCGGTTTCATTCACTTTCTACAGCGAATATGATTAATAATATTTAAAGTCAATAATGTCATCATCAAGAATGCTGTTTCTTTTTTTCGAGTGGCTACACTGAAAATCAGCACTGCAGTGACACGCTGCGCCACTAGCTGAGTGAAGACCCTTTCATCTCATAGCGCGATATTAGTCTTTAAGTTTCTTATATTTTTATTCTGTATTATGATGCTAAATAAATGATTATTATTCATATATCCTGCAAAACTTTCAACCTATTTTATATAGGTATGCGTTTTTATGTAAAGGCTAACACGAACAGATATACATATACGCTTCATGATTTTACGATATGTATGCGTATTGGTTAAGATAAAATAACAAATGAAATTAAAATTATGTAATAATGATATATTCTCGTCCCATAGGTATGTGTATATGTCCGAAGAACGTGCAAGGTGATAAGTGCGACAGTTGTAAACCACTTACATTCAATTTCGACATGCAACGCGGCTGCGACGACTGTAACTGCAACCGACTCGGTGTTATCGGCAACCGGTTGCAATGTCACAATGAAACAGGAAACTGCGAGTAAGTAAATTCAAATTCTGAAGTCATTTATTCATATAGGACAATTTAACCACTTGTGAACGTCAAGTTTTTTATATTTAATATTTTTTTCCCTACCGTAATCGCTACTCACAGATTTAATTGTATACAATACGAGAAGCTCTCATTCTCTTAATGAAATCTGTTGCCAAGTTTATATATTAACCTGCACAAACTCAGAGAACAAAATATACATATAAAGGTAAATATAAACAAATATATATATAAACTTATATGGTAAACAGACACGGCTTCTTACGATTATTATATATACTTCTAATATATTATCTAACTCACATATTCTCGTCCGCATCATATTGTCTGTTAGCGTCACATAGTCTCCGTTTTTGCAACATTTTTCATAGCAGTTCAGTTCCTATTTATCGTAGCGTGATGTTATATAGCCTATGACGCTCACAAATAACGTTACTTTCTAATGATAAAAGAATTTTCAAAATCAGTTCAGTAGATCCCAGTTTGTAGGGAGCAAGGGGATTGTTAGTAATGTGAACTAATGATCTTCATGATTATTGCTAGCAAAGTACCTCTGTACTGTAGTACCTCTGTACCTCTGGAAACATGATATATTTCCAGTGATTTTGTCATGATTGACTAACAGAGCTGACCATGTGACCATCATGTGAACATGTCCTATGTCCTATCGTCTTCCACTCGTGCCCCATCTTGCAGGCGGGTGCACCATTTCATTATCATTCACTAAAAAACCTCACAAACTTGACCTCTCTGTATTAATATACATAATATTAAAAAAAAAACTGTAACATCGGAATACAAGCTTTGATTAATGTTATATATAATGTGTTCTTTCCCATTTTCTTGTCTGATTCTTATATCTTCTTTTATCACATGGTCTCTTCTTCCTTCTTTCTAAAGATCTGTGCACTATTAAGTATATATATGGTATGTATTTTTATTTATTATCTAGAATATATATATCTTAATTACTTGCGCCACCTACCCTTTTCTTTTTGTTATGTTACTTTCTCTACCCAAAGGTAGTCTGGAAGAGATTGCTTAGCGATAAGAACTTTTATCAGTTTATGTAAATAAATTATTTGTATTTGGTGCAATAATAAATAAACACTTTTACAGCTGTAAAGAGAACGTGATTGGGCGTGTGTGCGACCATTGTGTGCCTGGTCACTATGCGTTCCCTGACTGCTTGCCGTGCACATGTGACCGCGACGGTACCACTGACGACGTCTGCGATCAGAACACCGCTCAGTGTTACTGCAAGAAGCATGTATATGGACAGGTGAGGTCACACAAATTATATAACGTAACGTAAGCAAAACCGTCAGTAATTTAACTTTTTAAATATTTTTTAATTCAAGAAAAACACTTGAGACAACTTTACTATCATATATCTTAACTTCACCTACAACAATTAAACAAAGTGATCAGTTATGTTTATTTACAACGGTCTATGCACTGTAAATATTTTAACGATCGGTTATAAATATGCACATTATATTGTATAATGGGATATTTAGATAATAATAACCCCGGACAATTCATACAGCGCCATTTAGACACAAGATAAGCAGATCACGTTATAGGTTATAGTCATCTGATTAAAATACTTAAATATATTTTTATATACCTAATAAACATGGAAAACACGAAACTGCTATAAACAATCAACTCATGAATACTAATATTTGCTTCGTGCGAACCACCTACTGCTACTAGACTACTAAACCACCAAAGTTTATGTAGTTTAGATATTTCCTCTCTGACAAACATTCAGGTCCCGGAAACTGATAGATTTATAATCATGATAAACTATTATATACATAATATTTACACGTGCTATTTATACCACAATATTAAAATAACACGATTCAACTGTAATCTGAAATGTAAAAATTGCTAGCATTATTATTAGTAGTTGTCGATTTGGTAATCACTTGAAATTTTAGAAATGTTACCAAGTTATGTATATATTATGTGACTCTAATTTAATTTATGGGATTCTTCCAGTTAAATCTTGGTTAGGCGGTAATTCAATGTAATGGTATGATTTATGAATACATTCATAAATTGACTATAATTAACTGACTGATTTTAATACATTATTACATAAATTTGTACGCGATAGGCATAGTAAAGTGCTAAGGAAGCTATATTAAAATAAGACGGCTTCGATAGCCTAGCGGTTTACCACACTTTTTTACATCAGAAAGTAGCGGGTTCGATTTCTCACACGGTACATACATTTATATTCTTAAGTATAATTGTATGTATCGGACTGGGTGTTTTCTGTGTATGTATTTTTAAAAAATATGTAAGTGCTTATATCAGTTGTATATTGTGGTTGTACCTTAGACTAGATGGCGTTGTGTGTCTGAGGATATTATTATAATTACGGGACACTTAGATCATAGCAAGTTCGCAATTTACTTAAGTAAGCTTTGTAAAACGTCGTATACATGTATATTAGTTCTAAAGTGCGATATGGCAGTATAATTGCTGGGTAAAGGCAGGTTTTTATTTATTTTATTATTGTAGTCCTCTGGAATCCCAACACGTGAAATTTATTACGACCAATATGATAAAGTGATAGTATTATTGATCATGTACATCTGCGATAGCTCATCGTCCACTACATCAGGGTCGGTCTCCTTTGGACGGTCCAAACTTGTTTACCATTGCAATTGCGAGAAAAAACTTCGACTGCACCTTTTTTATTTTCTTTATTGAAGGGTTTAGGCTTTTGTCAGGTGCTTGGACCTATAGCACTGCGATACATAGATCTATTGTGCTCGCCCTTTTTCAAAATTCCTACCAAGATCTCTTAGGCATAGGGTATTCTTAGGAGCGATGGTTTTTATCTCCTCAGGATAGAGTGTAAATTTTCTAAAAGAGATATTTCGTTTATGCATGAATGGGCTAAAACCACATAGGATGTGTAGTGCCATTTTCTCTTCAGTTTGACAAAATCTGCAGATTTTTGTTGTGGACAGGCCTAGGTTTCCCATATATTTATTCAAATTGCAGTGTTTAGTGCACCCTTATAATTTTTTGTTTCCTTAGGCTTGCGATACCTGCAGAGAAGACTACTTCAACTTACAAGATGAGAATCCAGATGGCTGTACTAAGTGCTATTGCTTCGGAAAGACCACCAGATGCTCCAGCTCCTCACTGTATTGGGCAGAGGTAATAATTGCATCCAAAAATAATATATTGTTACTTAATGGACAATCTTCATTTCTAATGACGTCGCTATAGTGTTCATATTAGCGTGCATCATACTCATAGCAGTATGGGATATTGATGTTTCCATGTTTATTGCTTTGATCGCTGTCCGTACAATACTCTATATGAGAAGAACTATAATTGTGAGACTTATATGAGAACTAATACAGTGATTGTTTTAATTTTAAGTCTGTTAGTTTTGTACGGCTTAACCGATTTTAGTGAAGTTTTCTATAATATATTGTGGTAATCTTCCCTTACAATTCGGTGTTTGGTCAATATAAAAATAAAACTAAATAAATAATTGCTGAAAACTATCTCGATCACATCCACTCTTAAACAAAATAGTGCAGTATAATGGATGATACCTTAAGAAGGAACGATGCCACAGACATTAAAAACACAAGAAAAAGTGTTAAGCACTTTTTCTTTTGAGTGACTTTTAAATAAATGATTATCTATTATATTATATTATTTAATTTTTAGATCAATGGTATGAGCGACTGGTACCTATCGAATATCGACTCAAACCGTACCATAAATATATACCCGTTGTCGCTAGATCCGGCACCAATAAACGATACCGCCATACAGGCGAATCTGCTCGGTACCGGCGATGATAGTCCCAAAGTTCTTTACTTTGGAGCACCACAATATTATCTTGGTAAGTTTAGCGTATTTCCTACATTGTTTATATTGTGAGCTATATAATTATTACATTTAAAATTATTCTAATAATAATAATAATACAATTCTTTATTTCAAAACATTCAATAACTTTTATTATAATTAAATAATAAAAGTACACACACACGCATACACTGGGTATTACTTGCTTTTGGCCCGTAAGCGTGGTATACGCCACAGAGCGTAAAAATCAGCAAAAGCTGTGAAAATGAAGCGAAATGATAATAATAATAATAGTAATATCCCAGGATGCACACCATGCCTTCTAGTCCCAAGCTAAGCAGAGCTTATGTTATGGGTACTAGACAACTGACTAAATACAGAGAGTTTGAGATTCATTTTTTTTGTAAATATATTGATAATATAGAAAACACCCAGACCGATACAAACAATCATACTCATGTATACAAATATTTGTGCCGTGCAAGGAATCGAACCCGCGACCGTCGGAAGTAAAGTGGGATGCTAAACCACTAAACGACCGAGTTTGTTAATTTATTTTATTGGGTAATCATTTTTTTATAATAAACTATTAAAGTTGTCTAATTTATAATCATTAGACTACAGTGTAAAACGTAACTGTTCTCAGGTAAACGTCTTACATCGTACGGTGGGTACTTGACTTACTCTGTGCATTACACGGCGAGATATGGCGGCCGTGCTGCAGCCGCGCCTGACGTCATCATCGGAGGTTCCAGCGGCTACCTGATCCACAACAGTATCGAGCAGCCTCCCGCGCTGACAACTTGGAGTCATAGCCTTAAGTTGTCAGAAGACCAGTTCACCAATTTGGACGGGTCGGCGGTCACTCGCAATCAATTTATGAACACATTAGTCAATGTGACCAGTATATATATAAGAGCAACCTACTGGCACGAAACCGTAAATACTGTGTAAGTGTTTATACTATTATAAATATTTCTACTACGATTATTATATTTACAATGATATAAAAATCACCTATAATGTTGCAATGCACGTACGGATTGCAATCCAGAAAACCGGATTCGGGAATCCGGCGGATCCGGTGTCAATATATGCTTACCGTATCTGATACCAATTTACCGGAGCCGTTGCATTATGCACAACGAGTCCATTTGTAACTCTAGTAATATTACAGAGATTACCAGACTTCCTTACCAGCTGTCTCTAGCTAGAAGTAGTTCAATTTAATTTAAAAACATTAAAAAATCTATAGTATTATTATAAAAGCGAAAGTATGTCTATCTATTTGGCTATTTATTACCTATTCAAAACTAAACGCCTGAGCTTCATTACATTTGACGTAAATATATATTTTATCGTAATGATAGACGTAGATTGTCTTTTATCTAAAAATTAAAGCATATAACATAAACCCTGTATAATTCACACAGTGCTATCTAGTCCTAAGCTAAGCACAGCTTGTGTTATTGGTACTAGACAACTAGCACAAATACTTTAATACATTTTTGTAAATACATAGATAACACCTAGACTTAGACAAACAACCGTAGTGATGCGTCAAAATTTTCCATTATACTTCAATTCCTAGAACCAACGACAATCGGAAATTAGGCATGTATATAATCTAAATCGCTAGACCATTAAGACCGACGCGGGTAACGACTCTGTATGTAATTCTAACAATCCTTAGAGCCAATTATTCAGTTTCAGCGAATAGCATCGCTATATAAAACCCTTTCATTTGCACAGACTATCGACCGTGTCCCTAGAAGTGGCGATTCCAGAAAACGAGTATTCAAAAAGAGCAGACTCTGTGGAGGAATGCCAGTGTCCTCAGGCTTACAGGGGGCTGTCTTGCGAACAGTGTGCCATTGGCTACTACAGGCTTAGCTCAGGACCGCACGCGGGATTGTGTGTGCCCTGCCAATGTAATGGACATTCCAGAGAATGTGACGTTAACACTGGAATATGTTTGGTAAGTACAGGAAATGAAATTCATTTTATTTTCAGAAAACAGTTATACGATGGTAATATGTCCAGGTAATATTATTGCCATTACTGTTAAAAAATTACCTTATAAAAAATTGAGAAGATAAATCTGTAAGGACAACTCTTATCACTTAGCGGTATAAAACAATTGTCAAATTACTATTTATCAAATTACTATAAACACTACACTATCTTGTTTTTTATTTTAGAAAAAATGCTATTTTCGATTGCCTAACTTAATCCGAATTAAAGCAGCGGTAGGCGGGCACTCCACGAGTGTATCAGAAGGCAGCCAGTGTGGAGAAATAGCGAATTGTCGTAGGGCCGATGACATTTGCCTCTCACACTCTACATAATGACCACGACCGTTCTGTCAAGAGCGTATCAAATAAGAAGAAGAAGAACTAAAACCAACCAAAGCTTTTGTTATGGTTGCGTTCTATTATTTTATATTATAATTATAATTTACAGGAATGTACGGATAATACAATGGGTGATCACTGCGAGATGTGCATCCTAGGTTACCACGGCAATGCAACAGTTGGCACGCCGCTCGATTGTCTCATCTGCGCGTGTCCCATACCATACGCTTCTAATAAGTAAGTTGTATATTTCTGTAATCAAGAAAGTATTTGTACGTAATAATAATATATGACATGACATGATAATACGACTACCTTTTACTATAGCACCACTCGCCATGACAGGGAATTCATCCTCACACGCTGGAACCTAAGTGGTCTCGGACAGTGCGGTTTCAGAGGAGCTTCCTCCCGCGTACACTAAGGTTTCTTAAGTATCGGCAACATGCACGTGACACGGCTGGTAGTTCAGGCGTCCATAAGCTACGGTAACCGTTTGGACTAATGATCCCATTGCTAATAATGTACCATGTCAGGCTGACTTCACGGTTCTCCTTGGAGAACATCGTGAAAAACTGGTGAATTTGCCACGATTGGCTAACTGACCTGACTTCTTGGTCGCGTACACCATTATTCGTCGGGTACATTATTATTATCATCAATTATCACATACATGAAACTGTCGATATTGTGGTAAATGCAACGCCCAGTTTCGCTGAATATATTTGAATTCAACATGGCAACGGTGCGAGTCTATTAACATTGAAGACTGGAGGGGAAACGTAGCAAAGAACTGTTTATTAAAAAAACAGTAATAATTCTATATACATGTGTGAGCCAACCTGGGGATTATACATACCTTTACAATTATTACTGTTTTTTTAATAAATAGTTGTTGTGTTCCTGCTCCAGTCATATTGACACGCAGGTTTTTGGTGTCAACCCGATTTGAACCCATTACTTAGTGATCCATGACGTTCTTGTATGTGCACTTAATATTAATAAACTTTTAATGTTTAGCTTCGCGATTGGATGTGAATTGAGCGAAAATGGATCGTTGATATCATGCGAGTGCGAGCGTGGCTATGCCGGCGCAAGGTGCGACCACTGCGCCGCTGGATTCTACGGCCAGCCGGAAGTTATAGGTAATAATGTTGTACATAAAATTAATGAGTCACTTATGTTAGTTACCATGCTCCTCCAAAACGTCTTGACCGATTTTTATGAAAATCTATAAGAATGCATATTCAGTAGGTCTGAGAATCGACTACTATCTATTTTACATAGCCCTAATATTTTTTTTATATAATGCAGCATAAAAAATACATACAACCTTAAATTTTCACCCTTCTATCACTAATCCCAATTTTTTAATAGTGATTTAAATTTATAAAGCAAAACAACGTTTGCGGGGTCAGCTGGTAATCATATATACTAGTATTACTTATTGTAAAGTGTGCATTGAAATTACAAGACAAAATTTATAATATATGTATACAGCGATATCTTTGTCTTCGGAGTAACAACGCATTACTGATACCACATGATTACATATTCGTAGTGCTGTTCATGCAGACGGCGGAAAAAGAGACTGAATTTTACGATTGAGTTAGTAGTCAAACATCTTATATCTTGTCTGTCTGTTTATTACTTTAAGTATAGAATAATTTTATCGGTTAACAGGCGATAACTGCAAACCCTGCAACTGTTCCGGAAACATTATCGAAGATGACGTGGGCTCCTGTGATAGTATTACCGGGGATTGTCTGAAGTGTGTGAACAATACAGCAGGGGCTGCTTGCAATCTGTGTGCGCCAGGATTCTACGGAGATGCCATCTTTTCTAAAAATTGTACCGGTAAGTAATAAGGACTAAGCAAATTATTTACAACTGTCGATTTTTAACTGTTTTGTTTGTGAGACAATTAGTCAAAATGAACACTCGCTGAAATAATAGAAACGCTCAGACGAAAATTCAGAAAAGTTATTTGTTAAATTCATTTACAATATAATTATTTATATTAAAATATATATCATGCATAGACAATCGACAGACGTCTACTTTATGATTTTATTAAATTAGCTTAGTATAATTCACACAGTGCTATCTAGTCCCAAGCTAAGTAGGACTTGTGTTACGGATACTAGACAACTCATACAAATATATATATGTTGTAAATACTTGCATAATATACATAGAAAATATCGAGACCGATTATACTCATGGATGTATGTGCGAGAAATACCCGTGACCATTGGAAGAAATGCGGTGTGCTGAACCGGTAGACCACCAAAGACTCCGCCCCGTCTTGGCACGGGTGTACATTTATTATACATATAAACCTTTCTTTTGAATTTCTCTGTCTATTGCTAAAACTGTATTAAAATTCCTTGCGTAGTTTAGAAAATTTTAGCGAGCAGACAGCAGAAGCGATTGTCTTGTCCTCCGTCTTTTCTTTCTTCTATGTAAAGATGTATAATAGATTCTCTCATGCAGCATGCATATGCGATCTTCTGGGTATGGACCACTGTGACCCATCGACGGGTACTTGTATCTGCCGGCCGGGGGTCATCGGTGAAAAGTGCGACCTTTGCGCACCGGACCATTGGGGACTAGACAGCGGATATGGCTGCACGCCTTGCGACTGTGGTCTCGCTTCACTATCCAGCCAGTGTGATGACTCTACCGGACAGTGCAGGTTAGAAATCAAGACAAAAATCAATTTTTCATGTATAGCATTTTAGGCGTATATAAAAAATAGTAATACATACAATATAACGTCCATTAGAACGTTACATTTTTTTTATTAACATTCTTTCTCTACTGTCCAGTCAGAGAAGAACTGGCATGAAACTTATTGGAGGGAAAACATAACTAGGAAAACAACAAGAATTGGTAGACATTAGTAAAAGCGTAATTAAAAAAATACAATGACGTCCGACGTCTACATATTAATAACCTACCATTAGGATTACATACTACAACAAATCTACACAGATTCACCATCATCATTGTATTAGTATACAATGATGATGGTATGTTTTTTGAACTCAGGTACTAAACTGACAGGTGTAATTGAATTTTTTAAAATATTATCGCCTGTAGTGGAGTAGTGCTGTATCTGCAATACTGATTTGTTGAATTGTAATTTTTTTTAGACAACTAGTTTTAAAGTTTTCTACACTACATAGTTTCCATTTCCACAAGATATTCTTAGAATTTATGTACTTACACCGTTTACTGTCTTTATATTAACACAAAGATACATTTTTGTAGATTCCATGCATATAATAAGTTATACGGTATTAAACTACACAATTATTTTCTTTCAAACCCCAAAATATTTTATATAGGTGTATATTTTAAAAAGTGGAAACCATGCAAAAATATTAAAAAAAAAAAACAGATAATGTTTATTTTAGTGAAAAGTTAAAAATCCTATTTGGTACAACAACCCTATATTTATTAATACATATCTATATTTTATTCATTTCTGTTAGTGTGTGGTAAGTAAATACGCATATTATTTGAGAGTAATTAATATAAATCGCAAATTAATATTAATTTCCGATTGTGCCTTAACATTATTTAGGAATGACAAAAATCTGGTACCCTAGCTAATGTCTATTTTGACTCCAAAATAAAAAACAGGACTATAAGTACAATTTCATTTAATACAATTTTATACCTTAAAGCAATAAATAGGCAATGACAAAATTATAACAAAAGATTAAGTTATTAAATAGCGCCTAATTAATATTCCAGATGTGCAAAAGGTGTCACCGGCAGACATTGCGACCAGTGCGCGGCTGGATATTGGAATTACACGAAGGAAGGGTGCGACCGTGAGTATTTGTTTTAGTCGTACAAATTCACAAAGTTTCTTTATAGAACCTCAGTTACCATACTCCTCCGTAATGGCTTGACCGATTTTTGTGAAATTTTATATGAATGACGAAATTGATACTCATCAATTTCGTCTATTTGACACGAATATTCTATAAATTATAGGTTACATATTATTCTAATGTATGCTTATATATATTAGAATAACACGTAAGCTATAATTTATAGAATGTTCTAATGTACTGTAACGATGAAACTATATGTGTGCAGTGCTTTTACGTGAAATATTAAATATCCATGTATCAAATTTTTTGCCTTTATATTAATAGGAGCAGGATAAAATAAAGTATATTTACATGTGCATTATATATGTTGCTCAAAATGTATAAAAACCGTATTTTCACCTTGAACATGCACTTATATGACAGTATCCTCTGATAGATCTATCTCGAACTGTGTTTTTTAAACATGAATAATTATATTTGACAGATTGCAACTGCAACACTGGTTACTCACACGGGTTCACGTGCAACGCGACCGGACAATGTGAGTGTCTGCCGGGAGTCATAGGCGAGAAATGTGATCGCTGCCCAGAACGGTATGTAATTGTGTAAATTTTTAAGTTGTTTAACTAATTCACAGAAGAGAAGGGCTAATAATCATGCCCAGTGCGTGCCTGCATGCCCTTGGGAGAGGCATATGTTCAACAGTGGGCTGATGATGATAATAATGATGAAATCTATTACTATGTACCACTACTTGTTAGCTTGTTGGTCAGGGCATTTTAAAAGCTAATCCTTGTGGGACGATCTTACCGTCGCCCCCTTGAACGATCTCCTTCACACTAGAATCGACATTACGACGACCTGAGCCAAGATTCCAGTTTCGAAGTCATACCTGTAAGGAATTGGTCTCCAGTCTCTCTACGTCTTTCCGCGGATTAAATAGCTTTGTAGAACAGCTTTAAAAGTAGTCAGGTCAGGTCCAACAGGCCAACAGTATTAGAATAGTAACAGTATTAGAAAAATTATTACCTGTGAAATATTAAAATTCTATTATTAAGTGGAGCGCGAAGTGCGGAGCGATCTTAAAAATCAGATTTTTGTCACGATACTGCTCCGAAACAGCTTGACTAAAACTTCATCGAAGATCGTCCCTCGGGCCTCCATCGTTTACCTATCAAAAAAATTCCGGTCATGTATGTCCTTAAGGAATGGTCGATGATAAAGTTTGCCATATACTTAGCATGACGGAAAATTACATGCTACTGAAAATAATTTAATTTTAAAGGCCGAGTTTTTAACAATATACGCGCTCCGCTCAACATTTGATCTGATGTGTAAATAACACCGATAATAACTTAATTAAATTATAGTATGTAACTATGACCAATTGTAGTGTAATAAGTAGGAGAAGTGTTGTGTATATCTTTCTTTATTTTTATTTGCCGTCAGCTGTTCGTGTTATCTATTAGATCTACTCTATAATTTAACAATCTGTATTCCACAGATGGGTGCTCATACCTCACAAGAGATGTCAACAGTGCGACTCGTGTACTGATGCACTTATATTCTCAGTTGAGGATATGACAGATTTACTGGCCAATGAAACACAAGAATTCAAGGTAATTTATTGCCATAAAGATCATAATAACAAAGACTATTAGACTAACCTTGTACTATGGGTAGACCTCAAATAAACTTTAAAAATAGTTAAATACTGTTTTTAATATTAAATTATTTATTGTAATGGTAATTTAAACATTTATGGTAATGGACTTTGTTATATCTACGGCTAGGTACGGGAAAATACTTAAATGACTGCACTGTTTGGAATCTAATTTATTACTGAGAGTATACCACGGCGCAGCGCGCCGCGCTTATATTATAAACTAAATAGTTGCATACATAGCATACCTCCACCCTACTGGATAAACAATTAAACATAAATAATTCTAATACAATAATTTCAACCATAGATCTTAAAACTATAGTGGTACGGTGGCGGCGACAGGCACATAATGGCTTCCCCGCACACTCTCAACCTTTTCATAGACATTCGAAATGATATTAGTTTCAGGGGTGCCACTTTCCTCCACCACTGATTCTTTGTCACTAATAGTAGTGATTACCGAATAGTGTGACAAAGTTACCGGATGGCTGTTCACTGGGTGGATCATGTGCCTAATACTTTTATTTTAATTTCTAAAATCAGAACTTCATACATCTACTACCAATCTTTCTTTTAATTACGCCCTTGTGTCAACTTTCTTTTCTGACGCCATACATTTACCATTTTATACCATATATAATCACCAACTTCAAAATTTCTTTTACTATATTGTTTGTTTAGAATGATACTCTTATCTTTATTCAGTGGAATAATTAAATCTAATCGCGTTCTTAACTTCCTACTACGTCCCGTACCAGCGTCCTGAATAACTTACAGACGATTAAGTTCCGAGTCTACTTTGTCTTTAAGGCAAAAGGCATGGTACGCGGCTTAAAAACTTTTGATATAGTATTTTCTTTTAATTGTAATGTAACTTTAAACCTATTTAATGTACCCAGTTCCTCACGCCACAAATCTGAAAATTGTTCCAACAATGAAAGTACTTGTATATTATTCTCATTATGAATTTTTCAAACTTTTGATGTAAGTACTAAATTAAAACGGGACACAAAATCACTCCCAAGCAGCGGTGGACCTCGATGTCTAACTACTAATACCTTTATTGTTTTAATTTTACCTTCAAATTTGACTTCCGTGTTGAAATATCCCAAGGGCGTTATTGTATGTCCGTTGTATAAGCACTTTTTCATTAAAGAATTATGTAATTTAAAATTAGAAAATAATTTACGATGCAGCTCTTGCGATATCACCGTAACAACTGACCCCGAATCAAGTTGCATAGTGATGGGGTGGTTTCCTAATTCTAAACTTAGTTCAATAAGTTTAACTGTCCCGTACATTAAATTAGAATTTTAGCATTAGTCACAATCTGTGTCCTCACTTTCTACACCCGATTCACTGACTAATTATCCAACAAATAATCCTTTATTTTTGTTAGTTAGTTTTTTAATACTATATCTTATATATAAAATTTTCGTGTCACAGTTTTCGTTCCCAGACTCCTCCGAAACGGCTTGACCGATTCTCATGAAATTTTGTAAGCGTATTGAGTAGGTCTGAGAATCGGCCAACATCTATTTTTCATCGCCCTAAATGTTAGGGGTAGTCCACCCCTAATTTTTTTTTTATTTTAAGGCAAAACGACGTTTGCCGGGACAGCTAGTTAGTTATATATAAAACACCCGTACCACGAAACAAACATACTTATTAATGCAAAATAATCTGTATTATTGTAAACATGTATTGTATGTAACACTTATTTGAAAAAAATAAGAGCAGAATTTCTTGTCAGTTCTTCTCATCTCGAAATCTATACGAACTGACGATAGATCTGACATATCATAAGTTTGTAATAGACCTACGTGAATAAAGATATTTTTACTTTGAATTTGAAATGTTCGCATCGCGTGAAGATCAGACCCATCGATATATACATGTAAATAATTCATAAATTTCTTAAATCAGGACAAAGCAGACTCGTTCTTCACAACGCAGCGTCTTAACTACATATCAAACCAGACCAACAGTTTAAGACCGCGCGTCGCTGAACTTCGTAATGTGGACCTGGATAACGTTACCAACAAATTGAAGACTGTGGAGGATACAGCCGGAAAATTACTAAGATCTGTAAGTTTATATATGCTGAGTATAGTCTCCGAATTTAATATATGATCAGTACTATATATATCATGACTCTTATCCTTCACTTCCTTATCTTACTTTTTTAAGCTTAAATTATATTATTAAAGCTACCGGCTGCTGTTTGGCTGCGGAATTAGGAGAGACTGAGGTAGCAGATAACTTATATTAAGTTTATCTCGATTTAATAGTATTACTATATTATATATTACTATATAAGTACTTTATGATAGTTATAACACACAAGGCGGAATTTCAGCTCGTGCCGAAGGCGAGGCCGTTGTAGAGCCGAGTGTGTTAAATACCTACATATATAGTACGATGTTTTACAATACACTTGATTTTAACTAGACTCAACCATAAAACTTGGATGCACACTGTTCCTTTCACGCCGTTTTACTTTAAATCAGCCCGCTGCACTGATAAAACTAAATAGAAAATAGTGCGGTTATGGAATATAACTTAACTATTTGAGTTTTTAACTCGCGCGTGTTTTATTAGCTGCTTTATAAAGCGAAAACTGATGAAATTAGAGCGATTGTGTTGAAAAATATATTAAATATTCCCCAGGCTGAATATACAGCGGGTGATAGTGACGCCCTAGTTGGTAAAGCGGCCGATCTAGCCGCTGAAGCTGACAAAGTACTATCAATTGCTCGGGAAAGCGGCGACAGTGCAAAGGAAGTTGTCACTCATGTGGTCAATTTGGCGAAAGGGTTGGAAGTCAGTCAGCAGCTTAAGGTTGATACAGCATTGGCTGAAGCAAGGGAGATGAAGAACTATATAGCAGGTAAGGACTCACATAGTTGACCTTATTATTGTTTTATTGTTATTTCTTCATATGAACGGCATACGTACTGATTATTATACTTATACTTTTGGGCAACGTCAACTAAAATTTCTCGGACCTTACCTATATAATAAAATCAGTAGCCAAATAAAAATTTATCCTCTCAATACATATAATTGTAAAATTAATGTTACTAATGACCTAACTACATTAACCTATATATTGAAACAGAAAAAATTTTAAATGTATAGTCTCATATAATTAAAACTACATAACATAAAAACAAAAATACTTAGATATGTATGTCATATCAGTTATATATCTCACACAAACACACACATACACACACACACACACACACAAATATAAAAGTATAAACAAATTCATCAGGTGTCATGTAAGATAGTAAAAATTAAAGTACGTTAAAGTTACGTAAAAATTGTATAATGGAACCAATCATTGTGGAAGGAAATAACACTGGGATTCCCTAGCACAGATGTTAGGCCTATAAATTAATGACATTGTGCAAAAATGAATAAATATGCTATTATTATTGTTATTAGTGGGAATCATTGACTATATACCGTTGTCATTAAGTGATGCCTTTGGTACCATTCTGGTAAACTACTATATACCCATACACTTCATCAGAAGTACATTTTACAAAACAAGCTTCTTGCACGCAGACGACTTTTGCAACGTCTACCTTAAAAGCTGCTGAAAATTAGAACCGAAGAGTATTTAAAAAGCAGTTCCAACGAAAACAAGAAAAAAGGAAAGCTTGCGTACATGTTTTGTACCTAACTACAGTATAAAAGTTTCATTTGTCACGTGGTAAATAAAATTGTAGAGTGCTATTTTGTAAATTACATTTGTATTAAATATATATATAATATATTTGTATAATAGTATGAGGTATTATTAATTTGTAAGTACTGAGATTATTTGTCTATATTTATTTATGTACATCATTATATTGCAACGTGAAGAAACTACTTTGTACTCCTATTTACGAAAATTTCGCGTATGGAGAGTATGATATTTCGCACACTTATATTTTATATACAGAAGGAGTGCAGAATGCTAATATTTTTTTAAAATAATGCATAAAAATTTATTAATTAATAAAAAATAACCTTACACTTACATCTATGCATGTATTTGACACCCACGCATATATACTTTTATGTTTATTGTTGATGTTTTGCCCGAATATATTAATAAGTTTGTGTTTAGTATAAATAATGTTAAACACAGACATATATATCTATAGTCTTACTGAATGTTAAATTACTTATGGTCAAATTTCGACCTCTGGGCGACCACTAATATTAATTAATTATTTTGCAGAAATTGATTTAATCCCGAAGACGCAGTCAGCCAATAACGTGTTTGCAAATGCTACCAATCAAAACGAAAGGATAAACGTATTCGTTCAGCCCGTCTATGAGCAAGCGAAGGTATTTACTATATCATTTACACTCAACATGTTTAACCTGATTATCACATGTAAACTTTACATAGTATAAAAAAAGTCGTCGCCGCTGTCGGCAATGCAATGTTCAGTAATAGATAGAATGATTCAAGAGGACAGTTTTTAATGTATTATACATGTGTGTTATAGTATAGAACAATCCGAGACATTCAAATATTAGTGATGCGTGCGAAGTGCGTGCGAAGGGTTGCTATTTATATATATTATTTCATTTTAAAAATGTTATAGATACATTATATATATATATATATATCCCGTATCCATTTACGGGTATACAATGTAGTTCTATATCTGCCGTTCTGTAGTGTCACTATATCGTGACTTAAAGCTAATTTATTTAACATAATTTATATATATTTGAATGTTGCATACTGAATTATAATGTAATAAGTAAACCTTTGTCGATTCTTTATCCTTACACAACTAAATTAAAGCCCCTTCTGTTAACGCTATATTTGTTTGCATCTGAGTAGAACTTCCATATGTTATGGTTTATTTTTACAGAAATTTGACGCCTTGGTGAATGCTACGCACGATTTTAAGAACAAATTAGACAACCTCTTAGAGTACACAGATATAGCGCAGCACACCGCAGACATCGCCGACAAACTCAACATTAAGAATAAGTGAATACAATTTTTTAATCTTATGTTCATTTTTCACTCGTTTTATACATAGTTATAAAATTTAATGAATATACTACATTTTGCGTCTTAAGAATATTTACGAAGATTTTGATGTCGAAACAAATCTCTCAAAAGACGAGTTCAATATATTCTCATACATAGCTGTAAATATTAGGTTAATACAAAATAAAATAGGGATATTGTATTCAGCTATAAAAATATGGTATCAGCAAACATGATGATTTCTTATATTTTAAGCACATTGTTAATTTCGATTGTTAGATAAACATTCTTTATTATACTCGTACGCTAATGAAACGCAAATTTTACAGACATTCGAAATTTGGTGAAAATGTCCAAAAAGTGACAAACTTACACGAAGCCGTCATGAAAAACCTTATAATATATGCAGCACAGTACACAAACAATGCAACTACGTACAATGGGAAGGCGCGTGATACAATCGCAGATTCTGAAGCAGCACTGAAAGAACTATCCGAACAGATTCAACTGGCGGAAGACACGTTATCGAAACTAGAAGTCGAACTGCCTAAGCTAAGAGACTTAAATGACGCAGTGAACAGTCATACTGCCAATTTGAGTAACCAAGTAAGTTGAATGTATATAATATAGTACAATACAATGTAATATCTTATGACAATTCACACAGCACCGTCGGGATCAAAACTATCTAAAGCTTGTGTTATGGGACAACGGATACAAACTATACTCATGAATACAAGTGTCTGTATCGTGTAACGAATCCAAGCCGCGACCGTCAAAGGGAAATGCTAAACCGCTGGACTACAGAGGCCGTCAAAATTTGAATTTAATACTGGTTCTGTCTTGATTACCAACAGCATGACGTTGATAAATTGATTATTATCATACTACATTCCTGGTTTGTATAAATCCAATACTAGTTAAAAAGTGAATGTCGTGTAGTCATGAATTAAGTCGATGTTCTACTTAAATATGTGATACAAAAAAAACGTATCTAGCGATGAATACATTTGCTGCGTGTCTAAGAGGCATGTCAACTGTTATCGCACTATAACGGCTTAAATACTCTAAACAAAAAACTTATTACTAATTAGCTTCTCATACTAACATTATCTTGATTCTTTTTAACCGAGTATCAACAGAATCATTCAGAAGATATAATTTATTCCATTTTTTTTTATTGTAGTTAATCTTTTGTTATAGTCGTATCTGACTAATTTACATTTATGGTATATTCTAAGTGCATATAGTCCCATACATTTTCTAAATTCTGGAAAACATGTAGAAGGGTATATTAAGGTTTCTTAAGGGTCGGCAACACGCACGTGACACCCCTGGTGTTTCAGGCGTCCATAGGCTACGGTAACCATTTACCATCAGATAGACCGTATACTTGATTGCCAGCATAGTAGTATAAAAAAAGAAGTGTTGCACTTAGAATGATTACTTAACTATTGACGTTGTACACTTTCAGGCAGATAACCTGCGAGTTTTAGCCGAACGAGAAAACAATAATAGTCGCACACAAGATGCATACAGGGCTGCTTCGGCATTTTCATCAATTGTTCAGGAAATTGGCGATGCCAAGAAAGCTGCGGACGAGGCTGAGGGTGTTGATAGAAGGACCACAGATATTGTAAGTACTGGTATTTTCGTTAACATAATATGAGATGCATTGTGAAAAGGACAAACGCCAGGTGCAGAATATTCTCTGAACCCAATTCGTAAGGACTTTGGTGTATATGGAAAATTACATCTTCAAAGCACATTAGGCCTCCAAATTTAAACTACAAATTATTACTGGAATGAATACAATTAAAAGTCATTATACTTATTATTAGTTGTTTGTTTAATTACGAATCCGTACAAGGAATAAATAAAATTGATAGTGGACTATATTTTTGAAAAGAAAATAATTAATGGAAAAGGAAGGAGAAATACGATTTTAATTATTATTGGTTAGAAAGTCTTCCACCCACCAAATACCACAAAGTAAGCAAAGCGATACCAAACGTACTCACTTTTGCCCAGGAACGTCCTGATGTGTAGTACAGTTTAGTGACGACTCCAGAATGTATATTTTAATAAAATAATCACATTATAATTAAATCAGCAATTTTCTTGTTGTAAAGTAGTTAAAACTACGGAGCTTCCTTTTTCTTCCAGTTCTTATTTTCAATTGCTTTTTTTTTCTTTTAAATTTGAATTTTAAGTGGGCACATGTTTTTATTAGTGGCCAGTATTATCAAGCACTCTTTGCTCCAGTAAGCAATCCGATGATAGAACCTGTTTATACTATGAAAGTTATCAAAGTGCGAAACATAATTTTAATAATATACAAGAAAAATCTATTATTGTGTGATGAACGTAGCATGAAATGATAATACCATTCACAGTTCTAAATGGAATAGAGAACGGATAGAGAAAAACGAATATTGTATTGTGACTATTCTATAATATTGGGCTTCATTTTTTTGGTCCTAACACTGGAATTATGTATCCTTCATGTAATTAATTAAAAATGTGTTGAGAATATTTTACTTTTGTTTAAAAATAGCAACATATGAGATTCATGACTGTTCTTCTCTGCTGAAGTAGTTTTCTAAATATAATTTTAGACTTACACTAAAGGGTTATTTAAAGTTAATGATTTAAAATAATTTTAACATTAAAGGAATATTTCTATAGAACCGGACCCGGCAGACCTACTGGGTCTTATGGTGATTTGAAAGTATTCAAGAAGCCATTGAATAATACATAAATTTTTATTCAAACTAATCCAGCAGTTTGTGACAAACACACATACATAGAAATTATTTGTATTAAATAATATAGGTACTAAAGACATCTTGATTAACTGCTATGTTTTTTGTAGAAAAATCTGCTAATAAATCGGGTGGACCCGGCCCGTGACCGTTCACAAATACTACTTGATGAAGCGCAGAATGCGATGGATATAGTAAATAATAATTTAGGTCCTAACCTAACACTGGCTGAGACTTTACTAGAGAACGCCGCGAAAACATTACAGAATGCAGATGACATAAATGGTGCTATAGAGCTGTAAGTATACCGTTTATAATAATTTTTTCACATTTGTAGTAATTACCTATAGAAAAAAATTAATTACTATAATTTTTTATGGGTTCGTAGGAAAATATTGTCGATTTTGTATTAATCTGTTTGGGGAAGATATCGCATATATCAGAATCATCCAATTTTCTCTGAAACGGGGAAATTGGTTGTTATTTATATATTCGCAAACCCCGTTTAATTCATTTGTTTTTAGAGCTGATCATATACACATTAAAACCATTTTTTACCTGTTTCAATTTGCATTTATTAGAGAATACTGTAATGTTTAATTTAATGAATTATTGTAACAACTGTAATTAACTAAAGTAAAAATTGTACCAAAACACTCGAGAAAAAGTGTATTCAGGTGGTGAAATTACGGGGTTTTTTTTATTACTATTAATGGGTTTGCGCTTGGTCTTACCTCGTCTAATGGGAAATGATGTAGCGGGCTTACTCAGAAGATATCTATTCACCGTAGAGGTGAAGAATTGTGTTCTACTCTTTTGCAATACGTACTCGTATTAAAAATAACGATGCGAACCGCTTGGTGCGGAGATGTACAATTTCGACGACGTAAAGATGAAGTCCTAGCGTTTAGAGGCATAGCACTTTAATAAATAATAATTAAATGATATCGTGAACGTCGTAACAATATTCTGTTCTTTCAGTTTTGTTTATGTTTTTTAGTCTTCCAGTTACATAAAAATAATGACGAACATAATATGCATTTGGAGTGTATAAAAACAATTTTACAGTGATCGCAGTGCTTTACCGACACTTGGCGCGTCCGCTCTAGAAGATGAGGCGACGAAGGCAGAGAAAGTTAACGCAACGGTAAAGAACACGTTGGAGATAATGTCAGAGATCGGCAGGAGTCTCTCAGCCAGCAAGGACTGGTCGCGCACTGTGCCGAAACAAGCTAACGAGGCACAAGCGCGCATCGCCAATATCAAACAATTGTGTAAGTAATATACTGTTTTAAATTTAACACGGTCATTATTTATACGTACAATTATCAAAAATCAACATCTTATGACGTTCTATTTACTTTTGTTGAATTTTCGTCATTTTCACGGGTAAAGAGCAGCGGATAGATAATATTTTATTGTCTACGTTTCTTGCTACTATTAGAAACTCGCTCGATACTCATCTCGACAAACTATACTCACAGTGTCTTCACGTACAATTTATTAAGTAATTATCACTTAATGTAAAATAATACATACTTAACAAAGTTTTAATATCAAGACTTAAAGTAATAATCAATTACAAAATGTTGAAAAGATTATTTCTTAATGTAGAATGCAAAGCAACAACTATTACTTAAAGTAATCAATTATAAATGTTAAACTATTATTACTTAATGTAGAATGGAAAGCTACAACTATTATAATCAACATTCTATATTTACAACATGAATATGATTATTTTCATATTTGGTTACCCCACAATGATATTAGACAATAATTAATTGCCAATATTTCTACAAACTATACAGAACGATCTGTACAAAACTTAAGGGTCTTATGGATAATGATGGAATGGCTGCACCCTCCACGCTAACAGCTTACACTGGCGGGGCATCAGTGGAGTATAATAAGAGATGAGTATGAGGTCAGGACAGTTAGGTCATCGTGGTAAATTCATCATTAATTTATCATGATGGTTTCCATGGGGAACCATTTAACGGTCAACTTGACATGGTACATCGCTAGTTATGGGGAATAATAATTTCACATTACTAACTGTAGCCTTTCGCAAACACTAGAGGGTCAAGATAGTAATTAATATGGTGTTTGTATTGTTTTTGACAGTGGCGAACGTGACAGATTTGTATGATAAGATAATATCAAAAGAAGACACAGTACAAACATTGCAAAATATACATAATCCTCTGCGCCAGACTGCCGACCACAAACTGGAGGAACTCAAAAAATTGATCGAACAGGTATGCGTTTATAATACGGTCTAGGCAATTTAGTGTAGACAAATTAAATTAGCATATTATATTAAAGCGGTTTAGCACACCGCTTTAATTCCAATAGTCGCGCATTCGATTCCTCGCACGGTACATATATTTGTATTCATGACTATGATTATTTGTATAGGTTACGTAGGTGTTTCCTGTTTATATAATATTATTATTATTTACAACATAAGCTCTGTTTACTTTGAGACTAAATGGCGTTATGTGAATTATTCAGGGGAATTATATTATTATCCCAATTGTGGTATTCACAGGTCTTATGATCACAGATACTCACATTTCGCTTGTTATTTTCAATAAAACTTGGCAAGACACGACGCTATCACCAGATTTAAGACTAATTTAATTTCTTAAGCAGTGTTTCCATCCATCTCCATTGTCATGTGACAACCTATCAAAGTCTCAATTTATTGTTCATATTTTTAGGCAAGAACTGTTGCAAACCGAATACAAGTGGGAGTAAGTTTCGACAGCCAATCGACACTACAGCCGCGACTACCTGACAACCTGGACGAAATCTCCACCTCGACCAATGTCTCAGCCTACTTCCGTACCAAGAGGAAGGACGGTTTCCTCCTATATCTTGGCAATCCTAAGGGTACTAATCTAAGGAAAACTAAATCTGTAAGTAATATAATACACTTTCTAAAACTGTTAATTTATTTATTTAAAATCACTGTTTTTTATCTTGGAGACAAATTTGACATTACCTATGTATGCCAGCTTTTATAATTAGTATATGACACAGTCGAATAAGTAAGTCGTGAAAAACGACATCGCGCACCTAACACCCCTGGATTTTTAGACCTCCACAGGCTATGGTAAGCGTTTCCCATTACCACATATGCCGTATGCCTGATTTCCGCTACTATAGTATGAAAGAATAGAAATTCTTTTCTTTTGCTATGTCAATCTTACTTCTTACTAATGTTATAAACACAAAAGTTTGTGAGTATGGATCGACGGATGGGTAGATGTTTGTTATTCTTTTACGCAAAAATTACTGAAAAGATCTTGATGAAACTTTACATTAATATAGTTTATACACTGTACTAACACATGCGATATAATTTGAAAAAACAATATGTATATTTGGGAAATATAATGAGAAATGTTAAATAAGTGTAATGCAAACGAAGTTTCACATAATATTTTATTAACTTCTGAGCATTTCATAAATTAATTTTGTGATAAACAAGTAGAAAAAAATTCTCTAAATATAACATCTGATCATTTTATGAAGGTATTTATTAATATTCAGTCATAACTGTGTTCTAGTTTATGCAATGTACACTTATATGACTTTATTATTAACAGGACGACTTTATGGTACTAAGCATACGGAACGGCTATCCGTATTTAACGATGGACATTGGCGACAGCGCTAATGGTCGTGAGCCAGTAAAAATTACCAGCGATAAGTTTGTCGCTGACAACAAGTGGTATCAAGTCATCGTTGACAGGTAAACAATGTAAAATTAGTTAAGTGATACCTGAATTAAAATATATTCAAATAAATTCTGGCTAAGAACTGTCGCAACACGTCACTTTTCAAACATAAAACCATATCATATTCAATATTTAATATTAATTCATATACATATATGTCAATCTATAATGTACTTATAATAAGTGCCTAGTAGCCTGAAAATTTATATAGGAGCTGTGATGCCACAGACGGTTACGTAGACGCGTCGAACTTATAACACCTATCGTTTTTCTAATGGGAATTAAAAATATTTTGCCTTACTTATTATCTATCAAATATTAAAAATAATTTAAGTTTATAAAACATACTTACACTTTATCATACCAACATATAAATCAGCTTTTTTTCTATACAGAGTGGGCCGTCAAGTCAAATTCTCGATACGGGAGACCTTAGATAACGGCACAGAGTTTACTCACTCCAAAGAAGCTACATTGCCTGGTGTACATACGATCTTCAACTTGGATCGCCAGAAATCACAACTGTATGTAGGTGGCGTGCCGCCCGGCAAGTCACTGCAAGGAGTTGATGTACGAGACTTTGAGGGGCAGATCGAAGAGCTCATGGTTGGAAACACTCCTGTTGGTTTATGGAACTTCATAGGCGCGTCCGATTTGAAGGGAGCCAGGCAGAGGTTTGTATGCTATATACTTTATGCTTCCCACATTAGTATTGAATATATTATAATATCAGTTGTAAAAAGTTTGTGTAGAAAGGCAATATTAATTAAAATAAACAAAATGTTTATGAACATTACAATTACAAAGTTTATATACTTGAATATTTAAATGAATATAATTTTTGTCCATTCTTTAACAACTTTCGTATAAGAAAAAGAAATATTTCGTCTAAAAATATAAGAATTCTGAATAGTCGTGTTTGCAGTTTATAGTCATTATGGAAATAAATATAGAACCTTAGTTAAATCCATTTGTATTTATAAACTGTACCTATATCTACTCAAGTTTTAATTGTTACAGGGACAAACTATTGAAAACAGCTACTGGACCTCAAGAGTACCGCTTCACCGGGTTTTCGCATGTTATTATATCAGGCGGCGGTTACCTGGTTCGGCAGAAGAATCATATCCAATTATTCTTCAAGACATACGCGTCCGATGGTCTCATCTATTTTGTTGGGGATAACAACGATTATTTCTTCTCCGTGCAAATGAAAAACGGGAACGTAAACTTACTGGTATGGTTCTAATAGTTACACTTATCATTACTTGCGGTAATAAAATTAAATAGGAGGTCCTTTATCTGTGGAGTCTTTATTAACCACCAGCTTGTTCATCTGTAAGCAAGTCTAGCATGGCCTGGAACAATCATGTCAGTTACACTGAGCGTTTGACCATATCAATATATTTATGTATGTAATATAAACAGTTTAATGGCATATAGTATAACACATCCCACCATTAGTACTGTATTTATAAGTTATGTATTATTTTATACTTTTCTTCCATCATGATATCTGCATGCATTCACATATTAAAGAACTCAAAGTATAATTCATTCACTCGTATATATTTATTTATTAAAGGAGCCAACAGAATATCTGTGCCGCAGTTTATTTATGGCATTATACTTAGTTGCTTGCCTCTTCATCTTTACGATACACAAAGCAACCTCATTTTATAGAAAAATTAATTGTAGATATTACTACAATTAATTTTTCTATATCTCACACATGCTTTGTGTTTGTATTTGATGTATAAAGATAAAATCTATCTATCAATAAAAAATAATCGGAGTAAATAAATTTAATCAATTTCAACAGGTAGCACTTGGCCCGAGAGAAGAAGATATTGTCAGCATCCACACATCGAAGGCCTACAACGATGGCAAATGGCATAAATTGGATGCAGCAAGATACCTCAGCAACTGCTCTCTCAAGGTGGACGGGGATACTCTCAGGACGGTGTCATTGTCCTCTAACACAGATATCCCAGCTGTTAATATGAATTTCGGTGGTTTGCGATACAAAAACATAGAAAGAGTTACGGATAAAGGATTTGATGGCTGCATCCGACAAATAAGTATTGACAGAATTAACGTTGAACTCAGCGACTCCATTGAATCTATAGGAGTAGCGTACAAGTGTCAGGTAAATATAAAGATATGCAAATGTCATTTTATTGTATGCGATAACAATCTTTAAAGGAGTTCCATCAGACGTCAAATAATAATATCATATAAAAGGTATGATAATATCAACAACGGGAGATGAGCAGGACGCGCCCCGCCGATGCTTGCCCCTTAAACTTGTTTATGTTACCCGCCAAGCATTTCTATTATTAAATAATTTTTTTCTACTTCGTAACATCAATATATTGTTATAAAATTAATGGTAGTAAAGTACGTACTACCATTTTATTCTAAAAATCGTCGGATATCTCTAGTCTTTTTAAATTTTATATTTTATATTGTAATGTTTAGTAGTAATAAAGTTTTGGACATTATTGGTATTATACCTGTAGGTATTACTTTATGTGCGGCCGGTCAAATGTATTTTGGAGTTTTCGTTTTTTTAAACATATCAACCCCATTATTACAAACTAATCGGAACACTTCTTAAAAATAATAAACAATCGAATAATTACCAACTGCGAGTGATCTATTTATTAAATATAACTTTTATTAGCGCACACAAACACTGCGCAATATCAATAGTAGGGGCATGTCAAATAATTTTAAATTTTGAATTGGCCCGTTGATTAAAAAGATTGCACAACCCTATTCTACTAAGAAATTTTAGATCTTAACAATTGATGGCCCTTTACTTTGAAAATATTTCAACTTGTATAACTTTTTATGTTTTATTCGCGCCTAATTAGATTCATAATCGACAAGTGACTAATATAATGTCAACTTCTGTTCTTTTTCTAGTTTTCATCATTGGTGTCGTTATCTGGGGAAAGTAGCTATCTGCGCTACAATGACATTTCGTCCCAGAATGCCCACATAACGCTCAAGTTCAAGACGTCTGAACCAGATGGACTGCTGTTCGTGTACGTCAGCAGAACGCAGACGAATAACGATGACAGCATGTCACTCTCTATTATTAACGGTAAATATATACATTTATGTATTTGTTGAGTTCTATTATATATTTGTTATATACCTTTCATATATCTCTTAAAGTGAGAGTAAATAAAAAGTCTTAGATTTCACCATCCATTATTTTCTATGTTAGCTGTTGTATGTCCTGGCTAAATAAGAGACAATAAAGATATTTTAAAGCAGCATTAGTTCAGTCCAGTATAGTATTGTCCTTACTATAATTTTTGGGACATATATATATAGTTTTTTATTATATATATATTCTTAGGGTAAGAAATATATTCATATACCTCTGGATCAGATCTATCTATCGATCGATCTATGGATAAGAGAAATCACCTCTATGTGTTTCATTGAAGTGATTTCTCTTATCCATTAAATTAGATCTTCATAGCTTTTTCGCTCTAACAAATGTATATGTCACTATATGCTTTATATATATTATTTACAATATATAAATTAACTTACTACATCTTTTAGGTCAATTGGTGCTGAGCAGTAAACGAGAGCGACTCGACTCCGGCCTGAATGTGTACAACGACTCTCAGTGGCACGTAGTCACTGTCACACATGGTGAGAAAGCACTCACGATGAGTATAGATGACTATGATTTCTTTAGGTAAGTAAAATGGATTCCATTTATCTCACTTAACTACTTATTCGGTCTGTTATACGTGTGGGATTCCTTTTGGAACTGATGATATGAAAGTAACTTAAATCTTGGCAGTTTTTATTTCTAACTACTTTACACTTGCGTACTGCTAGGCAATACCACTCCAGTTACATTTTATAGACAATTTATTATAAAGTTTTTATACAAATTTTAATTAGGAGCTAATGAAATGTGGTTTTCAAAACATAAATTAATGTGAATTTCTTATGTATCTGAATTCCAGGTTATTATATAGGTAATATGACAAATAAAGTGTGGTATTTACTTGTTGAAAATATTTTACTTTCTGATTAAAATAGAAATGAAAATAGTTAAAATCTGCACTACGTCTAATAATTTGTCCAGTGACTGTATAGATAACCTAAAGAAACAAACATTTAAATTATATTTAATATAAAATATAGTATAATTTATACACTCATCATTAATTTACTTCAAAATAAAGAAAAATCATAGAATATCTTCATTGTTCTTGTCTTCAATTAATGTTATCTAAATTTAACAAAACATGTATCTTAGTATAAAATATTTTATGCATCATAGACTATATATATCACTTTTGACTTATATATGCAATTCCATGCATGTAGTCAATGAGAGAGTATGTCATGTAGGTCTAATGAAGAATAATCAAGAAGAACTAATGAGAAAAAAAGCATCAATCCATACGAAAGTAAACACACTAAGGGAATGTTTTATCACCCTCATGTATCATTACATATAAATCATAAATTACTAACAGGGCGTATGTTTTATTTATCAATTTATTTTTCCTTTACTCTCTGAGACGAGCACTATTACTAGTTATACAGAGAATTGTATGAGATTTTGTACACTAATTGTATTGAAATATAAACAGCACAGATACAGCGCCGGATTCTCTCAGCATCCTAAACGGTGTACTATTCATCGGCGGGGTTCAGCCGGGATACATAATCAGCGCTAAGGTCGGCTCCAAGAAACCATTCCGGGGATGCATAGCGGATGCTGCTATCAAGGGACTAGTACTCAATCTCTTGTCACCGTATAATAATAGCAGCATCACCTTCGGAAGATGTGGAGATATTACTTATTTGGGAGGAGTGCCAGGTATATTATCTAATTCGGTCTGCCATACTCTTTTTTATTTATCTATCTATCAAAATTGTTTGTACTTTAATATCTTTCGTTTAATTTTATTACATTTTTTTAAAACTACGATGGTGGCAATCAAGCCTATCATCCGATAAATGTTTACTATTCTATGGACGTCTGCAACACCAGAGACGACATGTGCGCGTAGCCGACTTTTAAAAAAACCTGATACACTTTTTGAAAAACCTTATGCTGTAGTCTCGTGAGAAAAACTCGGCAGGTGGTTAGTTAGTGTTATAATATATTTTTTTGTAAAAAAACTTATTATAAAATTGAAGAATTTATAAACGATAATAATGTTTTTGTAGAAATTATCTAACTTAAAATTCATAGCGCTGACAATGTTATTTGATTGCACAGAGATTAAGTGCGTAGCGGTTTCTATATTGATTATCGCATACCTAATCCTTGTTAATTAAATATAAGTAAATCAATATTTATTTAAAAAGCAACACATAAGTTTCTTGCTTATTCTTCTTGTGATGAATCTGCATTCCGAATAAGCGGTAGAATCAAAAAACTTGACTTTTCAAAAGTACTTATATTAAGTTTATTTGAATAAAGATTATTCCTATTTCTATTTTTATTTGTTTAAACGAATTAAGTTGACAGAATAGACAGTTTGTTGACAAATGAACATTGACACATATATTACATCGTATTCAAGTTGTAATGTATCCATGCATGTTATTCTTGAGGACCAAGTACTCATGCCTAACTGTGCTGTAACAGCGCAACTTACACCTGTAGCAGTGTTATAGTACTCGTCTACAACATTGAACCAAGTCTACATTAGAAAAATGTATAGATTTTCGAAAATTGATTAACGCTGTATCTTTATTACAGGCGATGCGTCCTGGGCGACACCGGCGCCACCCGAAGCTGTACTGCCCATTCCAAGACCACCACCTGAACCTGAAGCTGTGCCAGAGCAAACCGAGATACCTGTTACGACAGTACAAAGTATATTGACCAATCTGTACATATATAAACGCCTAATCACACATCATACAGTGATAACTAGTACCAAAAAAGCATAGCCTATGGGTATTAAACAACTGATACAAATACTTAAATATATTTATTAGTTATATCCAACAAAAGAGTCATACTACAAACTTGCAATAGGTGAAGCAGTGTATTATACGGTTACATTATAATGTAGTTACTTTATAATTATGACTAAAGTCCAGCAATAGCGCATAAAAATAGGTATTTTTTATTTGATATGAGTTATGATTAATATATTGTGACAAATACTTTATGGACTTGAATTTAATTACTTTTATAGTACTTACTAGTCCAATTTATCCAATTCGAGAATATCTATTGTTTAAACATTTATATCTGAAAGCCTCGGTGGTCTATAGATTGAAAAAAAACACTCACTTCACGCAAGATGTATTCATGAGTATGATTGTTTATGTTATTGAATATTATTTACAAAAATATATTCAAGTTATTAGTTGTATAGTACCCATAACACAATCCCTGCTTATGTATATTATTATATTTATGTTCCAGAATTATATTTTTTAGTATGATGACCCACCTGATGGTAAGAGGTAAACCGTCGCCTATAATATATATAATCAACACTACGAACTTGACATAGTGATGTGATTAAGTCTTAAGTCCGGATTTTTAAGATGTCTTGTAATTTCACTATATATATCCTAACAAACGAAGTATAACAGCCAAAGCTTCATTTGATTTGAGATGTTGTATTGTATTTTAGATGTTATTCTAATGTATTGTAGATCTTCCGCATCTTCGATCAGGCGTCTTTGAACCGGCGCATACAATTGGACTTGAAACGACGAGTCAACCACTGACAACACTAGCGCCCACCACGCCGAGACCTCGGCCTCGACCTGAACCAGGGTGCTCGCTCGCATATGACCCATACTATACCACGGGCACCCCTGCGGAGGGATATAGATTTGGTAAGAAACCCAAGAACTTTAAATTTCTAAAGTATTTTACTTGATCCAAAATTTGTCATCATTATCCGCTTCTTCATTATCCCATTTATTTGTGGTCGACATAATATGTTTTTCTCTTCCATTCAATTCTGTTTGCAGCCATCTCGTTATTTATTCCCTTTCTTGCCGTATCATCGGTCTTACCATCCACATTCATCGTACTAATATTACAAACGCGTAAGTTTATGAGTATGGATGGATAGATGTATGTTTGTTACTCTTTCACGCAAAAATACTGAACGGATTTTATGGAAACTTTACAGTAATATAGCCTATATATCAGAATAACATAAATTACTTGCAGGCACACGTAGTTTCGTTAAAATATTCTCTTCATTCCTACACATGACCATACCATAATAATACGATTACGATTACCATGACAGACGATTACTTTTTAGCTTCTCCTATTGGCGCCATTTTCATTCATCCTCTGTATTTCTTCACACCACACATTCATCTCAACATCCGAATTTCATTTGCAGTGTCTTTCATTCGTCGCCTTTTCAATAATTTACAGTATTGTGAGAAAAATAGAATAATACAAGTATTGATATTTTTAAAGATAGAATATTGAAACTTATTTTTTAGGCAGTTGGTAGAAAGAAGTTGGGTGGGTTGAAAGGATAGAAGGCGAAATGAGAGAGATAAAAGTATCGTTATTTTTAAAACTATAAGATTGAAGCTTGTTTTTTAGGCTCTTGATTAAATATTAATAAACATAATATTCAAAGTTTGTAAAAATGTTACCCTTAAGGGGGTAAAAAGAAAATTGGAAATGAAAGTTTGAAGGAAAAAATTACGAACTTCTATAGAAAGTTCGTAATTTTTTCCACGCAGACTTATTCACGGGTACAGCTAATTATAAATAAAAATACGAAAGCTGAGAGTTATTGTCCATGTGATTATTTAAATTATTAAAATGTATTTGTATTTCTTAATAGGCACTCGCAACGACAGTCGCATTGAGTACGCGACACTGCCGGGCCGACAACTGGACGTGTTCGACTTGACCATCAGTTTCCGCACCTTCGACAGTCACGGCGGCCTTATGTTCTATGCTGCCGCCGATTTTATGCCCGAACAATTTCTTGCTGTCTACATGAAAGATGCAAAGGTACCATTACTTAGACACCTGCCTTCTTTTTCATTTTGATGTTCTCAGATTACATATTATTTTTAATATTTTAAACAAGCATCAAATTAAATCTCTTAATTTTCCCTCATACTTCTTAAATAATATAATTAAAAAGCATAAAAATAAATTTATATCTATTTTGGGGTGTACAAAGTACATCTTTGACGCATTTTCAGTGCAGTATTAAAAATAAGTGATGTTAATACTGTTATGATTCTAAGTATCCTTACAGAAAATGCGTTGAAGCAGTCATGAAGTTCATCTGATATAAAATCCTTTATGTCTATTCAAGCTTATACTTTTTTATATCCATCCATCGCTCAAACGCCCTTGTGTACGAAATATTTTGAGAACTCGAAAATGTATTTTTTGTTATATAGTATAATAACAATCATATTAACTGCGAAGAATGTATTAGAGAAATAAAATGGAACTTTGTGTTAGGTGCATCTCTCCTTCAACTGCGGCGAGCGCACCGCAACGGTGGCATCAACTCAGCTATATAACGACACAGAATGGCACACTGCTACTATCGTGCGGAACGGTGGTAACGGCAAGTTGACCATAGACGGCGAACACATAGGTGATGCCAGCGTGCCTTGCTTCGATCCCGCTGTACTCTCTGCACCTTATTACTATGGCGGCCTGAGAAATATTACCACGTATTACAACGACAGCGTGGTGAGTTTTTATAATTTATATGAGACCTTATATTTTTAAATAGTTTTTCTACACGACATCACACTTTAAAAACAGTGCTAACACCTCCCACATAAACTTCAATTTGATACTAAACCAAATTATACTTACTAACTTCCTACATCCCTGTCTTACCTTACATACTATAACAAAAAACGCGCCATTTTTATACATATATACTAGCAGACTCTGCCACACGTGGCTGTGGCTATAGTTCTTGAATAAAATAATATTGCTGCCACAAATTGCACAAAATGTACAAATCTAATTTCCAAGTCGGTTCAGTAGTTTATCCAACGCGGACAAACAACGTGACACGTAATCCTTACTAATATTATAAATGCGAAAGTAACGCTGTCTGTCTGTCTTGCTGTCACGCCAAAACTACTGAACCGATTTATATGAAATTTGGTACACAGATAGTCTAGACCCTAAAAAGGGCATAGGCTACTTCTTAATGCGATATAATGGTTGTAAGGGGTTGGTTGTATAAAAGTTACCCTTTAGGGTGTAGAATAAAATAGGGGATGAAAGGTTAAGGTTGGTGATTAATTATGAATACATATGATATTCATAGTTTTTCAAAATTTTACCCTTAAGGGGGTAAAATAACATAGGGGATGAAAGTTTTTAGGTAAATTCGCCATTTTGAAGCTAGATCTAGGAAACTTTTTCCATTGGCTTTTTTGGGTTTGTTTATTAAAACCTCACTAATATTATAACTGTTGAACTCGCATACACGCCAAAACTACTAAACCGATTTTAATGAAATTTGGAACATATAATATAGACCCTGAGAATAGATATAACGTACTTTTTAATGTGGAAAAGGGTTGTAAAGGGATTGAAAGGGTAGGTGCAAGATTGTATGGATATATCGCCATTTTCTATACCTGAAACTGATTTTTAGGAATAAAGAAAAATGGGTTGTAAGGAATTTAAAGGAGAGTTAAATGTTTATATGGATATATTGTCATTTTTAAAGCTAGAAGCTTGAAGTTTAAATTTAAGCCTATTTATTAAATATGTATTAAGAAAATCAGAACGGGGTGAAAGAGTTATGAAAGATTGTATGTGTGTCAGTAAGTGTCGTCATTTATTAAGCTAAAACGATGAAACTTTTTCATTTGGCTTTTATTGAGTTAGGTCATTAAATTTTTTTTTTATTATTTGGTCAAGGGCACTATTTTACGCGGACGAAGTCGCGGGTACAGCTAATATTACATAAAAATTAAATTACTTATTTATTTCTCTTTTATATTCCTATATACTATTTTCTATAGAGGCTATATTTTCTACGTTACATCAATAAAATAAAAATACAATTCACAGGGTTTCTATCAGACGTTCATGGGTTGCCTGAAGGGTCTCATGATGAATGGACAGTACGTGACAGATATTCTTTACCGAGTCAACTCACTGCGCTGCATCGACCATGTTGAGGACGGCATCTACTTTGGACCAACTAACGATGGACACAGCAGTTATCTGAAGGTACCAAATATTCCACGATATATATTAATACGCACTTATTTATACAAAGCCAGTGACAAACACGTTTCAATTAGTTTATAATCGTTACCTATAGGCATAAAATGCTTTAATGAACTCATTGTTCGCTTTATGCGTTAGGAGCCCTGAGAGGTAAGAAACTATTTTTACTACTAAACGCATTTGTTTTTATATGTTCTATTAGTATACAACTACCGATAACAAATACGGTCAGTTACACTTTTATAATGTATATCGTTGCGAAATACAGTGAATGTATATACAATCGCGCCAAACTATAATGAATTGCTAAAAATGTAAATTGTATGCGAGAATGTACAGTTACAAAGGTACTTTTGCGCTTCTCCTAACTAGCACAAATAAACTGCAAAATTATTAAGCAATTTTAGTCCTACATAAGTAATAAATAGATTATAACTATATGTACTCTTGTTATAGTTGTACTCACGCTACAATGTGGGTAACGAGATTGCAGTGTCCATGGATGTGAAGCCGCGTAATACAACTGGACTCTTATTCAGCGTACATGGCAGGAGAGACTACATGATCATAGAACTACTTGAAAATGAGGTTGTTGCCAAAGTTGATAATGGAAAAGGTCCATTCCAAGCCACTTTCAAACTCGGCAACAAATTCTCACTGTGCGATGGAAAGTGGCATAAAATTCATGGTAAGACCTTCAAAAGCCTTAACAGACTATTACAACAATAAAATATCATACATGTATTTAACAGTCTATTTACATGTGTGATTTATTTTTTAGCTGTGTTATCATAATAAATCATCCTTACTTAATATTATAAATGCCAAAGTAACTCTGTCTGTCTGTCTGTCTGTCTGTCTGTCTGTCTGTCTCGCTTTCACGCCAAAACTACTGAACCCATTTAAATGAAATTTAGTACGCAGATAGTCTAGACGCAGAGGAAGGACATAGGCTACTTTTTAATGCGTAAAAAGGGTTGTAAGGGGTTCAAAATGGAAATACAAGGTTATCTTTATGCGGTTGAATCCTTATTCGTCATCTTTTCATTTCACTAGCTAACAACCAATCAACACATCGCGTGCGTTTGCGCCATTCGCCATCTTTTCATTTCACTAGCTCACAACCAATCAACACATCGCGTGCGTTTGCGCCAATAAGGTATCCATCACAGAGAACAAAACCACAGATAACATAATGTAAAACGAAAAATCTTGCCGGAAACATGACGTTGACGTTTAGTGAAAATATTGTTTTTTGACACTTTTTTATGATAAAATCGTATATCGTGTGCATGTGTTTTTTCTTTAAACCTGAAATTGGCCGATTGCGAGACAAATTTGGCGATTTTTTTATTAATTTGTTTTACGGCTCTGGATACAAGCCCAGTTTAGCCCAACTTAAAGTTTTACAATTTAAATTACAAAAATTAAAGTCAATGTCCAATGTTAAATAATAATAAATGTCAAATGTTGTTTCCCTGTTCTGACAAATTTAAAAAAAAAAACTTAATAACAATCACAATTTCTTCACATTTTATTATTTACATTTTTTAAAGAATGTTGTGGTGTGGCACTATCCGAAATTAAATAATTTACCCATTTTTGTAGGTTATACAGAAATAATGTGTGGGTGTTTATTTAAAAAGCATTAACACAAAATTAATAAAGTATAGGTATTAATAAATATATGGTTGTTGTATCAAAATAGAATTTTCTTATTTTTCACTAAAATAAAAACTAACTGTCTTTTTTATAAAATAAATGACCTTTTCATTGTGCCATATATTATGGAACTATTTAAATTATTTAGCTGATTGTAAGAAACAAAATGTTGGTTAGTAGATTAATACTGTAAAATTATTATTTGTACGGAAACGATAAAAATATATTTTTGTGCTGCGACAAAAACTAATATTATTACAAATGTGAAAGTAACTCTGTCTGTCTGTCTCGCTTTCACGCCAAAACTACTGAACCGATTTGAATGAAATTTGGTATACAGATAGTCTAGACCCTGAGAACGGACATAGGCTACTTTTTAATGCGAAAAAAGGGTTGTAAGGGGTTAAAAGGGGGGATGAAAGATTGTATGGAAGAATCGTCATTTCTGAAGCTAGAAGCTTGAAACTTATTTTTGAGACTGTTGATTAAATATAAATAAAAATGACATTCATTGTTTGTAAAAAAATACCCTTAAGGGGGTAAAATAAAATAGGGTATGCAAGTTTTTATGTAAACACGTCATTTTTGAAGCTAGAAGCTTGAAACTTATTTTTGAGGCTGTTGATTAAATATAAATACATATGACATTCATTTTTTGTAAAAAAATTACCCTTAAGGGGGTAAAATAAAATAGGGGATGCAAGTTTTTATGTAAACACGTCATTTTTGAAGCTAGAAGCTTGAATCTTATTGTTGAGACTGTTGATTAAATATAAATACATATGACATTCATTGTTTGTAAAAAAAATACCCTTAAGGGGGTAAAATAAAATAGGGGATGCAAGTTTTTATGTAAAATCGTCATTTTTGAAGCTAGAAGCTTGAAACTTATTTTTGAGGCTGTTGATTAAATATAAATAAATATGACATTCATTGTTTGTAAAAAAATTACCCTTAAGGGGGTAAAATAAAATAGGGGATGATAGTTATTATGTAAATTCGTAATTTTTGAAACTAGAACGATGAAACTATTTTCATTGGTTCTTTTGGGGTAGATTTTTAAATACCCCACTAATGTTATAACTGTGAAAGTAACTCTGTCTTTCTGTCAGTCTTACGCTCCAAAACAAAATAAAAATTTAAATGAAATTTGATACACAGTTAGTTTACACCCGGACAAAGAATATAGGGTACTTTTGAATGTGAAAAAAGGATTGTAAGGGTGTTGCAATGGTACGCTGTATGGAAGAATCGTCATTTTTTAAAACTAGAAGTTTGCGACTCATTTTTAGGCTGTTGTTTAAATATCAATAAATATAACATTCAATGTTTGTAAAATTTTTACTCTTAGGGGGAGGGAGGGTAGTAAAATAAAATAGGGAATGAAAGTTATTGTGGAAATTTTCTGTTTGTGTGGTTGTGGAAGCTAGAACGATTAAACTTTTTTATTTGTCTTTTTAGGGTTAGTTTATTAAATACCTTACTGATATTATAAATGAGAAAGTAAATTTGTCTGTTTGTCTCGCTTACACGCCAAAAATACTGAACCGATTTAAATTGAAATTTGAAACAAACATAGATAGAATAGATCCTGAGAAAGGACATAGGTTACATTTTAATGTGAAAAAGGGTTGCAAGAGGATTGAAAGGGTAGATCCAAGGTCATATAGATGTATCGTCATGTTTAAAGCTAGAAGCTTGAAATTTATTTTTTAGCCTATTGATTAAATATTTATTTTTACTTTTTATCATTTTTGAAGCTAAAACGATGAAACTTATTTATTTGACTTATATTGTGTTAATTGAGTTAAATATTTTTTCATTATTTACGCGGACGAAGTCGCGGGTACAGCTAGTGTTACTATATATATAGAATAATTACATCTAAACACATAAAATCAACTGTGTATGTATATTTATGTATGTGTACGTGTCTATGATAAGTTATATTTTTTATCTAAAAAATAAAGAGTTAATTTTATTTAATTTGTCTTACTAACGTCATAATAAGGCAAATTAAATAAAATATTATAATATTGTATTCCGTGAAATTACTTCCTTATTGCTGAGTTTTCCCTATAAATATGTATAATATATGATATTCCAATAAAATAATTAATTTTATTGGAATACTACCTACGCGTCCCGGTTTCGCACGGGTGTACAAGTATTATCTATATAAACCATCCTCTTGAATCACTCGTATCTATTAAAAAAACTACTTCAAAATCCGTTGCGTAGTTTTAAAGATTTAAGCATACATAGGGAGGGACAGACAGCAACATTGACTTTGTTTTATTAGTAATAATTACACACACTTCCACACTACTATCATATATTAATGCAGGCGACTGTATTACATAGCACGTGGAATGTAATAACTTATTACATTAGTGTGTAATATTCCAATAAAATCTGTTATTTTATTGGAATATCATATATATTTATGGGGAAATCTCAGCTGTTTATTATAAATACCATTGTATATATAGATGCACAATATAATGATTGCCCATTAGATAACATTGACGCCTAATGTTTACGTTCCGTTACACGCACAGTATAATAAACATCATTTGTTTTTTCAGTCGTTAAGTCGCGACACGTGGTCAGTGTCGGTGTGGACGGCCACTTCTCCGATGCTGGGATTGGACAGTCCCCCTCTACTGATACTAGGTCTGGCCTATACATAGGTGGTCACGAAAAGCCTATACACAGAGTGATGGGAGCGCGGGCGAGAAGGGGTTTCGTAGGCTGCATCAAGAACATAAAGATCAAGGAGCAGAATGTTCCAATCTCCCTGACCGGAGCTGGCAGGAATACCCATATTGGCGTTTGTCCCAACGATTAATCTTATTTTTTAATGAAATTCATTCAAATGTTATCGACATCTTCAATTACCTTCCTATTGAATAGAATTGATATATGTCCTAAAGCTTATCTATAGTCGACGTTCAATGTACAGTGACTTCATTACAGACAAAATAGATATTGTAAATTAAGTAATAGGAGTCTATGTATCCAATAGCAATAAAGTAAATTCATAAAAGAAATAATTTGAATATAAATTTTAGCATGTGTTATTTATGTAAGACATATATAGGGAATTTTGCCGACGAATAAAATTTAATAAAGGAAATATCACGATCGACATTGCAGGCCTCACAAATCGTAATATTTATACAGACTAACCTAACTAGATTTTAATACGATAAATGTATAATTATCCATGTAAATATAATTGTAATGTAAACTTATATCATACTCGCTTTATATAACATCCTAAATGTTACACTTTAAGCGATTGACATTAACGCCTATTTACAGTTGTACATGTCACTATTAATATATATATGGGAATTGGCATTAACAAAATCTCACAGAAAGAAAAACGTCATAACATTATTACAATAACTGTCATATACAAAGTTTCTTTTGTTCATTAAATTGTTATTGGAAGACATTGTGCAAACAGATTTTACTTGTAAAAAAAATATTTAGTATTGTGTTCTCTGTTCAATATTCAAATCGCGAAATATTTATAAAATTGTCTTTTCCTGTTAATTAAACTACTATATATTACTAACTAATATGCACTGACTAATATCAAATAAATGTATAAATATTGTGAGAAGTTAAAATAAATTTGTTGTTTAATAGTACTTTCGTACATAAAATAATCAGACTGAATATGATTTTTATTGATTTCCTGTAGCAGTAAATATATTTTATTATTATTGGTATTTTACATGTACTGTTTATATGAGAAAATACAACAGATATGCATTGCGTTAATGCAGTTTGACTTAATATAGGTAATCTGATGATACTCTCAGAGTGTCTTGCAAGAACTAGTAGGACACTAAGAGGCAAATACAAATACCACAAAGACTTTAAAATATATATTTATTTCGACACGCAATTGTACAATCTAATGAATATGCATGCGGCGTCGTTTACATGTTGGTGCAGACTAGCTAGGTGAGGTCAGTTGCAAGTAAAATTTATTAAAGACAATTCATACGAATTACATGCTATTTTTTTTGCTTGATATTTTATTACATAAAAATACAATCTCAATAAACCTTAATATATGTTTACTAAGCTATGGAATAGATATGTTAAGACACCGGCGCTCCCGGTCGTCCCACTTATTGATCCCCCAGTCCAATTCAAACGAGAATAGAAATTGCAAAGGCCTGAGCCTAAAGTCGTATCCGTCAGCCAGAAATTGACCTTCACCTGCTCCATAACTCCTTCCACGAGTGTGGATGGCACCTATTGAGAACATAGTACCTACTCAGCCCATAGTACTTACGGCACTTGTTTTCTAGCATACATCATCACTCTCGCAACTTCTATTACAGTATTTTTCTCACTAGCTCACTAACTACAGTCGTTTTGCTCAGGTATGTAAAGCATTGTCAGCCGCTGGTGTATGCCTTATCTCTGTAATATATTTTGAAAAGCTTCATTATTAATTTCTCCGCTGTTGTCACTAAATGAAGTCTTAATAGTATGCCCGGCAAGTCTACTTCGATAAAACATTTGAAAACACTAAACGTGTTTTCAACGTGTTTTTTCTTGCTTTCATTTTGACTACTCTTCGACATAGTAGAATAAACGGTAACGTGAAAAATAATCTTCGAATAATACGAGGTACTTATATTTTTAGATACTTTCGGTTGTAAATGGATCACATATTTCACCAGTTGATGTTGCCATTTCACATGTAACAAATTTGGATTTTCGATTTTACTTTCCATAAATGCATCGTTCACAGTCCGGACTCGAGTGTATGCCTAACTCGCGCATTGATATCCGATTAACATGTCCTTTATCATGGTGGACAAAGCGTTCATGATACAATTGTAGCGTATAGGAGTCAGTTACAGCATTAATATCCAATTGTATTATATTTTAGCGGCATGATGGTGGTCTACATCGTGTAAAACTCCAAATGGAACTCTACATCTGGTTACGCCTTCAATATTTATATTGCATTCCTTTGTTGTTGCCATGAATGTACTACTCTATATCCTATCTTATATTATAAATAATTAATTTAAAACATCAAGCAATTATTTATTAATATTATTATTAGCATTGGATTGTTGGATAAATATATATGTCAACAGGGAATGAGTTGTAACAAATGTATATTCTTTTTGGCAAAACTTGTCCATCGAAAGTAATAACAACTATTTATGTATCAAATTCTCATCCATTAACAATACTTTTCCTTTCAATGCGTCTGTCTTTTAATATCTCACCACATCCTAAACGAACAGTAACATTTGCAATTACCTCCTCCGGAGACCAGTTTGAAGGCACCCCTTTTACTATACCTATCCTAGTTAAGTTATAGGATGGAACAAATGCTTTTAATTTTTGTGTCATTAATTCGGGACTATTAATAAACGATTTGGCATCTATATAATTAGAGAAAGCTATAAACAGTCTATTTCTGCCCATTCTTTTAAGAGTACCATTAACAATGTTTCTATATGAATATTTTTGTAGAAATCTTCCAAAAAATATAGGATGGAGTGTAGTTCTATAATCAGGACTTGAATTTTCCTTTTGAATATGGACTAAATATGGTGCTGCATTTTGTATATTATAGAATGACCTGCTCACTGAGTTTTGTGGTTGACGTGAGCCACTTTTGCTCTGGGAATTAGTATCTTTATTTGTAACATTATTAGTATCTGTCGATTTAGAAACATTTTCAGACAATTCATTATCATGGACTTCACTATATTGACATGAATTTAATTGAGTTTTTCCGCCCTCAAAGCCCTTACATTTTCTGCGTTTTTTATTACAATGTTTGCAGACACGAGGAGCCGAGACACGTCTCCTTTTAGACTTTGTATTCTCTATCCATCCGGAAGAGCAATCTGTATCCATTGACTCAATTTCATTTGCACTTATTGTAACACGCAGATCGACCTCAGAGATTGTACCCCCAAGGTACTCTGGGAGGTCCATAGGAAAGTACTAAATATTACAACTTACCTATATCGCAAGCTTTACACTACACTACACTAATATATATTACAAAAATAAATAAAAACTATATAAAAATTATACCCATTTGATCACTATTTTGTAATAAAATATTAAATTAAAGAAAAACCACGACCGCCAAATTCAACTCTTCCCGCCTTTCTCGACTTGGTTCTTACAGGATCTACTAAGTAACGGCACTCTCCGTCCAACGCGAAAACCATAAAGAAGCCACTTTTCTCTTTGGTATATTTACTTTGGTCTTTAGTCACAGATTAAAGAGGATTTACTTTACTCTTTGAGCCTAGGAAACAATCTATTTAACCTTGACATAAACAAGTTTCCTAAATTTAGTCTTTGGCAAATACACCAACGTGTTAAACCATCAAAAAAACTGTCCTCAACTGACGTACGAGTAAACTATTTTCATAGTTTTATCTTTTTGTTCTTTTGGCTGTACAGGCGCTGTTCCCTTTGCCTTTCATTTAAAGAAAAAAAACTGAAACAAAAAAATCTCCTTTGTTTTTGCATTGTTTACCATTGGTTATTTTTTTACATTTCATACAACAAAAAGGAAAGCTTAGATTAATCTAAACAATATTAACAGAAAAGATTATGAAATTGGGACGATAAAAATTATGAGATTTAGAATTAAAATATGTCAATAAAAACAAGACTTACTAAGAAGCTAACAAAATTATCTACACTTATACATATTTCTTTCAGGCTTTACTAAAAGTAATTTTAAGGAAGATCATTTTAAGCTCTTTTAATAGAAAAATTATCTGGAACAATCTTGAATAACAAAACATTACATATTTGGAGTGAAGTTGTGAAAAGGTAAAATATGTTTCTACTTGGTCTTTTTTAATAAATAAATGATTTTGACTTTGAAACTGTTTATTTATTTTTCGTCATATTGTAATTTTAGTAAATTTCTCTTTAAAAATGTAATCTACTAATTCTTTTATAAATGGAGTTTATACACTTTACCTTTGCTGCTACACAATTTACAATCAATGGTAGTATAATATACCAAATTAATGTATTTACTTATTTACCATGTTCATGTATGTGAATACAAACTGACTTCAATCACATCAGGATAACTCAAAAATTTCTGGTCAAATTATGAACTTCATATGGTACTAAATAAGAAGCACCAGAAACAAAAAAAAAATTTAAAATCAAATCACAGACTTAGATGTTAACTCATCTTTTAACCACAAATAAATATGGTAAATTTAAATTCTTTATTTTGTCTATTAAAAATCCAACACTATTTACTCAATCAATTGCTATAGTGACAATATAATATATTCCTAGCTGTTTCTATTTTTATTGAAATAACATTCTTACGATGACAAAGGATAAGATTTTAATAATCAGAATAACTATGCTCTAAAATGTATTTTGACTAAGTATATCATTAATAAAACTATTTCAATTTGAATTTAGACTTTATTATTGGTTACACTTTTTAGTAGTTAATACACTGTAATACATTTATTCTTATATTCTTATACATATTCATAAATACAACACAGACAAATACAATAATAGAATAGAAAATTATTTATTCAAATAAACTTACATTGATACACTTTGGAAGTCTACAATATTTTTTAATCTACTGCTTAATCGGAAAGCTTTCCCCTCACAAGAAGAACAAGCAAGAAACTTGCATGTTGCTTTTTAAATAATTTTATTGTTAGTTTACATTTTAGGTTGAATTGTGTGAATACAAACTACTATTTAGCACTAATTCAATTAAATACTCAATTAGACAAAATATTAAATATACAACCAACTGGTTAAAAAATTAAATAAGAGGAAATCAGTTGTAGTGACTAGAGCAGACTAGTCCCTACAAGCAGCACCCGTTCACGACTATGACGGATGAGCTAGCCATCACAAGTTTGTGAGGGAAAAAGCAATTTGAAGAAAAAAGATTAATTTAAATCCACAACAGACAATTTACTATAAAATAGATACATAATATTATACTAAGATTATATGAAATTATCCTAAGATTATATGAAATTATCCTAAGATTATATGAAAGTATCCTAAGTTTACATCTTACACTAAGATTATAGTAATATGTTTAAGTACAACATTTAAAAAGTTGAGTAGAGGAATCATATAATATCAAGTTACTTAGTTTTCCCAGAGGAAACATGAGAAATATGAACTAAATTTGGCTTACTGTGATTATCTCCAACTTTTACTACAGTTATTGAAAACTCATATCCATTATATATAAATTTATTCAGGCCAGTATTCCACGCCTGTTTATCGTCAGATGCACAAAAGATAACTGCCACTGGTGTCTTGAAATAATATGGTTGCATTGGCTTGAGTCTGTGCAATTGCACAGTTGCTTCTTTACCGCAGTCTACATACTGCACCACATACTCCTGTGGCATTTCTGTCAGGCTTTTTATAATGCCACGTTCATAATAACGTTGATCATCAGTTAACACAGCCACAGGTAGCCCTACTGTTATCTCTTTCGGATTCACCTTAACTTTTTTGGCCTTACTAGTAAATGTTAGTTTATTTCGTTCTTCCATATATGTCTCGTAATCATCTTTTTGACAAGCGTAAAATGCTTCTAGTGATTTGCCACCCAGCACTTGGACTTGTAACTTATCACCAACTTTAACAGTCTTATATTTGTAACACAGGTCCACCTGACTCGCAGTACTGCTTTCCTGCCGAGTACGACTGGTTGATTTTTTAAAACTTGCATAATCAGTTTTTATGAGAAGAGTCCCAATATCGTCAGGGCAGGAGTTTGCTAATTCAACTAGGAATGTGTTTTGCTTCCTTCCTTTAATTTTTATTTGAGCTCTCTCGTTAGCAACATAATGCTTCATAGCATCAATCGCTTCCTCGCCCCAGGCTCCACCATTTGGGAAACAGTCAGCTAATTGGCAGTGTATAGCTAAGGGTTCCACAGCATCGGAATTTAACATGGGTTTATACATGTCATTCAATGGCACAGATTTATCAACACAACCAGTGTCCAGCGATTTTATTTCAAATGTGCTGTCTGGTTCTACTTTCATTATTTTACCACGAACCAAGGTTTTTGATTCCTTGGATTTGTAAATAACAAGCTCGCCCAAAATCGCTTCTGATTGATCAATTGGAGTTGTTTCATGAGCCGTCAATTCCGCCAGGTATTTTTTATAGGTGGTAGGCCGGACAAAAAAGTTATGAGGATCAGTGATATGCACAACCTCGACCCAATGGATGCGATGTTTATCGAAATTAGTAAGGGATATATCTGCCATCATCTTCGACAATGTGTCCATGATTGTTTTATAAAGTTAAAAGATAAATGCAATTACCTGTCACGGCAGAAGTCGTGAGAAATTAAAAATCAAGTATAACTTTCTAATAAAATCAAACACAGCAATATGTTATTCACTCGATTACGCCGCCAGGCACGCAGGTCCCAGAGCGAACTAATATTGATTTCCATAAAATAAATGGACGCTATGACCTATAGATTCTAGATAGACGCGCTAGGTACCCACTAGCTGCATAGTGCATAGCTAAAGTAATTCATCTTGCCCCTTTCCCAGGTGTCATATTTATTTAATGCAATGTTTTTGGGTTGCCAAGTATTTTACCCACAGATGGGAAACAAGACGGGACAAATAAAATAGAAATTTAGAATGTAATTTAGTGATCATGAAGTTTTATACTATTAATTAATATTAATAAATTAAATGGGGTTAATGTTTTATACTAAAAATTAGTAAAATGAGGCAATAGTTCAAAATAAATATAGGGAATCGAACCTTTAAGGTAATCAGGTGGTTTAAAAATGAAATATGATTATGATATAACGAATAAGAGAAAAAATATTGCGTAAATCATCACATAATGTTTAACAATCGCCCTAAACGCACCATTAAGTTTCCATCTTGATATCGTGAGTTCCGGTTGCAGTAACGTACTTCCAGAAGCTAGACAGTTTAGTTTTTCTTACATTTTTTTTCAATAGTACTGTATTTATTTACGGATTTTGAAGGCAACGAAGTTTAAGTCTAACTTGAAGTCTAAACTAAGTCTTTCAATAAGTCGCTTTAATAAGTCGTCTTTTACTGTTTGAAAATCTTGGCTTTATCTCCGAACAAATAGGACAACTTACAGTCATATTCTTAATTTCAGTAATCAAATACGGTAAATTTTTAGGCCACACCCAATGAGCCATTTTTGTGATTGCTAGATGGCATAATGTATTATGTAGCTCATATAAATTTTTGCGTGAAACCATATTAGGACAAACTCTTGACAATGTCTCAGGTACAATATTTTGTTTACCCGGTCGATATATAATATCAAACTTGAAACAAGATAATTCAAGCCTCCATCTCTCTATTTTCTCGTTCTCAATTTTATTTGAATGTTTTTGATTGTTGATCCGTTATCAAAAGAAAATGTTTTCCAATTAAATAGTGACGTCATCTACGCAGGCTTTCAATAATTGCCGACGCTTCTTTCTCTATTGAAGAATGGTTTCTTTCGGACTCTGTCAGTGAGCGAGAGAAAAATGCTACCGGGCGACTATTTTGTGAAAGGGTTGCTGCTAAGGCATATTCAGAAGCATCAGTCTCTACAGTAAACATTTGTGTGTCATCAATAGCAATTAAAGCAGCGTTTGCAATATCTTTCTTAAGACTCTTAAAGGATATTTCTGCATCATGTGATAATGAAAATGAATTATTAGTCGCTAAATTACTTATTTCTCTGAATAGTTATTTATCCATTTAGAATAATGTCCAAACATACCTAATACTCTCTTTAGAGAATATACTGTAGGCGCAGGCATGGAGAGTACAGGTTTAAGACGTTTTTTATCGGGTCTTACAACATTGTTCTCTATAGTATTACCTAATATATTAATAGTCCCAGAACCAGAATTACATTCGTCTTTGTTCAGAGTAATTTTATACTTTGCTACGGTTGCCATAAATTTTGCTAGATTAGCATCATGAGTAAGCTTATCCTTACCACAAACAGTAACGTCATCTAAATATGCATAAGTGTCGTGATTTTCGTTAGATATGATAAATTGCACCGTTCTTTGAAATGCTGATACTCCATTTGTGACTCCAAACGGTATACGTGTAAATTGAAATATATTACCACATGCTTCAAATGCTGTATAAGGTCGTTCTCTCTGTTGAATTGGTACCTGATGGTAGGCACTTTTAAGAACAATTTGACTAAAATATTTAATAACCTAATATTGAAGTACTTATATCAAAAATTGCGCAGAATAAATATTTTAGTCAAATTGTTCTTAAAAGTGCCTACCATCAGGTACCAATTCAACAGAGAGAACAACAGGATATGCATCAAGTTCTGTAAATTTTTTTATAGTTTGAGAATACTCAATAACGAGCCATTTACGATGATACCACCGCCAGTTACTAGAACTTGATCTTTTAATAGCTTTTCAAATTCTTCTTTAATAAATTGTTGATCACCCTCGCTGTAACGTCTTGATTTTATTGCTACGGGTTTGAAATTAGGAGATAAATTTGAAAACAATGCAGCGTGAGGTAAGTTAGCAGCCATGACATTACATATCTTCAAAGGATCTCAGGGACCACCAAACTTCAGTTCTAAGGAGTGATGAGCTTCAAGTAAGTCATGACCTAGAATAATATCAGCGCATAAATTACGTACAACTAATAATTTCACGTTGTCGTACGAGTGATTATTCAATTGTTAAGTTGCATTGCAGTGACAGTTGACTGGTCATGTATGATTAAGTGAAGGTAAAGTTATAATTTGTTGACAAAGTTTCAATAAGTGCGCTAATTCTTCATTTACAAAGTTTAATGAGCTTCCAGTATCGATAAGGGCTTCAGCATAGTACTTATTAATGGTGATAGGTACAGTTGCTTTATGTAAACTTGGTAAAGAAGCTGCAGATATAGCTGCAACCTCTGCAGGGTTACTATTATAATTCTCATTTACTATGGCAGCATTCATAGTTTGTTTGCTTCGACAAACATTAGCAAAATGTCCCTTTTTAAAACAAATTTGATAAGTGCTATTTAAAGCTGGACATTTTATCCGCTGATGAATTACATTACTACCACAAAAGAAACATCTTTTATTTGTTGTGGCAGCTATAACGGTTTCTGCTATATTATCTCCTGATATGGATGTAGACGCTTCATTATCGTAAGAAGACAATGTTCTGGTTTGCTTATTTTGTTTATTATGAATTATCTACGTGACACTAATCCTGTAATAAATAATACAAATAACTGTTCTAATATTCCAGTTTTAAAGGATTCTATGTCTGCTGACAATAAGAATACTTTAAGAAATTATAGAAATACGTTTGAGTCTTGCTACTTTTGTGGAGAGAAAAGACATCCACGAAGATTCTGTCCAGCAGCCTGTCTGTCTGTCGAAATAAATCTCAACGCAACGCAGCTACCTCCAACGAAAATCAGTCAATTGAAACACTCTCCTGCATACTGTCTTGTTAGAACGAGGTTTGCAATCGAGGTCTAGACTGGCTGGTATGGCAGATGAAGTATGTTTGAATATTTGAAACGAGAGTGTGTTTTGTCATCTTTCTTAACACCGCTATAGTTACTCTGTTAACGTGAGGTAAATTCCCTCACATATCTTCTGCAGATTTAAGTAAAGCGACTGTTCCTATTATTATCAACAACAAAATTATGGCTAGAGCACTAATAGATACAGGCAGTACGGCTAGTTTTATTCACAAACGACTGATTAACCACTATGATTTAATTGAAACACCATATCACCAAAAGATAACAATGGCCAAGTCAAACCTTATATCACACGTAAAAAGCAGATGTGCATTAACTATAGAAATACAAAAACAAAAGGTGAAAGTCAATCTTATGGTGATGGAAGGATTATATTCTGATGTTATTCTCGGTCATTATGTATATGTTAACTGAACATAAATCATTAGAAATGCAATTTGGTGGGTTTAAAACCCTTACTTCAATTATGTACTCTTATAGAAGCCAAAATAAAACCTGTTAGCTTATTCAGTAATTTACTACCTTTCGACAAACTTAACGAAAACCTTAATATAAGCTTTTGAATAGTCAAGTTTTTTTATTTTACCGCTACGCACGTAATAGTGTTTCTTTCGTGGCTGATATCTACTCACCTTGCAGTGTATAATACTCATATCCACTTCTAGCTCTTCCGCTTACAGTAATTGGGAAGTCACTCTAGTTATATTAGGTTTTGAGCCCCACCACAAGAAAAAAAGAAATATGCAGTGGAGTTCTCTACAAACTAGAAATCGGGAAAATTGTTGATAAAGAATACATTCACGTTTACAACTAAGGAATGCAACAAGATGTTGAAAACATAATTGAAGTTCAGAATCACCTTTATGCAAAGAACGCATACAGTATTACATATTATCATACATTAAAGTGTGACTTAGGCGAACATTTACATCCGGTTCCACAGGTCATCATTACATAGTTCAGCCTAAACTTCAGTTGTCTAATCTTGACACGATTAAAAACAAAGCTTTTGCATTAATTACTATACGCATCTAATATCTTTCGGATGCTGAAGTAGTTATGGAGGGAACAGATGTATGTACATTTATCACACCATTTGGTAGGTATGAATTTTGTGAGGGAAGTTACCTCTGAACTTTTCACTTTAACAGAGTAATTATAGAGGTGTCTAATGAAAATAAATAGATAAACAAATTATATTTCTAATCCAGATAAAATAATATAGAAACACGTTTAATACAATAATATAGTTAAGTTATATGGATACGTCGTATTAACGACGACAGGCAAGTTGACAAAACACACTCTTTTCAAATATTTAAAACATACTTCGTCTGCCATACCAGCCAGTCTAGTCATCGATTGCAAAAGATTAAAAACTTGTATTTTATACTGCCTAGTGGGCTTGCCCAAATACCGTAGGCAACACTAGAATATGCTGTCAACCAATCACGTAACTGTCCCGCCCACCGGAGTCAAAAGAAGAGAAGGAAAACTGTCCCCACCATTTTGCATTTTGTTTACAATTGATTATTTTATATAGTTTTGGAAATATATGTGGTTATTGTGACTTGGTGTTGGTAGTTATTGTGGATTTGTGACTGAAATGCTAAAATTAATTGAATATCCAATGAGAACAATGGAAAACAAAAGTCCCAAGCGAGAAATATTTGGGTAAAGACAAGGATATATAGTGTTTACGGGCCACTTTGTGAATATTTATTAATTTGTTTTTAGTATTTTAATGCAGACACGCATTATTTTGAAGTGACAAAATCATTTTCAGATTTCAATGTTTCATTAGTAAATCAACAATCCAGGATACATTTTTTTAGAACTATAGTGGTAAGTGATACCTTAATATGCCTGATCGATGGAACACGACTTGTTTTGATAAATAGATATTTTATATAATACAATATAATTTGACATGGCACGTTGACGATGGAAAGGGACCAGCGTGTGATGTCATTAAGTGCGGCATATCTCGAGAAGCGGCTTACACTTTTTTATCATGACAGTCCGTGATGTCCTAGCTTGTCGACTTCCCTGACACAGGGATATTTATGAGGAGCGCAGATTGGATTCCCAAGTCGTGAGCATGTCGCGAATCGGAGCGTGTCAGAGTGTAACTAAATAAATTGTAAGTATGTTAGTAAATAATGTATTCTAAATTTGAGAAGATATATTTTTCATATTAAATTCGGCGATCAGGTGAGTACTGTGCCAGTGTCACGAACGTACCTCGATATACGATTGTTTTGAGATATGCGCCGCTGTATGAGTGATATGTTGCTTTGAGATATGAGGAATCGCACACAGCACCTAACCTCTAACAATTTATTCTACCTCGGACTAGATCTCAGTCTGTGTGCTTGTTTCCCTCATTTTTGATAAGATGAAAGTGTGAACTCATAGAAAGACATGAGCAATGTGTGCAAGTAATTAACTTGATGAGGTTGTATACATGTAACATGTGCACATAGATGATATGTTCTGAGCTTAAATAGAAGGGCTATTTAAGCTCAGAACATATTGTCTATGTATATAATGCCTGCTACACAACTAAGCAGCAACAGCAAAAACAACTGAGGCTGTGTTTTGGGAGCTGGAATAGATTAATGGCATTTCAATTAATTTCAAAGGGGAAAATTGCTTTGAGATTTTGGAACAAATTAAACATGTTTAGGTACCTTGTCTTATTAATTCATATGTTGCTTTTTACAGCATTTAGTTGGAATTAATGTGGTAACAACTCCTTAAAGTGTTAGAAACAAAATTAATTTTTTTTCTAACATATATGATAAAATACCCGACATAAATAAACATTTCTTAATGTAATTATTACTCTCGTACTTTTCAGATTGAATATGCAAAGGAGGGCTGTGCTACATATTTCAATATTTGAAGACCCACAGGGGAGTCCAAAAGATTAACTATAGTGAAACATATGGAGATCAGAGAGGTTAATAAAGCTGATATTTCATTTCTACCACAGGATGTACACAATAATATGATTTTGATGCACCTTTAGATGCCCATGTAAATACTTAATTAGAGTTACTACCATTCAATAATTAAAGTAGGCTTATCAAACTATTGTTGTTATTAGAATAGTATTTCTAATTATGATAGAATCAGTGTTCCCCTTTTAAAAATTGCATTAACTCTGTTTCACACTGTATAATGTATTAAACCAAAACCATTACATTATTTTTTCTGAAACATTCCACCACATTCCATTTTTTTTTTTCATTACTGTTATAGAATTTCTAATACATCTTTCAGATTAATTATGAAATTAATTATGGGATTTGTTTTACAAGTATATATATATATATTTATAATTTTTTTATCCGGTATGTTTTAGCAAGTAGCATAGCCAAAACTGCATAAAACATTTTTTTTACAGTTGGTGCATTTTTGGATGTAAATGATCACCTAGGATTTTTGGAAAATAAAGATAATGAGGGGTGCATGGCTGTGTGGTAATCTGTGATATTTAAAATTAGATTTAAAAAATATCCTGTACATATTTTTAAATTTTCATGTAATATTTTTGACCTGAAGCTGGTACCGGTGTGTCAGCTTCATGTTAAAAAATAACATCTGTTTTAGAAGTTCAAAAGTTTATATTAATTAATTTATTATTTCAATACTTGTAACATTACTGATATTAATTTGATGTAAAAAATTGTAGTTTTACATTTGATTAAAATACAAGAACAATTTAATTGGCACATAATGATGAATAGTTTTATTATAAAAATTGCCTAATTTTATTACCCATTCAGTGATGAATATACAATTGCAATTTAGCAAATACTACAATAAAAAGTACATATGTATGTATTTTAGTAGGTATGTTTCCTAGTTGATCAAGTAGGCATTGAAAATGTATAGGAATTAATTAAAACATTTCCTGTACAAATATTCAAACTATTTGTACAGAAAATGTCATTATATATTTTTTATTATTAAGTATAATTAGGAGTTATATTTTGAGAGGTAGAATCAAAATATGACTATTCAAAAGTGCTTGTAATGAGTTCATTTGAATAAAGATTATTTCTATTAAAATATATATAATATGAAATGATCATTATACAATGACTGTCTTCAGATATAAGTTAAGCCATTCTGAAAATATTGGAACTACCCTTTAAAACATTGTTCTATACTGATGTCTTGAGTTCATAGATGGTTCTTTTATATATATAGATTACAGGATGGTGTGACGAGGCTAGGCAATAGTGGGTAACCTTTTATGCTAGACTTAGCAAAAATGCTACTAGCTTTGCAACACACCTGACCTAAAATAAATAAAAAAAATATATTTATTTAATGAAGTAGAAACATCATAGAGAACATAAACTAAATAATTCTATCAGCTGCTCTTTCAAAGAATCATATATCATTTTCTATTTATACAGAACTAGCTACCCGCCCCTGCTTCGCATGGGTGTTCATATTCTACATATAAATTTTCCACTTGAATCGGTCTATCTATTGGTAGAAATTGCATTAAAATCAATTTAAAAGAACTAAGCGAACAGACAGCGGAAGCAACATCATTTTATACTATGAAAAGATGGTGAATCACCACTATTCTCCATAATCATAATTGATATATGGGTACAATCTATAGGATCTATCACTCCAGGAAAAAGAATATAGTGTAGAATTTTGCCATAATATACTGTTTCTCTGCCACATTTTTAGAAATTTTTATGTCGTATATTAGTATGGAGTGTTTATAACAATTTTTTTACGAAGATAGAAATTAATTATATAATGCAATAATTATTGTCATTAGGTTATTACTATTTGATTTACATTGAATACAGTATGTATTGTTATTCACATTTTGTAGAAATGTAGTGTTGAGTATTTAGGGATTTCTTAAAAGCAGGTAGGAAATAGTTTTGTTTGGTCTACAAGCATTGCCGGTGCTTTGTGCTGAATGACTTCTATAAATAATACTATAAATGCTATTCCCATATATTTGATAGTACAGACAAAATATATTTATACTACAAAAATCATACAACAGTTTATTTTCATTACTATATTCAATAAAAACAATCTTAATGTTAACAAAAGTAGATTTCAAAATTAAAAACTAGTTTTTTAAGGTGTGACAAATAGGGTATAACAATTAGAATATTAAAAACAATATTCGTGAAACTTATCTCAAATAACAAAGGTCGTAACTAGTAACAACGAAAATTTTTTTGGTTCGGTTTTTCTCTTTTCAGGGGCAAAGGGACTCAGCAAGGAAAACTGTCTGTTTTCACGTCAGATACTTTTTTAAACACTTTTTCGCTCTAAAATAGTTTTATATAAATTTATAGTGCGTATAAGGTTTCGGCTCCTACACATCTTAATATTTGAAGTCGTATTGTTGATAAATATGACTGAAAATTGAGCTGTTACTGCATATTATATTGGAAACATGATATTTAAACTTGAATACTGTAGAATTACGTGAATAATAAAAAAATATAATAATAGAGCTAAATAATAGAAAATATTTAAATAAATATATTTCTGACTGTTATGCCCTTTTTGTTACATTAGTACAGATCAGAAATATTAAACATTTTAATCTGATCGTTTACTAAGAAGGAAATATATAAAAAGAACATAAATTATACGTTGCATATTTTAAATACTAATTACATATAATATTTCAAAGACACCTATGCTACCAATTTTAATATTTATAATTCGCGGATCTGAGATACCCACCAACTACAAAAAGAAGTTTATTTGCTTAATAAACATATCTGCGATATAAACGTAAACAAATGAATAATAATGTATATAAATTAATTAATGAGGTAACCAAATAGTTGTATGATTTAAAACACAAATAATTAGATTAAATTCCGTTAATACGTCTACATCTTTGTAAATAGTCAAGCAGCTTGCCACTTTTAAAACGAGACAACGAAGTTCGCGTCTCTATTTTAGGACGAAACTCTGAGGAGACTGGAGTCGAAGAATTTTGAAAAATACCTCTTGTATTTGACACAATTGTAGTTGCTCTCTCTCTCTGTGCCTTAACTGCCCGAGAAGTTAACTAACATATCACTTTTAGATGGTATATTTCCGTATACATATATACCCCCTTATAATCCTTATAATCATAGAAAAATAATTATCCCTATGTGTTCTCCTCTCACGAGTATTATATACGAAGGGCTGGATATTTTCCGCTTTGATTTTGACTTGCTAATTCTGTTTGGTCGACGTCTTATGACGATGGTTTGAAATGAGTGAAAAATTGTGATATTTAAACTAGTATTATTTAAAATAATTAACGGAATCAATCAATAAAAGGAAAAACATAGCCACAAGAAAAAATCTAAGAGTTTATTTTACATAAGATTAAGCCACATAAAAGGAGAATACAGAGGAATACAACAACCGGCGTTTCCTCTTAAGATTTCTTCATTAGGCGAGCCGAGACATTCACTCGGTATATATTATTATGATGGCGATATTCAGTGGATATACAGCAGTAAATACATTTATTCCATATTTCGTCACAATTGTATGTATAACGTAACTGTTAAATGTTTAATATTTTAATAAAGATGAGAACTATGTAAGGTTTTCTCTAAATTCTCATAAGGTGGGAAATAAAGCGTTCAGTACGCCCAAAACTGCGGTGATTACATAATACTAAACAAGACGCAGTTAACTGATTATCTCCATCATTATGACTGTGATATACATCTTACATGTCGTTGATGTTACGATAGAATTACGCATATAAGACGATCCTCTGACAATTTTAAAACAATATTAAGACACCATATTTCGTAATATAATAAGATAACAATAATAATATAAATGTATATCACTGTTGGCAAATCAGAAATTTTTGTTAATTCTCCATTAAGTATTACTGTAATATTTATATATATCTACTGTCTAAGAATAAATGTTGAGATATTCATGGAAAACTTCGTAAAACTACAAGTACTGTAGAAAAAACCGCGCAAAAATAAATATACTCTATACTTATACAATGCTGGAAGAATTGGTAGTTCGAATAGGCTATTAATAAATTAAAATAGTATTAATAATCCTTCAAAACATTCGATAATAAAAAAATAGAGGCATCTTCTTGATAATTCAAAATAATAATTATTCTTATAAAGCATAGTATAATGAATATTATGGAGATTAGAGAACCTGACTGCGACTGTCCATATAAAGAATACTACTCCTAATTAAAATAATATTTGGTAACGAAAATTCATTCTAGTTATTTCACTCATAATGGTAACCTTTAAACTAATAAAATTATTTCTTCACATTACATTATCCATTATTTATAGCTTGCAATAATGATACAATATTGTTTAATTATGAGCATAACGCATGAGTCAATATCCAACCAACTGTGTAATTATATAATAAACGACAATCAATTAATAGTTCGGAGGTCATAAAAAATACAATTCAATTCAAAATTGCCTGACCATGGGTTGATTAAGACAGCTGGTTTATAATTCAGAAGCAAGATTTAATCTGGACAAACATAAGAACTGTGAGTCTTATGAAAAGATCCAACTTATAGTTTCTTAATTACATGACCATATGATATGAGAGTGAACAAGTCAAAATAATTACATTACTGTGGTGCGTAAAGGTTGGCAATATCATCAACCTCATTTGGTGGAAGCCATTTAAATTAAAAGAAGAGGAAGCCGGTGGCATATCTCACGTGATAGTCACAATTATACTAGAATAGACACTAAAATCTTGCCTAAACTAGGCTAGACTGAATAGAAAAGTAAGTAAAAAAAGTAATTATTTTATAATAATATTACTAAAATAGTATTTTCTACTTTTACTGTGTTAATAACTGTCATATTTGCCGCAGTTTATTTATTGATTTACGATTATTTATACAAAAATATAACCTAACAACAATAAAATTATTCAATTGTATATTTCACTACCTGTTGAAAAGTAACATGTATTCAACACACATCATAATATTTAAGACACTGTAATAAATTAAAGTACTATATATAAAGTAAATTAAAATACTAATCTAATAAAGTAACCATACGTTACTTTAATTGATTAGTCTTATGTATCGGTTGTAAAATAAATAAAAAAATAAAAGTTACTTCTAACATATTGCGGCTACTTAAACGATGTTACTACTCAAAACTGGCTGGCCATCAGCGACATAGTCCTTACATCATTCGGATATTAATATATAAGGAGTATTAACCTGGATAAAAAATAGCCTGTCTTTCTACACTTCATGTACTATATATATATCACTTACTTTGACAAAGTCTATCAAACAATAGTTCAATTGACAATAATAAACTGATGATGATTTTAATTCAACACAATGAATTAATAATTAACACTTCCTTACTGCGCTGTAATGAATACCACATATAATATTCAAACACATATAGCTTGTTTTATACAAAATGTGGACAATGTCGAGAAATTACATATGAAGCGATTATGTCACAATATAAAAGAAACCGTGATATAGAAATAGTGTATCATAGAAGGTAATTGGTCAAATCACCTTTCGGCGCGGCGCCCGACCACTCTGTACAGTTTGTATAGTGGTTGCAGTAGTCGAGCGGATTGTAAGTATAATAATATAATATTAATATTTTATTTATCTATTCTAATAAACATTCATAGTAATTAATACATCTAGTATATTTGAAAATACGCTAAAATACACAATATTGTTATGACAAACAATTAGATATATCGTAAAACCCGTTGTATCGCCGAAGCAATCGACTATCGGTCGAATCAAGTAAATCGCGTGTTAACGCCCTAAAAGTTTACAAGACATCGCAAGATTAAAAATACAGGAATCTACATTTATTTAATATTAATGATTACTCATAAACAGGAAATATTAATTACAATAGTTTGTCTATCTGCTTATATTTGTTATAATTCGGCTTTAATATATGAGAATTATACAGAAATACATCTTAAGTTCTATAAATCTAATTTCATGTCTTTTAACACTAGAAACAATATTTATTTTAGTATACTGTACTATTATTAAAAAGCTTCGCCTTTTCATGTTTTTTTGAGGTTAGCAGTGTTCAAACAAGTTAATTCCAGTAAAATAATATTTAATTACGAAACAGCTTATAATAATATCACCAACACTATCTTGGGCTCAATCAACAAACTGAATTAAAAAAATAAAACTTTTTATTCAGTCATTGAAAGCACTAGTAACAATATAAAATATTTACAAAATATATAATAAATACGATTTTGTAATGATACATGGGTATATTTATGTATAAATGTCACTACAAAATCGTAGAATTGATGGCCTTATGGAGTAGTCAATCATTTACATAAAGTAAATTATAAGTTACTAAATCATGTCTTGGAGTTCATCATGTTTCGTCCCAAACTTTACAATTCATGGACCACTTTATTTTAAAGAACAGTTTGAACAGGTACTACTACAACAGTATAATAAATACATTACTGTGCATTACTTCGAATGGCTTTTTTTATGTTCCTCCATAAATAGTTTATGTGATTGTTTACAGTAAAGCAAACTATTCTTAATTGTCAGTTTCCACACATGATGTATAATAAAATATTTTGTATGTGACAAACATGATAGTAAAAACTATAAATAAAAAAATAACAAAAGGAATAATATATATCCTTTCGCATTTGGCTAAGATATCACGTAACGAGACACGTTAGTGGGCTGGAAATATAGGACTATATATATTATTGAACGCATAGATGCGGATTAATTTTATAGTTTTGTTACTATAACAAAAATATACACATAATAACAAATTGAACATATTTCCCTATATTTATTGTATATAATGTATTTAAATTACATAACTTGTATGAAATATTATATATATGTGCCGAAAAATATAGCATCAAATATAAGTTTAATAAAGAATAACAAGATTGAAAAACCATGAACCTAACCTAAACAACATCCTATCTAGCGTGATTTACCAAATTATCACTATCAACAAAAAGTATTTAATGATTTACGAACCATACCTAAAAATTATATGATGTTTAACCCTTAATTCGAAACAACATCACATAGAACAGCCCAATAGTACATTGCACATTAATTAAGCCTTTACATTTATTATATATTCGATGCATATGTATATTTAACATTTTTTCGTATAGAGCATAAGTAAGACTGTGTTATGTTTACACTACGTTTAATTCCTAGCTATCGTAATAGGTGACTGCTGAAAAATTAACTACAAAACAGGAAAATAATCAACAAATTGATAATCGACGCCACTCTGCCATGAATAAGATAGCCTTGCACAATCGAGTAATTATCCAGTGGATAAAAAGGCACAGTGGATCTTACGGTAACGATGACACGGATGAACTGGCGAAAAGAGGATCTAGAAAGGCGGTGGCAGGCCCTCATTACACTTCTCGCTACTTCGATTCAAGAGAGATCCACTAAGATACGCAACTAAAGATGAACACACAAACCACTGACTATAAACAATAAAAAATGGTAATTCCAGTAAATCAACAACTAACAAAACGACTACTAAACCTACTTACGAAATCCCTCAAAAAAACCATAGAGACAATAATGGGCCGGTTCCTTAAGCAGACACTTGTATACAAGACACCAGGGGACTTCTGCGCTTCTGAACTCTGCTGATTGCTTTAACAGCTTCCGCTCTTCATGCTCATCAGCCCAGATGAGAGGCTATATTACATTAGGTGACTATTGAAACAAATAATAATACACCAGCAGGAATCTTCTGTGACATTGCAAATACAAATTCCAGATCGGAACTTATAATCGTCCTAACTGTACATTAATTTACCTAACACCAATTATTAGACCTTTCAAAATGGTTTGTAGTAAAGTAGACACATTAAACAATATATTATAGTTCTATTGGACTGATTAGTCTGTACCTATGTGCAATCATTGTATTTACTATTTCGTAGTAAACTCCATCGAAAAACGCTATATCAAACAGTCGAAGCAGTGTGCTAATAGTAAGTAAATATCACACCAATTATAATCTTATTATTATTAAGAATATCACACCAAGTATAATGTTATTATTACACATCAAGTACATTAAAATTTTTATAAGTACCAAGTACCACTTGAGAGATAATTAGACTAATCGAGTACAATATTTTTAAACATCATGAATACAGAGAGATTTTAATATGCATCTCTTAATCATAGTAGTAGTCACATATACTAAACATTCAAGTCATATTCCGGGAAGTAATTGTAAGTTCATAATCCATTTTCATAAAATATCATCAGCTGTTGTTCATATTCATATATATCATCAATCATAATTCATGAACTTATTTATTGTAAATCCTGTTTTAAACCGTCTATTGCAGCATAGTAACGGTGAATACACACAAATGTATGAACTGTTGTGCCTCGCCCATTGTAATCCATGTAGAAGTTTAACATCTCCTCAGTACTGTAGACCTGATTTCAGGGACTGGATCACTTTCTAATGGGGCGATGGCCCATATAGCTGTAAAATTAAACACAACATAAATTAAAACAAATTGCTTAACTTGCACAATACATAATTGAAAGTAATGTAATAAATAATACTGCAACAAGTATATTAAATATGTCTTACAATAATTCAAACGGGAATTTAAAAAAAATATTTAATATCATAATACTTTATGATATTAAATATTTTTGCGTTGCCCGCGAGTATGTCAGCGTATTTATTTTTATAAATATATTGCAAATATTAATGACATTTTTGAAGCCTTACTAGCCCACTGGCTTTGTTATGAATACCTAACAAGGCGCAATATGGACACTGGCTGCGTTCTAAATGGCGTGTTTCTCAGCCTCGTAACTTTTAACTTTCCAAATTACTTAGAGTATCAATTTCAAGTAAGTGAGGTCGCTTATGTCCAGTGCAGGACAACGAATCTTTTAAATGATGGTGATGATGATATAATATACTAACCAGAATGTTATTGATGCTGGCTCTCAACTATCAGCATAATAGACTGGTGCTGCTGCGCATCTGTATGAATGGTGGGCACAGAGCGCAAGCATTCAATTTGGTGCGATGCCCAATCTTTCTTCTGACAATATGTAGAGCAGTACGGAGTACGACGGCACAGAGAACACTCTGCAGAAGCTTCTCGGTTGCAATTTGCGCACTGTTACAATACAAATACAATACAGAATATATTCATGACATCAGGGAAGTCAAAGGTATATTTAATTTTGGTATATTTGAATACAACGTTTTAAGGCGCAAGCCTAACGGCCGTCTCTCGGATTAATTTGGTTTGATCTTGATGTCTCGGGCACCATACACTCAGTCAAAAATGTAAATTTCCATAAAAGTTTTTTGGTGATTGGCAAATATAATGACCAAGTATATATTATGCGTATAAATGTATTATAGATTATTCATAAAACAATTATAAATGTGTTATCATTTATAATTGTTTTCCACCAGAAAATCACATCAAACACATCGTGGCGAAGGAAGACCTGAACAAGGCGACTGATTATGCCATAGAAGTCGCTAAGTTCCAGTCTAATAATATTAAGGTCAGCATTGACATAAAAGAATAATAATTATTTTCGATATGAGGTGCGTGACGATCATCATCAATTGCTGCAATAGACAGCAGGTATTACTTTATTCATAAAAATTGACTTGCCTCTCGTCCCCCTCCTACTTACTTACTTCGCTCTGGGGCCAGAAGATAATCTGTGAGAAGCGAGGTAGGCCCATGAATTAGAAATTAGGGTTTGAAGCAAGATAAAATTATATATAAATACCTTTTTGGATTCAGATTCTTCCACATTGTGCAATGATACTTGCTCAGCTTCGACCTGAGCATCGACGCTAGCCGCCAATAGAGCGGACGCTCGCTCCTGCTCCATGCGCTCCACCTGGCGAGCGCTCACAACTCTGACGTCATCAACGCACTGCTTCAGTTCGCCAGCCAATCGTACCAGCCCCTGACTTATATCTTCCAATCGCTTTAACACTCCACCCATGTCCGGCAAACCTAGTAAACAACATTGTAGATAAATATTACTGTACGACTAGCTGACAACACATAAGGGAGAGCCATCGAGTACCAAAAGTTAATTGAACTTACTATAACAAGCCATACCCTATGCGTTAGCATTTCTGAGCACCAAGTTATGCTTACTAGATAAATATTTCATTGTTATATCTTACTCCGATAACAGACGTGTAAATGCAACACAACGGGTTTGCTCCAGAAATAGTCACTTATTTATTGTCTGGCGACAGAGGTATAGATAAAACTCGATAACGACATAGTGCAAGGTCAAAGAATTCTGAATAACAGATTCTTTTATTGGAATGGCTAGCAAGCTATCAGCGAGTAGCAACCATGGCGTATCATAAACATACATACATGGAATCATGCATTGCCATTCCTGAGGACTAAGGTATCATGGCTCCATACCCTATAATTTCACTATCATATGATTTGTCACACGCTCTTGAAACACTACTTTAGAGCAATCCGTTTGATGTACGGCAGACGCAGGCTTTGCCAAGTCTACTTAGGTGAAAACTGTATTTTTATAACATTTGTATTAAGTATTTTGCTAAAATCACAGTCACTACTGACTTATAAAATTAGAGGTATTTTTTAATTTTAATTTATTTGCTTACACTGGCACACTAACAGTAACTTTAAGGGAAACCATCAAGGATGCTTACACTGGCACACTAACAGTAACTTTAAGGGAAACCATCAAGGGTATATGAGAGAAATCAGACCATCTAATTTGTATCTCCAGTTTTGTTTCCCAACTTACTAAACACATGATTTCTCAATGTAGCATAACCAATTGTCATGCATTTTGACCAATTTTCTGTGTAAGATATTTCAAACGTGGATTTGGGCAACAAAGAGCAGATAAAAAGAAACATAATTAAACCAAATAAATATAATTCGTAAAAATCACGGGATCTTACGACGCTTAATGACCTTGTCAAATTTAAGACAGTATAAAACCAAATAAAATTAGATAAAAGAAACAACCCAATAAGTTGTTCGCAATTGCTTGTATGAGTAAAACAAAACTATATTAAGTAGTTATAACTTAGTACATTAATATACAAAGAAAGTGAAGGAAACAAAAGTTAAGAGATTTTGTGTACGCGTTTGTGTGTACGTGTGTTCCAGATAATATTTAAGGAGCTTTTTATACAGTTTGTCAAAAGATATAAGAGTAGATTGGCGGAAATACTAAGATGATTCCTGACGAAATCAAACCGTCTAGTGGTAATATATCTCTTTCAAGAATAGCGTACTATCTTCTAAGAAAATATTACACATAATGTGGTGTTTGCAAAGATTATTTATATGCATACAGTATTAATAATTATTAAATTAAATAAGTTAGTTACATAATAATTACAGTTACTAACAGCCGTTTATAGCATACGATGTAAATGAATATCATAGCTAGCTATAGTACATAAAGTGCAACGCAGACAAGCGATACACCAGGCAATGCAATTCGGTCGATACAGCCACCCCTTGCCGGGCTCTCCACCGCAGCCCTGCGCGCTGCAGCTCTATCGCTCTATTATATAGCCGAGTATGTACTATGATATAGCACCCAAATAGGTTAAGCCGTTGCTTAAATTAGCTCGCACAGTCCCACAGAAAAAATCTAATAACCATTACTTACATTTCTGTTACTTCGATAAAGTCCCCCGCCCCCCACCTATCATATTTTTCTCTTAATATATCGTTCCAGTGCCTACAGCGATCAATAAACTTTTATATATAGAATATATACGTATAGAATAGATGTTTTCTTGATCCATTCGCAAAAATATTGTTGTTAGTCATACGGCCAATATAGGATTTTTAATACGTATTAAGTTTTCACTATTTATGTATAGTTTACACCTGTTCGAGATAAATTAATAGTAATACAAGGAAATGTAGATAATTTGAATAATAGTAAAATAGAAGTCATAAGTTAAAGCAATAGAAGCAAAAGAAGTTATATGAAAATCACTAACATATGCAATAAGTATTTACGTCCATTTCTATCCAGGAAAATATTTTAGTGTTTAATCATGTAGAGATATATAAGTAGGTACATATGTAGCTAAATATTATCATCTACAAAATTAATTATTATTCAGAATGAATATGGATACAGAATCATAACCCCTTTCAGACAGATGAGTTTTATTAAACCGACAGCAATAACCTAAATTATCATAATCTAACAGACTTTAACACTATCACAATAATTAATTATTCATACGGAGCAAGGTGCTTGTTATAACTAGTAAATAACAAACGATCGATCGCATTGCTTTAATAAATGCGTCATTACTTATACTCATCAAACTTTAGCATACTAGCAAAATTTGTAACGCAGAATCAAAATTATCATTTCGAAGATGAAAACGTTTACGTAACAAAGGTGGAACTTAGTTTTCTGAAAATTGTACTCAAATATTTTATGAAATGCGCATTTTTGTTCGTAAGGAGGCCCGTCAGTTCGGTTACTAGTACGATCGTACTAAAAATCATATTAAAAACTTTGATATTTTATCAAGCATGCTCAAAGTGCCATATCACTATATTTAATTATGTACCGCCAATAAATGATGATGTTACGTCGCATTTCTACATAGTATCATAATAAAAATTTCGAAATGCACCACAATAACTATGCTAGTGATCAATTGATAATCAAATTTCACATTATATAGCAAAATAATAATTCAACTAAGTTATGCAATGTAATATTTAAATAAACATCAATACGCTGAACATGATATGTGAAGAGTAGCAAAATTATCTTAGGTGACACAATATTAATATTACGTACCTACACTACATCATTCTTATCAAAAATAGTCAATATAAACCTTGCAATTCTGTAATTTTTAATTATGTGCCCGAAATAATACTGCGTTTCTAAGTAATAGTTTCATTATTACAGTCATCACTCATAATCATATATAATAATAGTAAACGTTTCCTATAATAGTAAGAGTAATCTATATTTGAAAAAATACCATAATTGTATCTATGTTTTATGTTAGAGTAACAATAGGAAACAAGCTGATGCCCAACAGATCGAAAATGGCAACCGTATGCTAAAACCCTTAAACACATCTTTTTAAATTATACATTATATCCTAAGACAACGCACAGACCAATAATCAAATTAATAACAAAGAACACTATACCGGAATCATAGCATACATAATTACAAACATATAAAACAGTTTATTTGAAATACAATCTAATTATAGATGGATTTTATTGATTAATTGCTTTGGGAAACAGGAATTTCGTATAATGAAAAGCAGTTCTGACAACCGAAACTCCCGCAAAACGGTAATGAATAGGCCAGTGCAATCCCTGACAAAAGAGACATAACTCTACCCTTGTCAACTGGCAAACTACCAAATCCTATAGTGATATGTGTGGGAAGCAACTATGCGGTTTACAGGATTGCTCATAGCATATAGAGCATCATTTCGCGGTATCGTATCATATCTGCTACCTCATTAGATGACCATTAGTCACAAAACAAAACGAAAAATATTGACACAAATAAGTTTCTTTTAGTTTCTATGTTGATTATCGCATGCCTCTTACTTATTATTGTATAATTATTAAAATAAACTTTTATTCATAAGAGCAACACAAGTCTCTTGCTCATTCTTCTTGTCATAAATCTGCACTCCGAATGAGTGGTAGAATAAAAAAATATGATTATTCAAAAATGCTTGTATTACATTTGAATAAAGATTAGTCCATTTCAATTTACATTTTGTAACTGCCTAATAGTTGTCATTTTCTAGAACTAAAGTGAGCCCTGTAACGCTTAATCAGCATGTGCTTAATTTGATTGAAATATTATATTCTATAAAAAAATATATAAAATACGAAGTTTAATACCTGTGTAACATATAGTAATCAGGAGTAAGTTTATTATCAATAGTTTTTTATCTTGATGTAACACGAATAATTTTGTAGTAAGTTAGTTTCAGTTACTACTTACTGTCAAGTACGCCAATAGCCATTATTTTCTACGCCTAACGCATTTTATTCGCCATTAGTTGCATATAATGCTACTTATAATAAAAAACTAACAGTATCATTCATAACAATAACGCAAGCCAGATAAGAATTTAATTTGATATCGCGACCATATATACTTTGCAAGTTTAAACTTTGTCTCAAATAAGGCTCAGTACAGCTAAATATTTATAGGAAGGTATATTAGTTGCATGTAAACCAACTAATAATAAAAAAATAACAATATAATTCAGAACAATAACGCAAGCCAAATAAGAATTTAATTTGACATCGCGACTACATTTCTTTTGCACGTTTAAACTTTATCTCAAACAAGGCTCAGTTGAGCTGAAAATTTTGATTGGAAGGTACATAACTTATAGCGAAAAAATTTAACAGTACCATTCATAATAATAACGCAAGTCAGATAAGGGTATAGTTTGATATCACGATAACATGTACTTTGCAAGTTTAAACTTTGACTCCAATAAGGTATAGGTAAATAATTTTATAGGAAGGTATATTAGTTGCATGTAATGCAAGTTACAATAAAAAAATTAACAGTATCAGTCATAACAATAACGCAAGCCAGATAAGGGTTTAATTTGATATCGCGACCACATGTACTTTGCAAGTTTAAACTTTGTCTCAAATAAGGCTCAGTACAGCTGTAAATTTTGATAGGTAGGTACATTAGTTGCATATAATACAATATATAATAAAAAAAAATAACAGTATCATTCATAACAATAACGCAAGCTACGTAAGGGTTACATTTGATATCACGACTACATGAACTTTGCAAGTTTTAACTTTGTCTCAAATAAGGTATAGGTAAATAATTTTATAGGAAGGTATATTAGTTACATGTAAAGCAACTTACAATAAAAAAAATTTACAGTATCAGTCATAACAATAACGCAAGCCAGATAAAGGTTTAATTTGATATCGCGACTACACGGATTTTCAAGTTTAAACTTTGTCTTAAATAAGGCTCAGTACAGCTGCAAATTTTGATAGGTAGGTACATTAGTTGCATATAATACAATATATAATAAAAAAAAAATATCAGTATCATTCATAACAATAACGCAAGCTAAGTAAGGGTTTCATTTGATATCACGACTACATGAACTTTGCAAGTTTAAACTTTGTCTCAAATAAGACTCAGTACAGGTAAATATTGATATAGGAAGTATATTAGTTGCATATAATCAAACTTAGAATAAAAAATTTACAGTATCATTCATAACAATAACGCAAGCCAGATAAGGGTTTAATTTGATATCGCGACTACATGTACTTTGCAAGTTTAAATTTTATCTTAAATAAAGCTCAGTACAGTTTAAAATTCTGATAGGAAGGTATATTAGTTGCATATACTGCAAGTTATAGTAAAAGAAAATTAACAGTATTATTGATAACAATAACGCAAGCCACAAAGTGTTTAATTTGATATCGCGACTACGTGTACTTTGCAATTTTAAACTTTGTCTCAAATGAGGCTCTGTATAGTTAAATATTTATAGGAAGGTATATTAGTTGCATGTAATCCAACTAATAATAAAAAAATAACAGTATAATTCAGAACAATAACGAAAGCCAAAGAGGAATTTAATTTGATATCGCGACTACATTTCCTTTGCAAGTTTAAACTTTATTTAAAATAAGGCAGGTGAAAATTTTGATAGGAAGGTATTCATTCATTCATAATTTAAGAGCTGTACTCTTGTCGGTGGAGTTCCCGACAAAAGCAGAGCTCGATTCTATAAGTCCTTTTAGTTGTTGATACGACATGACTCCAACTTTTTCTTTAACCTGCTTGATATAGCTTTGGCTTTCCCCTTCCTTTTTTTCAACTATTTTTCCTTCGATATTGTTAAAAATTAGTTCGTCGTTTCATATCAAGTGCCCCAACCTTTTTTGGGGTTAAGCTGTAGGCTACCAACGGGGTCACAGGTGGCGATGAACGGCCATCAGATGTGATGGTTAGCTGCGAATAGATTGAATAAGCCCGACCAAACAGCGGCAGAGGTTGTAGGAGGTTCATGGGAGTGAACCTTTTTATAAAAACCCACAGAAGTCTAACAACGACGTTGTGACATGGCGACAAAAGGCCGCCATCAAAAAAGTCTTCCCCCAGTGTCGGGCCGTGGCGTTATTTACTGGCAAGGGGCCGAAGAAATAGTTCTGGAAGTGGCATTGACCAGGTACCAGCGGGCAGGTCCCACTGGCCGCTGAACCACGGTGTGGAAGGCTAATGGGGGAAACCACCACACTAAATTCCCTACTAAATAGAGCATGGAATGGTTAAAAATAAAACTAAAGTTCTTAACAAGTTGTTCCACAAATTTCATTTGATGTACATAAGCAGCTATAATCTCATATATGAATAAATTATTTTTGAATTTGAATTTCACATATATCCCCATCCATGATAATGGGGACTAAGAACTTATGCCGTCATCTATAGATACACTCGTAAATAAAACCGGAGTGTCTGTTTGTAATATTGAAAGAACCGTTTTTTACTATAGGCATATGAATATAAATACGGTACATACACCAAAATAACATTTTTTACAATTTTTATCTGTCTGTCTGTCTATTTGTTCCAGCTAATCTTTGAAATGGCTGGACTGATTTGGACAGGACTTATTTTGGCAGGTAGCTGATGTAATAAGAAGTAACTTAGGGTACTTTTATTTCATTAAAATTATTTATATTAGAAAAATAAAGTTAAATTCTATGCGGACGCAGTCGCAGGCCCATCTAGTCTAGTATACAATAAATTTACTGCCTCATCTCCAGTTGTTAGGTAACTATGTGTTTTAGTTGAAACCAAGGTGAAATAGGTTCACTCAGATGACTTTGTACAAAGTATTCCTCAAACAAATAATAGTATATATTTGCTGATAGATTGATAACATACAAATAATAATATAAACATAATATAATATAACCTCATAATAGTGTACAATCAGTATTAAATACATACAGTGAATTTCAAATAATGTGAAATTTCTATGAATAAACTGTCCTATAAAATAACAGATATTAACATAATCTCCAAGACATAATCACCTAATACTGATATCAGAAATGATAATAATTTATATAGTAGTCACATTTTAATGTAGAGACTTTAAGAAAATTTATTGATCTAATAAATATATATGTATACTAGCTGACCTGGCAACTGCTATTCTACCATATAAATTAACATTGCTATTAAAAAATAGGATAATAGGTTGATGGTGAGGGGAAGGGTGAGAATTTAGGGTTGTATGTATTTTTAATGTCACATTGTAAAAAAAATACCAAAACTCAAAAATAAAATGTTAGGGGTGGACAACCCTTATAATTAAGCGGTATGAAAAATATATGCATAGATAATATATATATATCCAATTCTCAGACCTACTGAATATGCATATAAAATATCTTAAAAATCTAGTTAATCCTTTTCAATGGAGAATATGGTAAATAACATTGTGACATGAGAATTTTACAAATTAGATTAGAGATATATAAGATTTTAAATAAGTGTAGTAAATATATACTGGATATACATGTATTTATAGCCAGTTAATGAACACATAGTTAAACAATTATAAAAATATTTCTAACCTGCTAAATGGTCCGGGTGTGGTTCAGTATTCTCCAGGAGATGGTAGTCAGCATTATTCTCCAATCCTTCAGCAATAGACTGCCATGTCTCCTTTGTATGACTATTGTTACTAGTTTGATGGATGTTATCAACTTCATTCTCAGCTATAGTAGTATCGCGTTTTACTTTAGGCTTCTTTTCTTCCCCATCATGATTGGCCCGCCTCCTACGTTTATATGGTGTGAATAATCGAATAGGTCCCATAGCTGCATGTAAAAAACAAATAATGGTCCACATAATAAAGGGTTGTTTAGATAAAGTGAAAGGCTGTAATAAACTATTAAATCATGTTACCTATTTATGTATATAGACCATAATACTAGGTAAAGTATATAAAATCTCACCAGATTGATCATCGCAGCAAGCCCCGCAGGTACAGCTGGTAGCATGGGGAGTGAGTATGCCCTCATCGATGAGTGCCTGAATACTTCGACCACCAAACTTTATGGATCTCTTCCAATCCTTGCTCGATCCCCTTCCACATTTAGCTTCAAATTCACTAGGTGTGTACCAATTTCTACCATACTTAATGCATCTTCCTCGGCCACCCGAACCAAACCTCTGTTTGTGAAACTCTGCAGAGGTATTCTTGCATCGCACTGGCAGTACTGGCATGTTGGCAGTCTCCGCCCAAGACCTCGTCGTTGCGACCATCGTCGCAGGCGCAGATGCTGTCCCGGCTTCATCTTCATGATGAGTATTAGGTGATGGTGGATTTTGAATAACGATGTGGGTGGCTTTAATATCAGCTTCTGTAACAGGTCCCCCTGATATAAATCCATTATCTACACACAACATTGGCTTGAAGTGAGGGAGCTGGTCTGATGTTATGACGTTAAACGTAGTCCCCGTCAACAGCGTAGCAACGGGCAAGGACACGGGCACAGTGACCACACCATTTGAATCACTTGACAATCTGGTGGTTTTAATTGCACTCGCCAAGACAGCTCCACCACCAGACCGATCTGAATCGTGCTCGCTCGGGGCCGCCAGGGGATCGGGTTTGGTTACTTCGGTAATGTCCGGCATAACGACGTTGTCCGAACTCATACTCTCCGCCATCGCTTTCTTCCGCCCACCTCGAATTACACCCTTACGGTGCGACCGTATTTTGCACAATCACATGAACGTCTGCGATTTTAATTACAGCGACGCATTATACTGAACTTCGTTCCATCACTATCCGCCATAATTAATCGAAAAATGAAAATATTTCACTAGAGTACGCGACAGATAAGAGCGGCAAATTCGAATGTTGAGGTTTTTTTTATCAAATCATTGATCGTCGTATGACGTTCGGTTCTTGACTATTATACTGGGTAATCTATGACTTAAAAAAATCTATTTCAAGGATATTTCATTTTAGAAGAAGATTATATAAATAATTATAAAATATTAGGACAATTACATAAAAAATATAAATTTTTGGCTATAATAATTTTGTAGACCTAGCAAAGAAATGAAGAGATTGTACTGTATCTATGTTATATTAGCACAAAAATTGGCACCGAATTGGCACTTTATACTGCTGTGTTGTGGGTTTTACGTACATACTTTGTCTGTAGTCAAAATATTCATTGTATTATATCCCACTTTTCTTTAAATTTGATAATATTTGCACCGACAGGGCGACCCCTGTCGATAAGAAGACAATAATTTATTTAATGAAAAACAACATTGACACTCTTGGACTATTTTAATTTTTACACTACTATTTACATAAATTTAGCAACACTCGTGCATACAAAGGCTATTTAGAGAAAAAAAAACGGTAAAGGTTTTCTATTACAAAAAAAAACTTAAATTCGTTTAGATGCGTAGTTATATTTACAAAAATAGAGAACTACTATATTAAAATGATTTTGAAGAAAAAACTATACTTTATTACGAAAGTGAATATTGGCATTTTTTACTGTCGCAGGAACGCACCTTTTAGAAAGTCATTATTGATTTGTCTGAACACCGTATTATACGACTCAATAAAGTAGATGCTAATGTAGCCAGTCTCACCATATAAATGTATGTCTATTTGAATTAGTCATCGTATTCACGTAGCTTCACTTACGACATGTACGAAATTGCCAAACAAAATAGGAGGGAAATATCAAAAGAAACTATATTTTTTCATACATTAACGAGATATTAAAAATGCCTTCAATTATGAACTAGATAAGAAAATGTGAGATTTTCAGTGTATATATATTATTGTTAATCTTTCTGCTACTAAATTTTTCACATAATTATAATAAAATGGAAGAATTACGATCAAAACATAAGTCTATACAGACTGCTGCTCATCATATCGCGCTGGAATGTATACACCCCCAGGTTAGTTTATATTAGCCCATTTTGACAATTTAAATTCACTTCAACTTTTGCACCTATTAATTTAAATATTTTCCTTACAATTTGTTTGAGAGCAGCTACAGAGGTTTTTTAGTAGCGGTTCGTTATTTGTTGTGGTTTCCAATAATAAAAGACAAATAAAATCATTGTAAAATAATCCATTTATAGGCAATAATTCATTAAAAAATATTAAATCCAATATTCATTATTTAAAATTCTTATTATATTTATTCATGTAGTATAATGAAATCACTCATCCTAGTTCAATATAGTTTAATCTATAAATATAGAAAATAGAAATAGAAGTAATCTTTATTCAAATAAACTCAATACAAGCACTTTTGAATAGTCATATTTTGATTCTACCACTCATTCGGAATGTAGATTCATCACAAAAAGAATGAGCAAGAAACTTGTGTGTTGCTCTTTTTAATAGATATTTTTTTATATAAATAATTACAGTATAACAAGTAAGAGGCATGCGATAATTAACATAGAAATCGCTACACACTCTTATGCTTACGCATATGTAAAAAATATATAGATTTTTTTAACATTCTATAATGTAATTAATGTACACATTGAAGTATAATAAATACATTTTACGGTATATATACTATTTTTTTATTAAAAAAAATAATATATACTAACATCAGTACTTATAATATTATAAGTACTGATACTGATAGAAATAATATATGGTATATACCATATATTATTTCTATCACTTGAATTATATATCACAGACAATAAGTAAATAAAAATTAATGTATTAATATTACAAACATATTTAGTCCGTGTTTATTTTATATTGTCATTATTTAGAGTAAAACCAGTGCCAAGATCACTAGTTGGTGTGCTGTAAAAAATACAAGAATGGAAAATGTTCTTAGCAATGATTGCTCTAAATTTTGAATGTCTGTGCTCAATTCAGGCATTTAAAACATCTAATTTTATAACTCAAAACAAACTATATTATGTCTAATTTTTATAATTTGTATTTCAGTAGCCATGAAGAACTGCTGGACTATAATCTACACATAAGAGATGGACTTCAAAGTATCAAATGTTAATTTACTGTTGTGTGTTTATTACATTGAGGTGTTAGAACAACAAAAATGTGTAGGTAAAACATTATTTATAAAATGACAGATCAGGCACTTTTCCTAGTTTCAGGGTTAGGTTTTCTTAAATAATTTTTTTCCCTGATTAATTTTCGGAAATAATTAAAAAAAAATATATTTTATAATTAGTGTTCTACCTATCATTTTATGTTGGTACGAGGGTGTAATATAAGCAATCACAGCTATTATGTTTTGCTAGATTATGATATACATATTTATATTACAATGCCTCATTTGTAATTAACAATATAAGTACAATTCCTCTCATTGTTTGCAGAAAATTATATTAGTATAGCATCCCTCTAGAAACAGTTTAATATTTGCAAACAATATGTTTACATTAAGTATATAAATACACATATATATGCCTTTATATACACAACAGATAAGCTTTAGAACACCTTATTAAATGTTAATAAATAACAAGCATACAAATAGAGAATTTATAGATAACAATAAATTCAGATTTTTATTTGCATTATAAATACTTAAGAAAATGACAGAGTCTATTTCCAACAAATATATTATATGTTCAGTGACCTACATATTAATACAAAATGTATAATATCTTTCAGTCAAAATTCTTAATTGATGAAAAAACCCTCATTAGATCTGAAAGTTTGAACAATTTCACTATTATAAACTATAGATATTATATTAAAAATTATATTTAAGTATAACTATTATTTGCCTAGCACCTGTAATCTATACATATAAATGAAAACAATATTTAAGTATATATATTGTTTGCCTAGCACCTAAAAGCTCTACCTCTATAACTAGGACAAGCTTTATTCATTTTGGGAGTAGATAGTGGTGTGTAATATATCCAGGTTTATTTATTAATAATGATAAGTAACAGTGTAGTAGATTGAGACAAGCAAAGCTTTGATCACCTGCGTGTAGCACCAGCACGTTGTTCACAGTATCATTTGTCCACCATGTCTGTGCTATTGGGAACAGTCAGCTCACGGCTCCCCATACCACGTGCACCCGTACCCCTCCCCAGTACGCCTGCAGCATGCGTTCCAGGCTCACAACAGCCCAAAGATGTTTCACCCGAAGGGGCTTAAACCACACTTTGTGAGTAATATTTAATTTTACTTGAAAGCATTACTTAAATAATTTTTCATTAAATTTTAATAGTGTATTGATTTAAAATACTACTTCGTCTTACTCCGCAACGATGATGATGTGGATGGTTATTCTATGACGTCTATAGTGGTTGTTCATGTCTAGACTACGGTTATCATTTTTATAAGGTGAGGCGTAACATTGTTTATCATTCCAAGTTGAGTATGTAATATATCATGTAGGGTTGATTTAACTGTTTTGTTTAAAATAGGATCCTCGAGGCACGCCAAACGAGAGCCCAATCCTGGGCAGGGCACTATGCCTCACGCCTCGAGGCAGTCCAGTACCCGGCCGGGTGTCCCATCTCAACGAGAAGTTTCAGGATTCACTAACGCTCACATCCGACACGGATGCTCTCGTTGCCAAAATCAGTGCTATGTTTCCGACTGTTAGTGAGACACATATCAAAATATTGTTGAAAAAGTAAGTTTTACTGAATTACATTATCGATTTTATTATCTTCACTATTAAAGCATATATGAAATGATGTTGTTTTTTTAGTTTAATATATGTTTTGTCATTTTATAATAGGGCATCAATGTTTGGAATTTCAAGAATTCCTCTTTTGACAAAAGGAATCTATAAATAATATATAAATATTCACAATATTAATAAAATCTGGACATCATGAGTAAGTTTTTTATATCAAAATGTTGACAGATACTACAATCGGGAAGCGGTAGTCATAAGCGCGCTACAAGTGGAGAAACACCCAATAACAACCCCGGGGCCCCTGACAATGTCACCTTCTGCTGTAAGACTACAGAAGAGCGCTGTCGGCGTGTACTCGGCGCTGCAACTCGCTAAAGGTGTCGCCGGTTCTATGCAGGGCTCCAGTCACTTCACACCGCTGAGCGGCACGCCGCATGGTAGTATAACCGCATTTCCACCGACCCTACATCATGTATTACTCCACCGACAGACACAGATATAGAGATTTTTTTTTATTGTTGAAAATAAAATGAAAGTGATAGTGATACACACTAGCGGGGGCCAGTGGAGGATTTTAAAATGTAAATGAAGTCAAGTCAGTTACCACGTTATAGTACATTCACTAGGAATTATGCACTATTATATCCATGAGGAAACATGTGAATGTTAATGTAACACAATTTATTTTAATTGCCTTAATTAAAAAATAATGCAACAATATTGGCCCATGTTAAATATATCTTACAGAGATACATATAAAATAATGATAACTAAATGTATCGATCGTAAAGATGAGGTATTTTATGCGGTCCCGACGCTCTCGACGGCAGTCTGCCACAGTTACCCCGTTACACAACCGCCTTCGGCTAGTGGTCCTCAGTTTTTGGCCCCACCACAAACACTTTGAAGTCACTGTAACTCGATACCAGCTGCGTTCCCTTCAATGTCAGGTTACGCTTAGTCCAGATGTAGACGACAATGTTCTTGATAGCGTAGTGTAGGTGGGTCAGGTACATTGTCGTTGTCGATGTTGCGGCACGCAACAAGAAGCTGGGCCAGTGAGTGCAATGCCATTATGGGTTCAGATGGGTCCTTTTTATCTTTTGTACATTACGAACAATCCCCTACCCTCAGCTATTTAGATATACTTATACAATCAATTTTAGCATATTCGGACACAACACTGTGACATGCTTTGCAAGCATGTGCACTCACTAGTCGCTATTGATTGTACCCATTAGGTTACTATAGCAGGTCCCCTTAGGAAACATAGAATGTTTATTTTAGACACCCTTGCTTCATTGCTAGCATATCGCATGTATGTATTATATTTAATATATTTTTTAATTGACTCTTTGCTGCACATTTAACATTATTTATCAGTTTTTTGGGATAGATTGCTTTCTTACGTACTTTAACTTCTTTTATAAATGTACTAATACTTAATTTTAAACTTTCGTGTTTAATATACATTATTTAAATTATTAACCGGGTCTTAACACGAATAATTTTATGGCAAATAAAGAGTAACGTCGAGAGAGGTAAATACCTTTATTTGCCATAAAATTATTCGTGTTAAGACCCGGTTAATAATTTAAATAATGTACTAATACTATCTTTATCTTTCTTTACTATTGCAGGGACATTGTAAATATACACAATAGCACAATTAAATAAGTAAAAACTCTTCCTAATAATAATATGATTCGTATAATAAAATAATCTTTATCATCATTACATAGGATAAAACAAAGTCACTGTCGCTGTCTGTCCCTATCTATGCTTAAATCTTTAAAACTGCACAATGGATTTTGAAGAGGTTTTTTATAATAAATAGAGTGATTCAAAAGGTTTATATAAATGATACATGTACACCTGTGCCAAGCCGGGCCGAGTAGCTAATTACTCCTAAATACAAATATATACAGCAACTATTGTGGATTTTTATCAAATTTAGAAGGAATATTTAAAAAAATGGGCCAATAGTACACTGACCAAAATAGCTTTGTCTTATGAACCTATACATAGTTTATATATAACGTTTTTAAGAATATGTTGTAGAAATTATAAATTACGACTGTTAGAGATGCCTATGGACATAAACATGAGTCATCATCATCATCATCATCGCAGCCCGGAAGACGTCCACTGCTGGACGTATAAACATGAGTAATTACGATTAATTTACTTTGCGTTTTTCTGTTATTTATATATATCTATAAAGCACAGAATGTTAGTACGAATTCTGTCTCTGTACGTTGAAAATCACTGTAATGCTGCAATGTAGCATATCACGCAATACAAGCTATAGAATCATGTGTACAAAGACTGTTGAATAAACTTAAAACCTTAAACGATGAAGTTTAATGTTAGTTTCTAATATTTTAGGATCACCTTCACTTCTTCGGCCTGCGTCGGGCGCTTCCAGTTACTACGGCACTAATAGATCCACCGATGGTCAAGTTAAACATCAGTCACCTAAAATGAAACTTAAGTAAGTTCTATATATTATCGGTGATTTGTATTAGAGGTTATACCAGTTTGAGACATCAGCTTTTCACAGTAATTGATTGTAAAAGTTCATGCATCATCATTACATAGTATAAAATAAAGTCGCTGTCTGTCCCGATGTATGCTTAAATCTTTAAAACTACCTAACCGATTTTGTAGCGGATTTTTAATAGATAGAATGATTCAAGAGGAAGGTACACAGACATGTCCACTTGTACTCCCGTGCGAAGCCGAAGCGAGTAGCTAGTTGTAGGTATTATAAAAAAAAAATAGCCCGTGAGCCCGGAACGGATTGTAATCAATAATTTCCTCCCACTTGAAAACTTGAAGATGGTTATGATAGCTATTTTAACCATTTGAAGACCTCGGTGGTCTAGCGGTTTAGCACACGGCTTTACATTCGATGGTCGCGGGATCGATTGTAAGTACAGCACAAACATTTGTTTTCGTGAGTATGTTTGTTTGTATCGGTCTGTTTTATAATATGTATGTATTTACAAAAAAAATATCTATGTATTTGTATTAGTTATCTAGTACCCATAACATAAGCTTTAGCTAGCTTAACTTGGGTCTAGATAGCGCTGTGTGAATTGTCCTGTTATTATATTCTTATTATTGAGAAAGTTTTGGGCAAAGTCAATATTATTGACGAAATAAGCCTCTGGACTACCAATCAATCCAAATAATTAACAAGTAGAACAGGCTGTATATAGTGTGTACAGTAATTCAGATATTTCTCTAAAATGGCGGGCAGTGAAATTACAGGATACATGGCATGGGATCTTAGTTCCTCGGAATGCACTAGCGATATGACGGGCGTCTCATCATAAAGTGATGTCCAAGGTACCGTTCAAGTGTACAGGCGTTTGCCATTCTAATGACATTTGTAAAGTTATATTTAATATATAAAATATTAATATGTAACTATATAATTTAATATAATTCTGTTCTAGATACCTAAAGAGTATATTTCCTAAAGCAGAAGAAACATTGATCCTGGATGTGTTAGCGAATAAAGATAACAACGTCCAGAAAGCGAGCGAGGAGCTGATTTCGATGGGATTCCCCAAGAAAGAGACGATCATAATCAAGGAAAAGAAAGAAAAAGAAACTCCTCAGCCTCCAAAGAAGGTAGTCACTATAATGAAGACTATCGAAGAGAAGAATGAACGTAAGTTATCTTACCTTAATCGTTACTAACACTTTAAATGTAAAAGCATCAAGTAACAAACATCCCTAATATTTGTTAATTGATGCTTTCAAGCAAAAACTACTGAATCGAGCGTCATCAAACTTTGTACTTATGTTTTTGGAGGTATTAGAATGAACGTAGGATACTTCTTATTTAAATACAAATATTTCTGTATCAATGCGAGCGAAGCCGCGGGTAAAATCTAGTAATATTATAAATGCAGAAAATTTGTGGGTATGGATGGGTGTTTGTTACTCTTTCACACAAAACTACGGAATGGATTTTAATGAAAGTTCACAATAATTTACTAATTATACCTCAGAATAATAGGCTATAAAGTTCCAGCGGATGAAACCGCGGGCACACACACAACCAGGCAATACAGTAAACAGCTTATATATTGTGTTTTTTACGTATAAGTTATAACTATTACTTGTGTAACAAATACTTACCTACCTATTTTTTATATGTACGTTCAGAACGTACGCATTATTTGTAAACAATAAAAGTATCATGCAATCTATCTAGTAATTATTTAGTGATTAAAAGTTGCGGATTTTTGAACTCTTCTATATTTTCACTCATCTTCGTGAATTCCAGAACTGCTCAAGTGACACTATATATACATCTATACATATAAATAAAATTGGAGTGTCTGTTTGTAATATTGAAATAACCGTTTTTTACTACATACATATGAATACAATACATACACCAAAGTATCATTTTTTAGAACTTTTGTCTGTCTATCTGTCTGTTTGTTCCGGCTAATCTCTGAAATGGCTGGACCGATCTTGACGACGTTTTTTGGCACGTAGCTGATGTAATAGCAATAAGCAGTAACTTAGGCTACTTTTCTTTTAGAAAAATAAAGTTTAATTCCACGCGAACGAAGTCGGATGTACAGTTAGTACATTATTTCAAATGATGTTTAGGATTTTTTAAACCTTACGACTGACTGACATTTGTAACAATTAACTTCAACTTTTACTCATCAAATAAACCTTTTCAAGTGTGATATAAATAAATATTAATTAATTTTCAAGTTAAACAAAAGCTGCTGAAGAAATACGACAGCATTGCGGAGCGAGTGATATCAATAGCTCTGGATAGCGTGGACTACAACGAGGAGAGAGCAGAGCAGATCCTCAGCGCTGTGCTCCAGGAAGAGGAGGCACCGAAGGTCTCAAAGATGGTAGAAGTCAAGGATTCGAGAAGGCCTTCCCAGGTCGACATCAAGAAGGGGTAAGTTGCATGAAATACTTTTACATATGTTGTATGAGTGGCTACCGACTATCAAATTAAACAATATGACACTAAAAACTACTTGAGATTTTAAGATTTTACTAGCTTAGTACCTATACAATATCCGCTGAGTAACCAATAATAAATTTAACGAATAAATCGACCTACAGTCTTTATACTAAATATTAAATGTACCATATGATTGCTAAATCATTTAATGTTAGACATAGACATCTATATAAATATACATTGTCAATAAACTCGCTTTTAAAAAAAAAGTTAATTAAATTGAGATTCTTGCCAGTTCTTCTCAATTGGATATATATACTGAACTGGACGATAGGGGATAAAAAATATAATACAAACATTTTACGTTCATAAGCCGCTAATTTGTCCTACATGAATAAAGCCAAAAAATTACGATAATAATTTATTTTCGCTCTGTCATTCTATTTACTTCCATTGTTTAATAAAATCTATTATTACGAAATGTACGAATACTATTAAAACCATAAAAAAGTTATCAAATTCAATGAAAAAATCTAAGATGTGTCTGAGTCGTTAGCCACTCAAATAATTACATTAACAAACCATGAAAAGACTAAACAGATAGAGATTTAGTACTATTTGAATCACTATAAAATAAAAAACTTCCTTTTTTATATAATATATAGTAAAGTCATAAAATTAATAACTATTCTCACATTAAATATGTTATGTTACTGTTTAGTCTTTTATATTTACAGATTATAAAAACAAATTTGTACTAAAATTTGTAATGTAAAATTTCATTATGATATATGTAAAATTTATTTATATACAATGAATATTACATGCATTGTATAATAACATACCCAATACTAAATTCAATTCGATAATACTGACATAAACAAAATAATATAAATCATTTAAGTAGTTATAAAAAGGGTTATTAAGGGTTTAAATACCCATAGTTTGAGACATACTGATGATAATACAATATTTTAATTGTTTTGCCATTGCATAGATAATGAGTACAAAATTGATTATATAATCAAATCTAAATGTATATAATATAAAACACAAATTGAACACTTCTTAACACTTTTCTAATTATTTACTTAATATCCAAATGCTTTTTAGCTTCTCACACCAATGTTGTGCAAATATTGATGTTATTATTATTAATTTATTTAAATAAAACACTTTAAACATTGTATAGATAATAAATATTAGCTTTAGCTGATGTGTCCATTGCTGCTGTTATTATTATTTTAAAACATAAATATTATGCAAATTTTCTCACATTTAGATAAACATGAAAATATGTATGTAATGCATATTTTATATAATGCGAGCTAATGCAGTAAATTATTATTATTAACATATAAAAATAACGCGGTATTTGCACAACACTACATACATCATAAATTATTTCTATGATGGGGTTGATGAGTTTAAATATACTAAATGTTTCTACAATAATATATGAACAACATAGTAATACCATATAAAAAGTGAATAACAAAATGTTATAATACATTCCATTCTAATCCATATATATATATATATATATATATTATTTTATATATATGTTACTATGATCGTACTGGAAACACGTCATCAACCCCACCAAAGCAGTCACCCTCACTCATACATTGCGTGCGTTAGTGTGTGCGCCAGTGAAGACCCGCGAGACCCGAGCCCCCTGCCCGTCGCCCCCGCAGCGCGCCGCATCAAGACTTGGACAGAGCATTTGAAGTATGTCTGCTCGTATGCATGCCGGTTCATGTTGGTACTCGTTATCATATAGGGTTGTAATAAACACGGGTTTTGCACTTGATAAAATTAATTTTACACATTTACTATTCAACACACATTAGAACGCAATGCAAATATGCTCATGGACCTTACACAGAAGGTTACTTTTAGATAGTAGAACTTTAAGATAGTAAAACAGTTATATTTTCTTGCTTAGTAAGAGAGCCTGCAATTTCTAATCCCTATAACATATCTGTTGGTATTCCGATTGGTATAAAACAACTATTAAATTTTAAAAGAAATCGTACCCAAATCTGTTAATGATATTAGCGCGCACAAATACACAGATAAGGAATCAAAAACTCGTAACAATAATTATTTTGGACATTGCTACATGGATAATAATAAATATAAACAAAATAATAAATAAATCCAAACAGTTTTCTGTTATATCTTTCTCGGTTATCAAAAGCCATCAGTTTCAATTTTCTAATACCTAGATAGATATCCTTCTACAGCCATCTTGAAGACTAATTGAGACCACTAGCTGGCAAGCAGTAAAAACTAAGTTACTTTCAAATACTTAACGTTTAACGTTAGTATGGTATACGAATACACAAGTACATACATATCATTACGATATCAAGATCTTACTAGTTTCTCAGACCTACTAAATATGCATATAAAATATCATAAAAATAGGTCATCGAGTATGGTAACTAACATTGTGACAAGATAATTTTTATTAGAAATTATTTGTTTGTTAATTGTTACTCTTTCACGCAAAAACTATTGAATGGATTTTGATGAAATTGTACAGTAATATTGCTTTAGTATAAGCAATATTACTGTAATAGAAAAATAATATAATAGGCTACAAATTTCACGCAGGTGAAACCGCGGGCATTGCTAGTAAGATTATATACATACCTATGCCTGTCTATCCATAGTGTAAGTAGCAGTTTTCCGATTACCTTAACCTGAATTTGAAGGTCATCTATTTTGGAATATTGCTTTGACAACAGAGCCTGGATCGATACCAATGAAATTGGTATGTAATATACGATTGTATGAATTTTAATACCATTGAATACGGCTGCGTAAATAGCACTAACTTAATTTATAATAATTCTCATTTGAAACGAATTCTAATTGGCTATTTGTTAAAAAATTCTTCACATAATTGTCTTAGGTTGGATAATTTTTAATTGTGATAATATCCTTGATGTACATGTTCATGTATAGGAGCACTGACTCTCAAACATACGCCGCTACCGTCAACTTTATACTATTATAAAACCCATTTAACGTGGTATTAGACCCAAATATTTTTTACAGTATGTTTGTAAAAACTCCGAGTCAAATTAAAATAAGTTAACTTTTATACCGTGATATCTGTATTAGTTTAAAATTATAATTTATATATACTTAAATAACTACAACGTTGTGAAACTGTTTATATCCCAAATAATTGTATAAAATAAAACTTTGAGAACAGCTTGTGTAGTGTGACGACGTGTCGCTAACGTACTACGCATTAGTGGTGAACTGTGACAATGGAATAAACGTTTTTCTTAAATATATTTTTACCAAATTATTATAGAAATAAATCTGGATATCTACCAGTGTTTAACAATTCAAACTGTTTTCGTATTTATACGAACCTACGACGAAACAAAATTTGAATTTTTACGGTAAAAGCTTCGCGGTCTTTATGTATAGTTATTTTTTTGTATAACAATATACGACGTCATTGGGTTGGTCATTTATAACTATAGTTAATAGTGTCATCAATAATACTGTCAAGTATTTATTCCGCGATATAGATATATATATATTAAACGCCTATTGGGAATGAATTAATTACATATATATTGTAACAGATTTTCTTTTTTGTTTCGGTACCACTAACTTCTCACCGATCGATCCCCCTTCCCATTCGAACTGAGTCCGAAATGACGACAGCCTGAGCCGAGGTTCCAATTTATAATCAAGTACTCTCAGACTAAAGTTTTTTTTCTGTCGGACAGAAGTTGCCATTCGGCCGCTCAAAAGTTCGGCGGGTTTCGAGTGGGAGAAGCTGTAAAGACAACTGCGGCTAAAAGTATTAGAATAGTAAAAAAAAGTTTATAACATTTATATATACAAAGAATTGTCATTTTTATTATCAAACCATATCTGCTTAGATTTGGCCGTGCTTAAACTGAAATTTTGAAAATAAAGCTTTATAGCGTTGCTGGCGAAAGTCAATAAAAACATATCGCGTTTATGACATCGGGGTAAAAAATCACTTAGTTTTATGTATAACAAACTGAGGAAATTTTTCGATGAAATTGATGTTGAAATCCGAATATAATTTCTGAAGGTATATACATATAGAATAAATCAAATCATTATAAATTTATGACTGTTCAATATATTTAGGTAAATTACAAGATATATGTTATCGTTATTGGAATTCGCAGTCAGATATCTTATCTGTTACTCCTTGTAGACATACATTTTTATTTAACGAAATACCCAAAACATTGACTTTCTATACTAAATTGTGTTGTGTGTATGAACTCTCCTATCAATCACTGTGTGTTTCAATAATTCATATTATAATATTTACTAGCGAAATAAATTTTTATTTCAATAAACTTAACGAGTCCTAACATGAACGCCTGCATAAAACCTATTGTGACAAGGCAGTACAAGTCTAGGTAATAATGTGTGTGGCAAGTGATATGTATTATTGTGACGTGATTAGATGACATTGTCACGATGTGATCTCATATGCATGGTTTTTCTGTTTATCTTATACATTTACTATAATCTTTGTTGACTATATAACTACTATATAGTGTAGTAATAATTAGGTTAATTGTTCGTTTGTACTCCATTTATGTTTAGCAGATGGGAGACTTGGTATAAAGTTAGCAGCATGTGTCATGTGTATCTTTGTCTCACGTGTGTGCAAGTATAGTCTTAGTTCACTTACTATGTAATTTGTAATTGGTATTGTGAGTATTTATAAGTAGATATTTATTTTACAATACATATTTAAACCTTAATACTCAGGAATGAACAGATGTTGGGGTGTCTCTACAAATTTTTCAATGTTATGTTTTAAGTTCTTACTTCCATGGTTTAAAGCAAAAATAAAATACGTGACCACTTTACTCCGACTGCCTTATTGTTAGTTTTATGTAGAACAAGTCATGTATAAATTCGAGTAGATTTTCGACCACCAGTTTCATCTACAAACGTAAATGGTCATAACGTATAATTCATCATATTATTATCTTAATAATTTAACTTAGTAGTAATGACATACATAAGGCAAGTGTAGGTATGTCGGTGCAGATTATGTACTATTTTTTTTATAGGTATGTACTTGCAATATATTGTAATAGATGTTAGTTGACCATAGATTATGGGTAACGTAGTACAAAACTATAATTGTGCTCATTTAATAATATAGCATCATTCACACGTAGTGTTGTTGATTTTAGATTTCACAACAATAAAATCATTATATTCATGATCATGTTATATTTGTTTTAGCTTAATTACGGACTTTTTTTTATTTTTGAATACTTTTCACACATATTAAGTAGAGAAATATTATAATAAATAGTATTTGTTTAAATATTCAATAGGGACGCAGTTGCATGGTTTTCTTCAATTTATAATAGGATATGTATATTTTATATTTAATTAAAAAGTATTCAAGTAGTATTTATTAATTATACCAATAATATCGAATTTGAGTGCGATATAGTTGAAAGTATTTGTAAAGTAGTGTAAAATTTCGAAAGATATGTACGTGACAGTGTGAAAATGTTTCAGGCCGATCCTGAAATCCAGTAGCAGTACGGAATCGAAACATAAATCGCAGTACAGCGTCCCGAAAAATGGACCGAATCCTACGCTTCGACAAGGCCCTAAGGACAGTCTACTATTGTATGTATTATGAAAACTATACTACTAACATCAACCCTCTGTTCTAACAGTACAGAGTTCAAAATTTAGTTAAATAAATTAGACACGAGACGCCAAAAACAGTAATGAAATGGTACCAGAAGAAACGGAAAATTCAAAACTCTCTTTAAAACATTGTACTGTTAGAAAACCTATATCCGTATAACCCACATTTATTCTCGTGTGAATTAGAACAAGAAATACCCTATTTTTTAAACTAGGGAATGATCTATATTTATGTTATATTACTTTAAATGCATCGTGCAAATCATGAATATATTAATATTATCTTTGTATATTATTAAACCGTAAAATCGTGAAAAGGAGAAATTTTGTTGTATAGATTGTTATTTAATTACAAATGTAGATACTAGTGGTATTGCAACTCGAAATTCGACCATAATAATACATACATATTGAACGAGCAGTTATTATCAATTATAAGTATAGGAAATTTCATACTCCTCCGCCCGGCAATTTTCGTAAAAAGGAGTACAAAGTGTTTGCTTCATGTGTTAATATATAGATACGTGTATGAAGTTACAGGTTTCTTCTTCAACTAGTCTATACATATAAATAAAATTGGAGCGTCTGTTTGTAATATTGAAATAACCATTTTTTACGACATGCATATATTATTATGAATATAAATGGGGCACATACACCAAAATACTTTTTTTACAATTTTTTTTTGTCTGTTTGTTCCCGCTACTCTCTGAAATGGCGGGACCGATTTTAACGGGACTTTTTTTGGCAAGTAGCTGATGTAATAAGGAGTAACTTAGGCTACTTTTATTTTAGAAAAATAAAGTTAAATTCCACGAGGACGTAGTCGCGGGAACAGCAGTTACTAATATAATCCGATTACTTAATCTCGATAGGTTGGACTATATTACATGGAATGGTCCCAACCCTGATCTCAGGACGGGCCAGTCTGTCAAGCCAGAGGGTCCAGACTCTCGAGATCGGCCTGTCACCCTTGCTCGAGGACCGACCGGCCTTGCGAAGGGACCTGCTGGGATTGCCAAAGGGTCCATTTATCAGAAACTTAACAAGAAATCAGCTAAAATGTAAGTCTTTTCGTTTCACCATAATGTTGGCAAACAACCCGGCTTTTGGGTTGGTAAACAATTGCAGTTGCCTATAGACGCTAGAAACACCAGGGAAGTCACATTAAGCATTTCAGACCGTAAATTACATTATTTATATTACAATGTATAGCCATTTATAATTAATAATTAAATATTTTTTGAAATCCATAGCTTAGCAAGTACCTAATATAAACGAATTTATAAATATTTTCCCTTTTTTTACACAGCGTAGCCTGAGATGTGAGGAGTAGTAGTATTAAGTTCACCGTCATCCAGTAAGTTTTGAATATAATTAAAATAGACAAAGCAGAATACTTGAACTTAATTTGGATTTACTACCAGCTTTAGAACGTTGTATTACTTTATTTTAAGAGAACAAAACACATTGTAACTTCAATATTAACTTCAAAACATTATTACTAAAGTTTATAATTTACCTAAACATACACATAATCTAAACATTAACGACACAATATAGGAAATAAAAATTATAGTGAAATCGATAATCTTTTCCTATTTCAGGTTACTTTATATTCCTATTTATCTTAAATTAAAAAAAAATCTTTATATAGTCGATATCGTCTTTTTTTTCAAATAAGTCATCTATATCTGTACACATTGATGTACATATAAAAAATATCCATTTTAATAATCTACAGTAGGTCAGCCTTATTACAAAATTTAAGAATATCTAACTTTAACATTATCGTATTTGCCTTGCCTTTATCCCATTATTTGGGGTCGGCGCAGTATGTCATTCTCTTCCGCTGATCTCTATAGGCCCTCATATCTGAGCATACTCTCCTTTTATTCATATCATCTTTCACACAATCCATCCATCTTTTTTAGGGCGTCCTCTCCTTTTCACTTTATCCACGTACATATTATACACATCAATGAGTATGGAAAATATCTAACTTTAACATATAATATTAAAAATAAACAATCATATTATAGTTCATATTATTTTATGAGTTTATGTTATCATTATTAGTGCCCTTCGGAAATAATAAAAAAAATAATAAAAAACTACAGAAAAAAATTGATTCACTACGTAACAATATGTAAAATTAAACATAAATATGTAAAACTTATTTTAAATACATACACGGCAAAATTAGAACATCAACATCTAATTCGTTTTTTTTATTACATTACATAATGTAAGGAGAATATATCATTAATGTAAGATACAATATTGGCAATTGATCACCAATAGTGATTATATTTGCCTGTAATGTTTATGAAATAGTGAACTATTGTTCGTTGTTACTATTGCTGCCTATCCCAATTTTGAGAAAAGCTTGTTATACTACCTTATTCTATGTGCAATTGGATACGAGAATCTCATATTGTGTAAAATCGTTGTCAATGGTAAATTTATAAATTAAAGGAATATGTAAGCATATAAACAGATTAAAGTTTAGAGAAATTTCTAAAAATCTTTTAAATATTATTTGTATAAATTGCGTTATATTTAAATTTTAATGCTCTTATTTACTTGTATAATTTACGTATATACTCAAACATATAGTTTGCGCCAAATAACTACATAGATATATAAAATAAAAAATCATACACTGAATGCAACAATGAAGCCTGCTTAAGTAGACGCTATAACCTAAGTAAAATTTTTACTATAGTATAGTTATTGTAGTAATAAATTCTTGCTTAACTTGTCAGCAGATATCAATACATATTTATATTGTTTAAACTGTTATTGCATTTATTATTATATATTTTTCAATTATTAAACAACAGTACATTGAATAAAATTCCAATTCGATTTAAAGAAACTGCAATGTAAATATTATGTATTCTGTATTATTACATATTACATACATATTCAATTTGAAAGTATTATTAGTAAAATATCTATAAATTGTACTCTTTATGTGAAAATTATTGTGAAACGATATTAGAACTTGCTGCCTGCCACTGCATTAGATTTTAGAGCAGAGAATTGTGCTTCACATCGTAGCACTATAGTTACTAATAACTGTAGTATAAACAATTTATAGTTAATTGTATTTAATGTTATTAGTTATTTTCGTTGTTAAACATTATTTATTCAGTTTGTCAAGTAGTAGAATTATATTATGGTAAATAAATTGCGACTAGACGTATGGGTTGTACCGATATTGTGCTAGCTATGGTGTACATTTTGGTCTCATTATCGTTAAATTTCAGTGTTTATTTGCTTGTCTAATAAAAGTACGATCTATTGATTAAACATCTTCTAAATTTATTTACCATTTTATGATTCCATGCAAATCATGACCATCTTCCCAGTCTTAAGGGATATACTATATTATTAATATTTAAAATGTTATTATTATTTTTAATTTATAAGATAGTGGTATTGGTGTAATCTTTTACAAGTATAGATTTATAGAGGTAACACTTAAATCTAGTCATATTTTATATTAGTTGTAATATGAATACCTGTCCATTGCCAAATAAGCATTATTTTGCTTTATTAATCAAATGTGTTCACATAAACAAATATCATACATTTATTTTTGATGATGATAATAAAAATGAAGATTAATTGAGCAAATATAATGTAATATAACCCTTGTGTTGTGTCCCGTTCTTCCGATTTGCCATTATGATAATTATGTATAGAAAGGTATCAAGTTTCAATGGCAAGACGGCCCTCCAATATTTAAGCCATCGAAATATAAATAAATATCGCATATTGCGTATAGTTACAAATTATTTTTGTACATAGATTTATGATGTTAAGCCGCATCAAACTTGTGTAAATCTATATCATGCATTCTAATGTATTTAACTAGAAGAAATTGCGGTCGCTTCTGTATTAACGTAAATACCGATTTCCGGTGGATTGGCGTGATTATAATCGAGTAAATCTCCGATTCTTGCCTACTTGTATGTAAAAGTGTTGATGAGATGGCTAAGAGCATTCTTAAAGTGTTCATTAGTTGCTCAACTGGATCCATATATATTTTAATACATCTTTTTCCGCGTTTGTGTCATATAAATCTACGTTTAGATTTATATGTAAGTTACGTAAAGATATTATTATAAAAAATATCATAATTTTTGTCAACACTTGTAGACTGTGCTAGATTGTTGCACACTGGTTTATGAGAATTAAGTAGACAAATTTACCAGTATCTAGTAATCAATTGAACATAATTTAGTTAGCAAATCATTCCTTTGATAAACTACGTTTATTCATGCAATATTTAGATTAGATTGGTCACTATGGCAGTACATGGATACGAAGGACTAATTAAATTGAATGTTACCTAAAACGGCTGTATGATTGCCTTCCAAGTGCTAGGTGGGAATATATATTTAGAATGAACTAAAAATCAACAGATTACTTAATAAATATCATACATATCTAAAAATAAATAAAATATTAGTAGCTAAATATAAAATACTACTTTTACATATATTTTTCTGCCAATTTCGTAATGTATTCGTAAGATTATATAATAACAAATAAATATGTCAAAGTCAATATCATTTAATCATATAGGACGCTTTTGTTCACTTATTAACATATATTTTTTTACCTGTTTCATTAAAAAAATGTCGCACTCTCTTAGAGATTTGTATTTATATTAACTTCAGGGCAGACTTTGTTTTCAAGCACTATTTAAATAAAACGGCTCGTGCAGACATTGTGGAACACAGTTTACAATACGGGAATGGAAATTGTGTGTATCTTAATTTCAATTTTGTGGTATTATGCATAAAATAAAGGCGCGAGATACGTACACTCTCGACGTGTTCTTACAAGACTCCTGCCGTTTGGTTGAAATCAATAAAGAAGCTATCTAAAAACGGTTTACAAATCTTATTTTTCAGTCATGCCAATAGTCAACAATATGTTATGTATTACACCTATTTTTATAGAGTAGTACATTTTAGAGACTAGTTAGGGCGACATATCTGTGAAATAGAGGCTCCGGTCTCTGCATGTAATTAGTCTTTAAATCTAGTCAATTAGGATTAAGGATTACTAATGTAGGTACAGTCCCACATTCCATATTTTTGTGAACATTGTAATTTTTGGTCGAAATAAATTATTATTAATTTTGTCCAATCGTTGTTTTATTAAACTATATGCTGGAGCACTGCCCTCTTGAATTTGAGTTAAATTTTCTCTTTGTTAATTAAGGAGAATTAATGAACAAAAAATTGTATAGTTACCAAACAAATTTATTTAGTTTTCTGTGCTCAGTACTTGACACATTTATTCAATGTGCTTGTATGACATGTCAACTCTAAAAAACACACAGATTTATACATGTGTATATATATGTAGGTAAGTACTAATTAAGTATTCATACCTCTATTTAATTCAAGCGAACAGTGTTACAATAACTGCTGAGGTTATACATCTATAATCGCAGCATATCTGCATATTATTCATAAAGATAAATGAAAGGATTGCTTTCAATCAGAGCGATGTCTTTCTCCAACTGTCTCAACTCCTGTTCCATTTTAGTTTTCTTAAGAATTTTCGGCATAGTGTCCGTAAGCATTGGCAATTGTAAAAATGCTTTCTGCATCAGCTCCCAGTTGTACTTGAGATCCTAAAAGTGGACAGTAACAATTAGAATAGCTCTTTCATAAACGTAAAAAATACACACACTGACAAAATGGCTAACTTTATACATAACGATTACTCTTAAACTTAAGGGTACCTACATCTAATAACTTCTGTCGTTCATCCTCAGAGATTTGCTTGCACAAACTCTCCCTATTTTCCTCGGCATATCTGATCTTATCCAATTCCTTTTGTATTCGTTTGTTTCTGTTCACTAAATATGTAGGCATTTTCCCGAAGTCCGGCCTTAAGCAGTACTCCGGCACTTCTCCAGAGCCCTTTATCTTTTTTATATGACCGTCTCTTGTATCCACAAGCCTTCAAATATTAATAAAATAATGTATTATAGTCCTATTATATTATTTTACGGATTTGGTGGTCTAGAGGTTTAGCACACCGTCTTACATCCGACGGTTGCGGTTTCGATTCCTCGCACGGCACAAACATTTGTATTCATGAGTATAATTGTTTGTATCGGTCGGGGTGTTTTCTAATTACAATATGTATATAAATATATATATACATCTATTATTTGTATCAGTTCTCTAGAACCCATAACACAAGCCCTAGCTTGCTTAAATTGGGTCTAGATGGCGCTGTGTGAATTGTCATAAGATTATTATTATTATATTTCTTTATAGAAAATGCAAGTTATCAAAAACAATAAATTGTATTAAAGGTCATCTTACTATTTAATGATTATTTATGGAATTAGGGTAACGCATCTTATATTGATAGTTTTCAGGAGAAACCGGCGTAGGACGATAACTTTATATAGTAGATTCGACAACGAAAATTTAAAAGCCAATTTGTATCAAACTCTGTTTAGAGATACTATCTATTTTAGTATATAAAAATGTAACTGATCGCCTTCTGTATATTAAGATATATTGAACATATGAGAAATGTTTCGATCCTTTCGGTGAAATTTCACTAATGTATTATGAAAAACTTATTTTAAATTTTATATTTATTTTATTCCAATCGGTTTAGTAGTAAAAAAAATCGAGCAAGGATCACTGAATATTAATACCCCTCGCCAATACATACAACGTTATCTAGTTTCAAAGTAAGCAGTGCTTGTGTTATCACTACATAGTATAAAACAAAGTCGCTGTTGCTGTCTCTCCGTCCCTTAAATCTTTAAAACTACGCAACGGATTTTGAAGCGGTTTTTTTAATAGATTCAAGAGGAAGGTTTATTTGTATAATAATATTGTAGAGGAACACTGATTAATTTAGAGGTTTTTAATGGGATGTCGTATATATGTAAACATAAATAAATGTACTAATAATGTACTACAGTATTGTACGACTTAAAAATGTCAGAAGATATTACAGATCTAAAATGCACATAGCGGTGCGGTACGGCGCGGCGTTACCGACCCAACCGGCGGCGCTTCTTTGCGAATATATAAGTACATATTATACATAGAAAACACTCAGACCGATACAAACAATCATGTTCATGAATACAAATGTTTGTAAAGTGCGAGGAGTCGAACCCGCGACCATCGGACATAAAACGGTGTGCTAAACGGCTAGATCACCGAGGCCGTCGTAGTAGTAGAAATATATCAAACAGTAGAAGACTATAATGATATACACGTATACGTACATTATATCTAATACATAATACTCTTACTTAACTGAACTCAACTAACCTAGGTTCTACAGGTTTCGCTTTAGTTTTTATAGCTTTCTTCATGTTTAATATTTTGAAGTTAGTCTTCGATTTCTCTGTTTTTTTCCCCGGAGGTAGACGCTTCGGCACTGGCGGCAAATTACCAGAGGCAAAACATTTGTGATCAGATTTCTTAACAGGCTGTCCAATTCCTTCTCCTTTCTTTAGAAAATTCTCAGGGGTTTTCAGGGGTGTTTCAGCATATCCGAAAGTGTGTCGAAGTTGAGGTATCTTTCTTTCCTTTAATTCTTTTTCAAGTTTGGATTCATACCTAAAATTAAATAATGAATAGATTTTACATAAACTTGGTCATTGTATAGCCAAATAAAATAGGATAGAATTAGAGATATTTATATATGACTACCTACCTAGTGAAAATTTTATAAAAAAGTAATACGGTGAAATACCCGTATGCTGATTAGGCACCAGATGAAAGATAAGTATTAGTCAGATCAGTTGTCCCATCATGGCCAATTTACCAGTTTTTGGGGTCCGAACCCGGCATTGGTAGCATGAACACTAGTTTTTTGGGGAATGGGATTGTTAGTAACGAATAATAACCCTAATGCCATCAATATTCCATGTCAGGTTGACCTCCACCAGGATTCTTCTGTATAAACATTGCGATAAATTCCTGGTGAATTTGAAATTCCACGTTCGGCTAACTGATCTTTCCCCATGCTCGTCTTATCATCGTCCGCTGGTACCCCGACAACATACACTGTTCAGTCAGGCAGAAGCACGATTTCTTTACATTCCATTTAAAAAAATGCACTAGTTCTTATTACTAATAATCTCCTACCCCTCTCCAGCAGTGGTGCTCTAAAAGCCAGCCCCTTAGCCGGATTCCATTTTTTTTATACCGCGTAGGTGGCAAACAAGCATACGGCCCATCTGATGGTAAACAATTACCGCAGCCTATGGACACCTGAAACACCAAGGGTGTCACATGCGCGTTGCCGACCCTTAAGAAACCTTAATATACCCTTCTTGAAAAACCCCATGCTGTAGTCTCTCGAGAAAACCTTTTATATCCATATGAACATTTTTAAGATAAATATAGTCCGTAAAAAAAGAGTTTAGGAAAGATCATTTAAATATGCAAACAGATATAATCGTATTTTATTATTGAGTGACATTAAAAATCATAGGTACATTCCATTTTTATATTAACAAATTTAAATGGCCAGTAAGGTACCATAACTTCACGTATCTATTCTAGATGGTATAAACTAATAAACATACCATACCATATAATAATAAGGGGGGAGGGGAGAATTGTCAGTAATACGAACTGATAACCCTACAGCTAGCAATGTACCTTGTTAAGTTGACCTCCACGCGGTTCCCCTGGAAACCATCGCGATTGATGGGCTAACTGACCTGACCTTATTCCCATCTTATCATTCTTCATAGGAGCTCCGCTAGCATAAATGAACTCTTCTCTTATTATCCATTAAAAAAAACAAGTCTAATACCAAGAAGTTAACACGGGTCTAAGATTTCGTCTTACCCATAGACTCAGTATATTGGTATAACATTTCTGTGGTCCTACCTCGGCGTTTTAGGCGGATCTGGCAGTGGTTTATCCAGAATTGTGTAAATGACTTCATCGTGCTGGAATATTTCTACTAAAGACATTTTTTAAATGAACGTTGAACAGAAGAAATATAGTAAATAATATAAATCTGTAAAAATATCTTCTCTAATGTTGAGTAAAATTGTCAACAATATTAGGTTGCGATGGAAACCTGCACCCAATGGAATTTTATTTAAATAATGAAGGTACGACCTATTCATATCTCGCGGCTTGAGTAAAGTGTTATTTTATTATTTTTAATGCTTTGGTAGTTGCTGTTTGTGTCGCATGAACAACTTAAATTAGAAATCATAGAAAATGCTAAAAAAGAGTGAATTCAGGCACTAAACGAGAAATCACTACATTGCACCTTGCGCAGTAAAGATCGTCTAAAATCCTTTGTCTGTAAATTGTAAAACTAGTGCGCAAGTCATATGCAGCAATCCAGGTATTTCATCTTCGATCCAATCAGTATTTCTGGTACCTCTGCTCTGAATGTACGAACATTATTTATAAACCCTAAAAATTGCTTTGAAAAATTATATTGAACTATTTGAAAATTTTGTGGTGACTTTAATATTGTGGGTAAATTATTGTCAATGTCAAAAATGTCAATTAAAAGTTCTCTTTAAAAATGTCACCTTTAAATCGCTTGAGTATTTTTAGACTATATTATTAAATGTTAATTCTTAATCTCATTACTGTATTAAATATATAAATTTAATATATAATGCTGGTTCGACAGCTTAAGTGTAGTGTTCAAAAATATTCTACTCACAGATGTCTTGGACTTGGAATTTTGTCATTGTCTGAGAGTAGGAATTTCTCGAATCATATTGATTCTTTTGATCGCGAAGAGAGACTTGATCGACTTGATTGTCTGTCTACATTGCCATCAGAAGCGAAGGTAGTAATATGTGGCGGAGGAGTAATGGGAGCGGCAGTAGCCTACCACCTAGCCAAGCGAGGTTGGGGGGAGAAAACTATATTGATCGAGAGAGAATGGTAAGTTTTTTATTCTATTACACTAACTTATATATAATAAATAATATATTTTATTGCCTTTAATGTTTTGACACTCATTGTTTGGTTAATATTAGAAGTTAACTGCAGGACTCAGAAACATTAACTTAAGCAACTACTTAGTGTAGATTTAGATGGCTGATTAGGAACAGATAATGACAGTCCAATGCTTACTTAAGTGCCTGATAGATTTGGACATACATTTACAGGTTATTTTGAGTTTAGAAATGGAAGTTATATAAGAAATACAAGTTCGGCAACTTCATAACATTCTGATTGAATTTGAGACTGAACTTTAACAGACATTGCCATAATAAAAATATAAAAGCTTATATTTTATTATAATAAAAACATTTATTTTAAAAATTTACAGAGAATTTGATTTGAATATTGTACTAAACAAGTGTATAATTTGCAGAATATTTACATTAAAATTCTTATTATGTATTCTTCAATTATGAATACTATGTTCACTGGAGAATGCTCCATTAAAGTTGTCATTAGACAATGAATGACAAAATTTTGACTCCAAAGGAATGGCCAGTTAAGTAAGAATAATAATATTAAGTAAATTAGAAATAATTGAAGGAATGACTCTCAGTGTGGTTGTTAAAGAACAATGGCAGGTATATACATTCTCTTCTTCTTCCTGATTGTTCCTTAAGTGCTGAGGATGTGTGACTCCATACTATCTTTTTGACCAGCTGTCGCCATCAGTGGCACTGAGACTGAGTGGCCTGGTGTATAATAGTGTAAGATGATGAAAATATTCTGGTATTGAGAATTGGTTTTAAAACTTAGATCAGCGACACTGTTATTCAATAATTATACATATATATTTTATTTTAGAGTTAGGGGATGTCCATATATTATATAAAACATTTGGTGGCGGCCCGCATGTGTGCAGGCAAATTTCTGTGATTTCTCGTATCTAAGTCTAATTTATGTAACTATTAAAAAACTACATTTGCTAGTACAAAAAATTTGAAGAATATCATAATCATTAATACAATTAAAAATGAGTAACATTTACTAGAGATGGGGGAGTCTCACAAATGTGAATGTGCAATAACAACTGAAGATTTATGGATGGTTATTAAAAAGTTATTGTTATCAGTATCATTATAGTATTACATACTACAAAATCAATGTTCTAGAAACATCTGTGTCATTTAGTTTACAATTCTGCCACAAGATGGCATACATAAAACAGGTGTGCAGCATTTCCTTTGTGAATGTATTGATTTATGGTGTATCATTATAAATCTTAAGTAGTATTTTGTGAGGTGAGTACTACTTTAATGAGCATAGCCAGTGTTGATTTTATTATCTTTATATTTGAGATTGAGTTGGGCATAGGAATTGTTTCCAGGTATTCTTTTCCAATTCTTATGGACTATACACTCTGTCTCTGGGGCATAATATGATATGAATGGAGTGAAGGTATAGTAAAATAAAAAAGTGGTCCCATTTTTAAGTCCTGTCCAGTGTTAATACACTCTCCTTGCTAAAACTCTGATTCCAGATAATTTTCGCCATATAATATTTGACTATTTTGGGGGCATTCCAAGATTCTTGGGATATCATATTTCTGATTCCGGGTGCCCTAGAAACAGTGCATATACCCCGCGGCTCCGGCAAGTGCTGTTCGCGCATGTCAAAGTCGCGGGGTGACTGATATTAATCGATATCCGATACTTAAAATTAGGGTGGGGAGGGTGGATAGGAGTGTGCAGAAGAACACAGGTTTAGTTGCCGCGCGGCCTTTGTTGAGAGATGTCGAGTCGATACATATTCGGATTTGTAGTTCTGTCCTCTTCTGTTTTAAGTGTTGGTGATTAGTGTTTCTAAGTGTTTGAAACCAGTGGGGTTCTTCGTAGCGACTTTCAAACTTTCCCTTATTTTGCGGAATATTGGAGTTTGTAGGGATATTTTATTTTCGGTTCCAGGTGTTCGATAAAGACAGTGCGTTAACCCCGCAGCTCGGACTGACGTAGTGTGCGCATGTCAGAGTCGCGGGGTGACTAATATTGATCGCTATCAGTAATTTAAAATAAGGTTGATGGAGTTTGGGAGCGGAGAGAACTAGACTAGTTGCCACATGGCATTCACTGGACAGTGTCGGTTCGTGACGTGCGTCTTTTCAGTTCCTCTTTTGTTTTAAATATTGATCATTAAAGAGAGAATCGGACAGTTTAGTAGCTTCGTGGCGTTCGTTGAAACATGTCGTATCCAGACATTGTCGGTTTTTCAGTTCACCTTTTGTTTTAACTGTTAGTGTATAGTGTTTATAATTCTTATCTAAATAATAATGTAGGAGTGCGGTAAACAAAGGAAAAATATTATAAAGACTATAGTGGGCCTACTTCACTACGCAGTGTTGGAAACTTCTCCTTGGTAAGACCACTAGTTCTAGATATATTGACCTTTCAAAATTTCTTTGTTTTGTGGAGCTTTTGAAGATTCCCGGAAGCACTGTGGTTATGGTTCCAGATGCCCTAGAGAGAGTACGTTAACCCAATGGCTCGGGCAAGAGCAGGGCGCGCATGTTCAAATTGGTAGTGTATAACTGTTAGTGTATAGTATTTATAATTCTTATCTAAATAATAATGTAGGAGTGCGGTAAACAAAGGAAAAATATTATAAAGACTAGTGTGCCTACTTCAAAGCGCTACTCAGTGTTGGAAACTTCTCCTTGGTAAGACCACTTGTTCTAGATATATTCACCTTTCAAAATTTCTTTGGTTTTTGGAGCTTTTGAAGAATCCCGGGAGCTCTGTGGTTCTGGTTCCAGATGCCCTAGAGAGAGTCTGTTAACCCCGTGGCTCGGGCAAGCGCAGTATGCGCATGTTAGAAATGCGCTGTGACTGGTATTGATCACTATCTGGGATTTCAAAGTAAAGTGGAGAGGCCGTATAGAGGTAGAGAATCGGACAGTTTAGTAACTTCGTGGCGTTCGTTGAAACATGGCGTATCCATACATTGTCAGTTTTTCAGTTCATCGTTTGTTTTAACTGTTAGTGAATAGTTTTTTAATTTTTGTTTTTATACTACGTATGTGGGGCAAACAGGCATATTGCCCATCTGATGGTAAATGGTTACCGTAGCCTATGGTTTTAATTATTTTCGAAATAATAATATAGGTGTTATATGGAGTACGAAAATAATATTTAAGATGATTACATTCCCTTCTTATCCAGTACTGAAAACCTCTTCTGGATTTAGATATATTCACCTTTAAAAATTTCATTCTTTCGTGGGGCTTTCAAAGAATCTTGGGAGCTCTGTGGTTCTGGTTCCAGATGCCCTAGAGAGAGTATGTTAACCCCATTGTTCAGGCAAGCGCAGTACGCGCATGTTAGAATTGCGCGGTGACTGATATTGAGTACTATTCGGGATTTCAAACTAAAGTGGAGAGGTCGTATAGGGGTAGAGAATCTCACAGATTAGTAGCTTCGTGGCGTTCGTTGAAACATGTCGTATCGAGGTTTTTCGGTTTTGTAGTTCATCTTTTGTTTTATCTATTAGTGTATAGTGTTTATAAATCTTATCTAAATAATAATGTTGGATTGGGGTAAACAAAGACAAAGTATTATAAAAACTACTGTGTGCCTACTTTGAGGCGCTACCCAGTGTTGGATACTTCTCCTTGGTTAGACCACTATTTCTAGATATATTTACCTTTAAAAATTTCATTGTGCTGTGAAGCTTTGAAAGAATCCCGGGAGCTCTATAGTTCCGGTTCTAGGTGCCCTAGAGAGCGTACGTTAACCCCGTGGCTCGGGCAAGCGCAGTACGCGCATGTTAGAATTGCGCGGTGACTGATATTGATCACTATCCGGGATTTCAAAATAAAGTGCTAAGCTAAAGTGCTAATTCACTGGACAGTGTCGGTTCGTGACGTGCGTCTTTTCAGTTCCTCTTTTGTTTTAAATATTGATTATTAAAGAGAGAATCGGACAGTTTAGTAGCTTCGTGGCGTTCGTTGAAACATGTCGTATCTAGACATTGTCGGTTTTTCAGTTTATCTTTTGTTTTAACTGTCTGTGTATAGTGTTTATAATTCTTATTTAAATAATAATGTAGGAGTGCGGTAAACAAAGGAAAAATATTATAAAGACTAGTGTGCCTACTTCGAAGCGCTACTCAGTGTTGGAAACTTCTCCTTTGTAAGACCACTAGTTCTAGATATATTCGCCTTTTAAAATTTCTTTGCTTTCTGGAGCTTGTGAGGAATCCCGGGAGCTCTGTGGTTTTGGTTCCAGATGCTCTAGAGAGAGTACGTCAACCCCGTGGCACGGAGAAGTACACTGCGCGCACATTAGAATTGCGCGGTGACAGATATTGATCACTATTCGGGATTTCAAAGTAAAGTGGAGAGGCCGTATACGGGTAGAGAATCTCACAGATTAGTAGCCTCGCGTCGTTCGTTGAAACATGTCGTATCCAGACATTGTCGGTTTTGCAGTTCATCTTTTGTTTTGACTGTTAGTGATTAGTGTTTTTAATTTTTGTTTCTAAACTACGTAGGTGGCAAACAGGCATACGGCCCATCTGATGGTAAATGGTTACCGTAGCCTATGGTTTTAATTATTTTCGAAATAATGATGTGTGTGTTGTGTGCAGTATGAGAAGAAATTTTTTAAGATGATTACGTTCCTTTCCTATCCAGTATTGAAAACCTCTCCTGGATTCAGATATATTCCTTTAAAATTTCATTGTTTCGTGGGGCTTTCGAAGAATCTGGTCCGCTCTTTGGTTCTGGTTCCAGATGCTCTAGAGAGAGTACGTCAACCCCGTGGCACGGGGAAGTGTACTGCGCGCATGTTAGATTTGCGCGGTGACATATATTGATCACTATCCGGGATTTAAAAGTAAAGTGGAGAGGCCGTATAGAGGTAGAGAAGTGGACAGTTTAGTAGCTTCGTGGCGTTCGTTGAAACATGTCGTATCCAGACATTGTCGGTTTTACAGTTCATCTT